ATTAAAGGCAAAGATAACTCCAAACAAACCTTTACCTAATTTCTCCAACCGGAATAGTAGGTAAACGCGTTTAGTTTAAAAATCAAATTATATTCTTAGCTCTTTAAAATACATTAATACATTTTAAAATATGATGTATGCGAGCAACTCATCAATAGGTAAAATATACATAATACGTACATTATAAGGAAATTCGTGGGAGTGATCACGTGTTCTGACTATTGTGTACTAATTTTAGATAAATGTGCATGAAACAAGTACTTACAATCTATACATATAATAAAATTGTAACTAAGCCGAATGTGTACATTAAATATTTTTTGGAAAATCTTATTGAAAGGGACATTAATATCGATACAGAGGCCGAATCTATAGTTTTTAGAATTTTTGTCTGTTTGTCTGTCTGTCTTTATGTCTGTCTGTCTGTCTCTCTGTCTGTCTGTCTGTCTGTTACCGCGTCACGGAAAAACCACTGGAGGGATTTTGATGAAATTTGGTATGATGGTAGCTGGTTATCCGGGTCAACATATAGGATACTTTTTACCGCAGAAAAATATCTCATTTCTGAGAAAAAATACAAAAACTGTAATGTAAGAGTATAGTAATATGTAAAACCTAAGAATTTGGTTTTTGGTCATCTAACGCGGGCGGAGCCGCGGGCAATGCTAGTTAGGTAAATAAAAATATACCTACTCTACAATTTAGTTTGAACAGTATCTACATAAAGAAGGAATTTTGCGTTTTCCTTTTGAATTTAGAATATGAAACTATGGTAAATCACCTAGTATATATGTATTTACATATTACATATACTTAATTATCATGTGAGTAAATGTTATTTGTGATAGAACATAAGCGCGTTCGTAACTGTATTATTTTAAGTCTGTAAATAGAAACGTATAGAAATTGATTATAAATATGGGTCAAATAAACTTACCAGGATTATCGAAAGATGCGTCATTACCTACATACTAAAGTGAGATTTCTTTTGTACGCTATCCAAGTTCTCAGAAATGATCTAACATACACCGCTTCCTCAAACAGAAAACACGTTCACTTGATTTCCAATGTTGATTAGAGGTAAATAAATTAATTGTTAGATGAGTCATGCAAACATGAATACTACGTGTTGATAACGACCAAAACGATGAGTCTATTATTATAGATTTAATTGATAAAATGTTCTTATTGTGCTTAAACAGCCCTATTAGCTAATTATTGACTACTTAAGTATACCAACATGCTTATAATCAATACTAATATTATAAATGTGAAAGTGTGGTTGTTTGTTTGTCTTTCTTTCACGCCGAAACGGAATGACGGATTGGCGTGATTTTTTGTGTCGAGATACTTGGGGGTCTGGAGAGTGACATAGGCTACTTTTTACCGCGGAAGATTATCTGATTCTGACAGGAAAATACGTTATAATACAATCCAAAAAATATTTATGTTCAGAATTACTTGATACTTGTTAATAATGCTCTTCAATAATATTAAATAAATACATGTTTCAGCATTTTTCAAAATTCATCCTATATGGGGGTAAAATAGGGGATGGAAATTTGTATGAAACTACCGTTTTAGAGATTTTTTGTAGTTTTAGCGCAGGTAAAGCCGCGGGTTCTGCTAGTATTTAAATATATTATTAATTTAATGATAATAATGGTTGATAACAACAAATAAACTAATAGGCGCCTATCATACAAGAAACTTAGTATGAAACGTACCTATATATGTATATTGTAATGATTGTGATTACATTGTCATATCACATTATATTCGTTAATTTTAGTACATATTATAAAGTTCGTAATTTGATATTGCTATAAGATGTTACGCACTAAAGCAAGGCATTGTTGTCACTTCGCAAATATACTTTTTGCCTCGCACATTTTGATGAGAACCCCTATGTGTGACTCTACCTCAGCGTCGACTTTTATCAAAACGAAATTTAAAAAAATAATGAAAATTCATATGCTGTGGTGTGTAAACATGTAGACCACTTTTACATTTGCATGCCGTACTTTCATGTCATCATTGCCGTTTTATATCAAAAATTACATCCACTATAAAATGAGCGTAGCTACAGAAAAAATATACGATTATTTATATTTTTAAGACTAATAGAAACACTATGGTAATGGAATGGTAGAGCTATGGTGCATATGAGTGATGTGACAGATGCCCAAAAGACGATTTACAATGTTCATTCCTCGATTCATAAAAAAAATGTATTTACTATTTAGTATTATATAGGTAACTAATTTTTCGAATGTTTTTATAAGTTCGAGCCAGTCTACTTTAAGACTTTCCGTTAACGAAGATTAAGGTTAGCTGGAGATTTTATATTGTTCCGTATACAATTATTGTTTGTTTTGACGTAATTATTCCAACCAACCCTCCTTAATTACTTATAATATTCAGTGTATAAGTATATAACTGTAACTTTCAATATACCTATAGATAATTAAATATAAATTCTTTTGTTGAAACAATACATCACGGATGCAAAAATTGGAAAACAAATTGAAAGAAAAATTGAGATCGCAATTACTCTCTCAACAACAGTTATGTATTCCGCGCACATTGCGCCGTGCGCGTGATTAAAGTGCACATGGTGGTAAGTACATGTTTATTTATATATAAGGAAAACACAAGGTTACCTCACATATGCAATAAAATATATCCGCTCAGAAACTGGGTTAACAACATTCATAATGATCGTAGATGCTAGACGTCATCTCCATTAGCTCCAAAAGTGCAAAAGTTTCCAGTCTTTAACAAAAGAAGAAGACTAGTAAAAATAATATGCTAGTTATATTTATATTTTTTACACCATTGTTTTGTTATCTTTCTGCGAATTAATACCATAAATCTTTTAATAAGTAAGTTCCATAACGACTAAAATATTCTTTAGCTTTTAAAAATATCGGGTTTTAATATTAAATAGTATCTAAAACATTATTTCTTCGTAAGGGAACAAAAGCTTCATAAAACAAAAATTAGGAGAAATTCTGAGAACTACAATCTCAGGAATCCCAAGAACCTTCATTCAAAAGAGTATTAACAAAGAAGGTTTTGTTTAAAGTATTGCAAACAAAACTTATTATTGGGTTTTCCGTTTTGAGTAAAAAAGACAACTAACTCTATCGTAAATTATATTAGTTTCTTAATTTAAAATTTTATTATATATACTTTTCTTGATAATTTGATACGTTTGAAAGTTAATTTTATGGCGTTATAAATATTTATAAGTAAATACAACAACAAATGCCCATGCCCATTATAAACAATATTTATTACTGATGCCTAGGATGAACTAAACTACAACATCAAAGTCAATAATAATTATTATACATATCTGTTATATTTGTTATTGGACGTTATCTTAAACCTACATAAAATTTACCTTACATTTACCGACTCAACTACGCAATAAGTCTAGGTATCAATTAATTTGCATATAGATAAACTGCATTTACTCATCTGCTTCGTTTATAACCGGTTGATTTACCATTAGAGTATTTATGCTTGAAGCATTTCCTATTTTTTGTCTCTATTTTATTTAAATTAACAAGGTTAAAAACGAATAATAACAGTTGTATGAGAATACTTTATATACCTAGTCCAGTTAAGCTATAGCTACTTGGTAGGTATGCATCAGAAGATCAAAGGGCTTGCAAGTATGAACGTTTTAAAATCCCTTTGGTTTGGGCCGTTGCACTCTGCTTGGGACTCGTCTAACCGGCCCACTATCAGTCCGCGGTTCGATTCATCGCGCCAGTCTGTGGCCAATGTTGGGATATCACAAATCGTACTGCAACCCATACTGAGAACTAGCGAGGATTCAAAGATCGCAACTAACAATAAAATAACAAGTAATAGTACTGTTGTGTTCGTAAATTTGAATAAACATTCATCAACGATTAAAATATTCAACTATAACATTGGGTAATGATGCAAATCAAATTGAAAACTACATGAGATGATTTAAAAATTATAAAGGTTAATGTATTTTTTACAGTTAATGACCGTCACAATTCTATTATTATGAACTATTTCAGATACAATTTAAAATGAATTAATTGCAGCTACTGGTTGGAGGTTAATCAATATCCACTTTTATCCATTATAGCATTTCGTAACTCTAAGAACAAAAAACAGATTTATATAAGAACTAAAAGAATATACCGAAAGTATTGAAAAGTTTAATCGATATAGAGACTCTCATAGAGACATTTGAGTGACGGTCTTGTATATGTCTTTTTTAATTCAAATAAATTCATTTAATAAGTCATTTAATTCAACCTTCCTGTTTTATAATAGTTAATGAGGTTAATATGTCGTTGGCAACTCAAAATATATAATGAAACAGAAATCCACAATATTCGCTGCCCACTAGGTACCCCTCCGGACAAAACAACTGCTTATGCAATGGTCCACATCGCAAAACCAGCTCTAGTTCACCCAATACGAATATTTAGATTACCTATTGTTGTCCGCATTCTGCTCAATAGCAAGCAGTTAGACAAATTATTATTGTATTCTAAAAGAGGGAAAGTCACATCCATATTCATTTAAATAATAATTGACTCTACAATTAAATGTTGGAATTTCAGAAAAATGGCTGTATATTACTCGCTAAAACTATATATAACACTCTAAACTATTGCTTACTATTAAAATATAAATTATGATGTGTTTACATAATGGATCCATGTTACAGCCTCTCGGATTTCCTCAACGTTTACCCGAAACAAAATCCCAATTTAGCACGTTACCAGCGCTATAGATTCTAGGAAACAGCTGTTTATTTTAAACCGGGAATACGGTAATAAAATATTTGCGAGTCACATCCTAGATAAACGTCCAAGGATACTCACTTCTTAAGAAATTTCGTCAATTAGGAAAGATTCTTCACTCAGCACTGTCAATCACTGGTTCAAAACACGGCGCGCGATCGTTTCCAAATAGGCGATCGCGGGCGCGAGGTATATTTAGAGCGGTAATACGACACCAGGCGCGGGCGTCGATCGTTCGGTCGTAGGTCTGTGGCGGGCGTCGGCGCGCGAGTGCGGCTGCCGGCGCGCGTCCCCTCCACCACCCTCGCACTCTCCCTCCCTCTCCCTCCCTCCCACCTGCGCCCAGGGCGCGCCCGCACAGCCTCCGAGGACGATACCCTCAAAGCGCTTACATCCCTTTGTGTAGTTTAGCACATTGCACGACGTTATACTGATCAAACCTCTTAAAGCCACTCAACACGATTTAAATATTTACACCGTCATTACATAATTTAAGTTCAAATGTTTGCTAATACAAACTAAAATAGGTAAATGAAATAACAAGAAGAAATAATATCTTTCCATAATCATATTTTTTGGAACATGAAATTTAAAGCTTCATTGTTTGAATAGATAAGCAGCTTTTATGAGCTTTTAGTACATTTGTACAATGTACATATAATATTATCAACAATTCGCTATTTTTACACGTCTGCATAACATGGCTTCTTAATTTTTGGTATTATACGTTCTGGGATTCAGTTAATGTACCATATTTACCTACAAATTTAACCCCCGACAAACCACTGATGTTGGTTACATACTCGTAATATGAGTGCCTGTGTTATAAAGCTAATGCTTATAGTTAGGCCTGCGAGGAAATGCACCTACACCGCTCCTTGATTTATTTATATTTATTTCGTCATGATAGGTACGTGTTTTTGTAATTATTATCGCAGTATTGCTTAAAAATTAAATGTATAAGTAAAATATTTAAATTAAAAAATTAATTAACCCCTAAGGGTGGAACAAATACTTTTAAAGTGATTTTGAAAACGATACAACTAGAATTTAAATGAACAACTAGAATTGTAAAGTGTGGGTGAGTAATTTAGTTTTAAGACGATACATTTACTATACTATTACTACTATATTAAAGACTACAACATTTCTGTATGATATACAAGGTATTTTGTATATATACATATAACCTATGGTACCTACATACCTACATAGTAGGTACATATAATAATTTTATTGTTTGCCGAATACTCTTGATGTGTTACATGTAATCCTCGGAACATATGCCAATTAGTTCCATGAAGCATGTTTTCCTTATAAGACATGAATTTATTGTCTTTTAGTAGCAGACATTAATTTCTTGTCTTAAAATATAATAATTAAGTACCTATAAAAAATCGCTTTGCGTATAGATTGCGGAGAGAGAGATCTATACATGGTTGAACAAATCGATGGAACATGGAAGGAAAGTACCTTAAATATTGAAGTTATTAAGATTTACTCAAAGGAAACATTTCTTTATTTAAAAAAATAATAATAATAACTGCATTTAATTTTTTTAAAAAAACCTTGCCTGAACCGGGAATCGGACCAAATAAAAATGCAAAAAGGACACCGTCACTATTTTATCGAATTAATCGATAGGGTCTATGGAAAGGATAAAATCTCTCGAACATCGTAATTTCAGTGTGGTAGGTATTATATGCTGAAAAATATTATTAAAGACCATATCTCAGATATATCACAGCTAGCCTACCCTTGTTTTATATCGCTGTGGAAACTCATCATGGGGTTTTGTCGACTGCCGGCCGTCAACGCTCAGAGGACTGTGAGACACTCACAGACCCCACAACAGAAGCCTACCATCGTAATGCAATGGGACGTTACCGGTTACAGGATCGCTTGTGCAAAAACTGCAACTCACAGCCTCCTTTATATTATTTATGCTAGCTACTTAACCTTGCTTCGGTCGAGTTACATTGATAAAAATAGTTATTGCGAGTGTAATTAGGAGATATCAGATATGACACATCAGACATATGCTAATGCACTTTTCTGTAGGCATTTTGAAGACCTACAATTTTCTAGTACATTGTTTTTAAGCCCCGACGCGAAAAGAGGGGTGTTATAAGTATGACGTCGATGTCTGTCTGTGTGTGGCATCGTAGCTCTCAAACGGATAGACCGATTTCGATGCGGTTTTTTTCATTTGAAAGCCAGTTTCCTTGCGGTGGTTCTTAGCTATGTTTTGTCCAGCAGTGTAAGAGTATCAGCTCTTTTCCAAAATGATGTAAGGCATTTTGGCGTATGATTACTCCATTAAGTGCTTCACGCGTGCCAGTGTAATCGTTAAATGACAATTAATTTGCGTAAGGGTTTTTAAATTTTTCTATTTATAATAATTATGATAGGTATATCATAATCTCCAGGTTAAGCCAGCGTTAACCATGTAAATTTCTAAGGACGACTCGACAGAACCAGTTACTGTGTTTTCACGTGTTTCTAAAAAATATTTTATTTTTTAACAGATTTCGCCTGGTATACTTTGTTATATGTATAGATTAAGATTATTCTTTATTACTTATAAACTGTAGAAATAAAGGTTAAGTTCAACAAAAAAAATCAATTGTAGTTATAAGATTGAAAATCCAACAAAATATTCTGAATATATTGCTGTTGAATATATCACTTGCTTCTGTCCGTACTCTTCTTAATTATTGCTTTTCTCCTTAGGCTCAGAGCTCATTATAAATGTGAAAATGTATTTGTTTGTCCGTTTTTCACGTGATATTTTGTGTGGTGATAGTTGCAAGGCTGGAGAGTGACATAGGCTACTTTTTACCGTGGGAGAGTATCTCATCCCCACGGGGAAACACGTTATAATAAAACCCAAAAAATATTTGTGATCAGAATAACTTTAAACTTGGTAGTATTTTTTGAAATTCATTCCGTAAGGGGGTAAAATAGGGGATGAAAGTTTGTATGAAACCTAACTTTTTCTTTTTAAAATCTGACTGGACTAGTATTAATAGAGGCAGACCAAATATAAACAAATAAGAAAACAAAGTCTTCATCCTTACACATCAGTGTATATTGTATACTAGCTTTATTGCTTCCCAATACAAACTTTTATATCCATTTTTACCGCCTCAAGGGATGATTTCCGGGATAAAAAGTATCCTATGTCCTTCCCAGGGTCTCAAACTATCTTCTAATCAAATTTCATCTAAATCGGTTCAGTAGATCCAGAGATTACCCCCTACAACGTCACAACTAGCAAACTCGCAAAATTTACCTCCTTATAATATTAGTATAGATATTATTGATAAAAAGATGAAATTTATCGACTGATCATATAAATAATACTTTCTTAGATTTACGCGAATATTAATTTGATATTAATAATATGATAAATAAAACTATCTTATCATCATGGATCATGGTCGTCAGGGATCTTTGTCTCTCCCGTGACCATGATTGTTGTAAAGCATTCGAAAGGTTGAGAACCAAAAATCAGAATAAATCAGCGAAAAAATCCGAAAAGATTTAAAATTTCATTTTTTAAATATTATGGTACTGGTAAATATTTAAAACACCGGTTTTATGTCAAATGATCTTGCTGCTTTGCTCGATATATTAAAAGTAATTGCTAGGCGAGGCGCTGCTCGCACAGTCCAGTCTCGTGGGACAAGTACGTGAGGTTCTAAGAAAATTATTATTATTAAAAAATAAATATCGAGTTTATGTTTGTAAAATCGTTGATTCGACACGTTTGAGCATTAATTATATAATTGCTTGTCAGGTTACTTGTTTAGTAATTTTGCCTTAAGTCCTGCAATTTACACAGCTTGTACTGTATTATAAATTTATTTGAACATTTCTATTCTAACTATCCTTGAATTTATTATTATTTCCGGTTCTTAGATAGGTACGCTCTACGCATTTTTGCATACAATACGAAAAAAATAAACATATGGTTGTTCATGAGTTGGCATGCGGTGTGTAAACAATTAATAAATTTATGTAATAACAAAGGATAGGTGGGGAGTTTTTATTTAAAAAGTATTTCTTTTAAACATAGCCATGTTAATATTATATAATAATATTAATATGAATATTTAAAAGTATTAACTAAATCCTCTTTTTTTTTCAGATCCATTATTATGACGCATAACTATATTTAGTGTTTATTGTTAGCTTTATAAACATACAGGAACACTTAGTATTCAAAATTCATCAGCAGACTTCATATTTAATACTTATTACTTAATTCATATTAGTACTCTCGTAGCAAGGATGAAACATGAATGTATGTCTCCGACTGTGTCGTGGTTGCCTCTTCAAAACCTTCATTTTGATAACCCACTTAATAGAATTGGAAAAAAAATTTTTTTAAGCCGCATAACTTGGCGCCTAAGATCCGCTCATTTTGAATTTCAATTATATTATAAAAATCATTAAATTGATTAACCATTTTTTAGTTACTAGGGAACATAGGATCGGACATGCATACATACAGGTTAAACACATAACCCTCCTTTGGGATTCGCCGCAGTCGGGTAAAAACGGGGAGAACCAATAAAACAATTCAATAGTATATAAAATTACTATATTCACCCGCTCGCAATCCATACATAATTCCGCGTACACCTCATTAAAAACTCTATAAAAATAAGTTAATATTTAAATTATTCCTCCTCCACCTCGTCGTCCGTCGCGAACTCGCTCTCGCTGGCGCCCTGCGGATAAAAATACTAATTAGAACCAGTTATCTCAAATTTACTATAAACTATTCTACAATCAAATTATAAAATTAATCTTAATATTATATATTATATTCCATATTCAAGTAGTTTTTCAAGTACATTTAAATCTTTAATTTTTTTATTATTAAATATCAGTATGTAAGTGCGTGAGAAAGCTACCATAACCTTTATATTTATATTTATTCATATACCGTAGTATTGCCTTCCTAGTAATTACTATTACTCTACGTCTAGGATTTGTACTTATAAAAAGTAAAGGCAGTAAAAGTGTGTCAAATAAAAATCACTTATACCTAATACAATATACCTAATAAAACCTTAAAATACAGCTCTTAATATATAAATAAAATAAATGTGATATTACATAGGTATATAGTGTCATACCAATTATCAATTGTAAACGTGATTGTAATTTATTTTAATGTTTCAAGTTGCTTTCTTTTGATACAAACATCACATTTTAAAACCCAAAAACAAGTACAGTTGTAACGCATCTAAAATAATAGTAGATTTTATTACCCACAAACATCTGAACAGTAGATATATGTACGTAAATAACACATACATACTAATTTACTATAAAAATACTATTTTATACATAAAAATTTTGATTTACGAAAACGTTTAAAACAATCCATCGCCATTTATTTGTTTATTAAGTGTTTATGCCATTAGTAAACCTCGTTTAAAAAAAAAATAGAGGAAATTTAACGTACAGGAAGATGTTACCATCAAAACAATGTCAATAATTAGAGATAGTTACGTCCCTGCTTATATACACCTATGACCATGAATGCGACTCGAAATATCTGTTTTAGTAATCATTATTACGCTAATATACATATTTTACAAGGGAGCGATTAAAATGTTCTAAGCTGAAGGCGAAGACACTAGTCTTTATAAAAAAAACATGTGTGTGTACTTATGTATGCACGTAAGAAGTTATACTTCTTTGGCGTAACAGAACAAAATAGCTAAAGATTTCATCCCGTATATCACAACTCTCTGTTTGTAAGAGGAATGGAGCTAACTTCATCATGTTGCTTTTTGGCTGTCGCTGTGCGCGCGTCTCTTATAATTTACTCTCATATTTTTTTCCAAACGTGACAAAAGAAGTATAACTTTAAAAACGCGTTGACATCCACAAAGGAATAAAAAAGAGATTTTATACACTGATACATATTTGTTTTATTCATAATTAAATACCTACTTAAAGAAAAAGAAGTATGTCTGCGAAAAATAACGTTTTGATATTTACATATTTTTAAAAAAATTATAATCATTTCTAAACATTTCTAACATTTCTAAACTGAAACATCTCTTATCTATTCCTATTAATATTATAAATGCGAATTTTTGGATGGATGGATGTTTGTTACTCAATCGCGCCAGAATGGCTGAACGGATCTGGATGAAATTTGACACAGAGATAGATTATTTCCTGGAATAGAACTTAGGTTAGTTTTTTATCCCGTAAAAATGTACGGTTCCCGTGGGATAGATTTAGTTTTGTTTTTGAGTTGCTGGTATGAATACATTCAAAATATTATATAGATACTTCGCATTTATTTTCGCTTCACTATTAGATTAACTTGAAACATAAGTTTATGAGAGCACTAAAGCTCGCAACCGTACAGTGAGAAACCTCAATAGGTAGGACGAGTACCGGATTTTACGCCATCTCAGCCGAATTTGCGATACGAAAATAGCTAATAGACGTAATAAAAAAAGGAAAATAAAAATATTTGCCATTTAAAATACGTAGGAATACTGAAATAGCTAACAAAGATGAGCACAAACGTTTGTTAAAACTATAATCATTGATAAATGTAGGTAAAATCCAACGTTTAATTTATTTGTAGTTCATTTAAGCGTAAACTGGGACTTGTTTGTTTGTGGAAATATTTCATACATTTCGTTGTACCTATCAATATGTAAGGCAATCGTTGCAAAGGGTAATGGGAAAAGGGCCTTGCCTATTTTTACGTAATATTGATATTTTTTTACTCAAAATAAGATATCCTCGTATTCATAGATATGGTATTTATAATTTAATTACACACTCGTATTTTTGGCTCAGAGCCATAATTTTTCATAATTTTGTTTGTGACGAACACAAAGTGACTGATAAATAAATAAAAATATTGTCATAAGAATTTATTGAAAACTAGCGACACACCCTCGCTTCGCTCGGGTTTATCCCTAGATACGTTTTAATGGGTAGTATGGAATAGATAGACTATACATATATTATATTACTGCTCCACTCCTTCGGGTAGTAGCATGATGATACACGTATATAACCTTCCTCAATATAAACGGGTTATCTAATGCAAAAAGAATTTTTAAATCGAATTAGTAGATCTTGAGATTAGCGAAACAAATGTAAATGCAAACAAACAAAAGAACAAACAAACTCTGCCTCTTTATAATGTTAGCATAGATAAACTTATCGTAAATAATTTGTGAGATAGCTCTGTTAGAAATTTTTTTTAATACTGATACATATAAACAATAAAGCGTTAGGTCCCAACACATAATTACACCAGAAAAATCAAAACAAAACATAAAACGGAACGGAACAGAAATGTAACGTAAGTAATTCCTGTCCCGTTCCGAACAAAGCGGTGCGGAACGGAACGGAACAATACATACCTCGTCATTATTCTCGGAGTCGGACTCGCTGAGGTCCCACTGCGGGTGGTCGGCGGGCACGGCCGCCGCGCCCTTCACGTCCAGCTTCATGTCCTGCTCTTGCTCCATTTTGATGTACGAGTCTGTTGGAGTTGATATTTATATTTTATGATTGATTTCCTATGCAAACTTTCATTCCCATTTTCTCCCCCTTAAAGGATGATTTCCGGAATAAAAAGTATCTTATGTCCGTCCCAGGATCTCAAACTATATTCTTACCAAACTTCATCTAAATCGGTTCAGTAGATCCAAAGATTACCTCCTACAACCTCACAAACTTTACCTTTTTATAATATTAGTATAGAATAGCAGTATCCGCGGCTTCACCCGCGTATTCAAACTTTCATCAGTTTTACAATAATGTATGAAGTTTGCTTTTGTTGATTTGTTGACATTTATGATTACTGCTCCGCTCCCTTGGGTAGTAGCATGATGATATATAGCCTATATATTTCCCCAATAAACGGGCTATCTAATGCAAAAATAATTTTTCGAATCGGATTAGTAGTTCTTGAGATTAACGCGTTCAAACAACAAACAAACTCTGTCTCTTTATAATATTAGTATAGGTTGATATTTTTTGTACAGTAATTAAAATTGCAGCTGTGGACCTTAAATATACAGATATAAACCCGTACTCTTATGCATATAAAAATAGTCAATTTAATAAGTGCTCCCGGAAAAAATGTACTATGTACTATTACTGGCCGATAACACCTCCGGGTAAATTTCTAAATAATTAATTAAAATTCAAACAATTCTATTGTTAACTGATACGCCGGCGTGTCCACGGTCGTGGAGGGAATAATAAGCATCGTGTATACAATATATTACTATTCATAAATTGTTGTTTTAATAATAATTAATAATTTATTTATTTATGAACAACACATATTGTATGTCTGCATGTGTGCATGCGTGTGTACCGGAGCGCAGGCAGCACGCGAAGGAGTAGAGGCCCGGCCAGCGCGGCGCCGTGAAGCGCAGCTGCAGCTCGTGCGTGTGCACCAGCGCCGTCACGTGCGCCGGCGCCGTCAGCAGCGTGTTGGACTTGCGGTCGCAGATGTAGCACCACCAGTACTCTTGCTTCTCCTGTCACCACATATCATTGCCATCGTTAGTTATAGTATACTAGTATACTGGCGTTTTCCCCTTTCGACTAGTTCAACTCTATTAATATATCTTTATAAATGATAAGTCTATGTGTTACGGTAGACCTGACGTAATTATTATAGAGTACAAGTGTGTGCAGACACAAGTACACTCTCTATCAATTTAGCTCTCCATTATGACGGGACGGCAACTCGACACGACCAATGAGAGATAAGGCGCAAGATCGCCAACTTTCCAACAGCTACTACTATTTCGAATAGCGTATATAGAAAAACCCAGTAACTATAAACAGTTACGTTATGTTCGCGTCGCCCTAAAGGCCGACTCAAAACGATGCATATTTATAACAAAAACATACGGTAAAGTGTAGCACAATACAAATAAATCGAGATACACAAGCTTTTTTTATTTAACTTTCCTTATTCGCTAGAAGGAAGCACTTTAAATAGCTATTAATCGCCTCAGTCTTATTATAAAACGTAATGCATATATAATATAAATTTGTCCTTTTTTAATGGAGCAATAAAATAATAGATCTGTGCATTTTTTTAGAGATGAGGACAGTGACATAGGTTCATAATTATTCAATGTACAAGTATGTCCTTTAAGCCTTCGTGGTCACTGACAATATTTTTATGATAAACGTGTGTAACATCGACCTGCAAAAAATCATTATACCCGTGGCCATGGTGCAAGAGCACCGAAATATAGAGTACTCTTAATAATAACTAAAAACATGATAAATATCCCGTTTTACAACATAAAAATATTATTATTCACTATTTCAAAATAAATATTTACCTAGAAGTACTTCGAAATATAAACCTGTAATATAATAGCTACAATAAAACACTAACCAATGGGAAGTACGGACAGTGCACTGGATGCGAGCTCTTAGAGCGGCCTTCGAGCCGCTCGCGCTTCTGCAGGCGCTTCTGGAACTTGTCCCACTGGTCGTCGTCGTCGTCGGCGTCGGGCGACGACTTGTCGCGCGACTCGTCGCCCGACTCGTCGCTGTACGAGCTCGAGTCCGAGTTGTCGTCGTCCGACTCGTCGCCCTGACCTGATATATGATAAACTTTTTAGTTTTTAATATTCAAAAATGAAAAACATAAGACCCAACACAACGTAGGAGTGTAAGATATTTAAAATTAAAACAGCCGTCACGGGACGCCCGGCAGATGTGAAACGTCTATGTTAATCTTAGAATTCACAATTAATAAAAAGTAAAAACCTATAACTAAATATAGAGTAAAATAAAGAAAAAATAGGGTTTATTTAATAAAATCAATTTATTTTTCTTATTATTTTAATTATAATAAAAATTACAGGGTATTATGGATAAATAAAATAAAATAAAAACAAACCTATCCCACGGGACCGTACATTTTTCCGGGATAAAAAGAGCATATAAATAAAAACCTTTATAGGGTTCTTTAACCTCAAAAGGTAAAAAAAAGAAACCCTTATAAGGTCACTCTCTTGTCCGTCTGTCCGTATGTCTGTCCGTGTGTCACCACCGATTTTCTCAGGAACGGGTAGACCTAGCTAGTTCAAATTTATACCAGATACTAAGGTCTATAATCCTTATTAGCTGTATAAAAATCAAAGTCCTGAGTCAACATGATAAAAAGATATGGGCAAATTGAGATTTTCGCGAAAATTTATAAGTTACCACAATTTACTTAATTTGCAACTTTTTTATTTTTCGGAATTTCCCCATTACTTGTGCTGTAAGACCTTGCTTTTAACAAAAATTGACAATTCTAGGTCAACCGGAAGTACTCATTAGGTTTTGGGTCGATAACTTATATGGTAGTTCCCGTTGACCTAGAATCACGAAATTTGGTAAAAAGCAAGGTCTTAACAGCACAAATAAAGGAAAATTTCAAAAATTAAAAAAAAGGTGAAAATTAAAGTTAAACAGACTTCCTACAAATGTGTACCGAACCCTCGGTGAGCGAGTCCGACTCGCGCTTGTCCGTAATTTTTCTTTAATGTTGGGAAATGCATTTTCACATACCACCTGTACACATGCAGGTGGTGTATGTGGGACCCGCCAGTTAGAAAATCCAGTACATACTACTCACTAAAACCCAACAAAACGTCCTCCATCTTAAAGGAGAATCGTAGGATCGCTTACGCACTCAACCACGACGCTCCGACGGCAGGTCCGCCGAAGCAGACCCCAACCACGGGGTTGCTCCAAGGTCCACTCTGCTATCAGAGAAGTACCAGGAGCAACCCGCATGGTACACCGCCCTCCGAAGTGGGCCACCTCCCTGTGCATTTTTGGCTTCGCGCCCGGCTGGGTTGCCGGACGCTAATGAGCCCCCCCACCACGACAAGGTGACTAACCAAACCCCCTCTCCATATGTTTGAATGTGTAATGGCTTATTGAGACTGGGCAAACATATAGATCGGGTATTAAGAACCGAGACAACACAAGACAATTTAAGAAGAAAAAAAACTACATACCTCGTTTTCTTTTAGGAAGATTGATGTATGTATAAATATATCTATTTTTTTGTATAATTATAATATTTAGTTGATATATTTTCATATTAATACCATTTTATGCTGTACTGTACCTACACCACACTAAATTAACTTATTTTCTCACTTCTGAACTGGAAGAAATCTCTTAAAGAGATAAGTAATCCTTTGTCGACATTCTGTTACTTTATTTTGTATAACATATAACTATCTTATTTTACAAAAATAAATAAGATTGATAATCAATAACTATTCCACTATGGTCAACCCTTACCTTCTTCATCTTTCTTCTTTGGTTCCTTCTCCTTCTGCTTGGCGTCCCCGGCGGCGGGGGTGGCGGGGGTGGCGGGGGCGGCGGCGGGCGCGGGCGCGGGCTTGGCCTGCTTCTGCGCCGGCTTCTTACTCTTCTTGGCTGGTGCATGTTTCTTCTGCTTCATCCACACCGGCCGCTTGTTTGGATCTTTCTTCTCATTCTTATCGTTCTTGTCATTTTTATCGTTTTCTACCTTTTCGCCATTCTCTCCGGCTTCATCGTCGTCTCTGTGTAATAAAATATATATTTTATTCCAGTTACACTATGTTAGGCAGTAGTAGCCCAGTGGTAACGCGCTAGAGCTTGGGAAACAGAGTGAAGATTTGAACTCTCAAATCCCGGGCCTCTGATATTTTCATGTGCGAGTCATTTATAACATGATTACCACTTGTCTTATGGTGAAGGAAAACATCGTGAGGAAACCTGCATGTCTGAGAGAACCTAGAAAGTTTTCGAAAGACATGTGAAGTCCGCCAACCCGCACTTGGCCAGCGTGGTGGACTATGGCCTGATCCCCCTCATATTGAAGGGAGGCCCACCCCCAGCAGTGGGACGTTAAAAAAGGCTGAATATAACAAAAAGGAGAGGCGACTTCTAAAATTCTTCTCCTAAAAGACTCCTTTATCAAACTGAAGAAATATTTTTTATAAGCTTACCCTTTTTCGTTTAACAAATAATGAACGATTTCTTACTTCATAACATTTTTTTCTTTGATGCTTGTATCTCCAAATAGTTCCCTCATATTAGTCCTGCGAAGGAAAACTGTCACAGTGACAATGGCGCCAGCTGTCACTACCGTAGAGTTTTCATCATCAATTACTGGAAAAATAATATAAAAATATATATAAAAAAAAACAAGAAATTATTAAGAAAATAATAAAGTAATTGATACTTTTTGTATAACAAATTAAATTTTATAATGACACTAATTATACAATGTGACTATTAAATACTAGCCCTAGGTTGATTCCCAGTACAAACTTTCATCCCCATTTTTACCCGACTAATTTCCCAGTAAAAAGTATCCTATATCCTTCCCAGGGTCTCAAACATTCTTCTTGCCAAATTTCATCCAGTTCAGTAGATCCAGAGATTACCCCCTACAACCTCACAAAATTATTTATAATATTAGTATAGATTAATCCAGTTACTGTACAACTAAGTATTATTGTCCAGCCACTTTATTTTGTTTTTTTTTTATTTTATATTTAAAACATCTGGATAAAAGGTTATTTATTTGTAAGTTTTAATTTTAGATTATGTGACAGGCCCGAGCCCGACTTGGTTAACGTAAGTTCTCGTTAGGTATTTTTTTTATTTCATATCCAGAACCCCCAATACTATAATTGCTTTATGTTACTTAAGATTTGGTGACAGTTTTGACTTAAAAATTATAGGTGTAAGAATATAAAATAATATTAGATGTACAGTATTAATAATAATAAATTATTCGTACAGTTACTGTATCAATAGGTTTAGCTTTAATAATATACCTTCAGTATTCACTTGGAAATGTATGTATGGCATGTTGCCTAACACTTTCATCACATCTTCATACTGTTTATCATTCAAGAATCGCAGAACTTGTCTCCTTTCATCTCCAGATAATTGAGCGAGTTGCAGAAGCGACTTGATAGGTTTTTTACGATTTATAAAATATTTTAAATGATCATCAGTTATATATGGCAGTTGAAGTAGCGGAGACTTTTTGTCCCATAAACCTTGAACAATCATCGGTGATAATTTCATGACATTTTCAATTGTCCCAATCGTAGGTAAGCGAGGTACTGAAATAAAAAAAAATATATCATAATTAATAATTCATGTTTTAAAGGAAATAAATAGTATATAACTGTAATAAACATTATAACTGCAACGATTATAAAGGTACATTACTGCTATTTATCGAATACGACAACAACTTCGCGATTATTTCAAAAAGTTTATTGTAGTGGGCAAAATTCAACCATATTTTTTATTGAAACACTAAAACTCGTCAATAGCTACTACGCAAAAAAAAACAGTCTCGCTATGTTCGGTTTAAACATGTTGGCCGAAACGAAATGTCAAACCTGTCTTTTTAACATTTTGCGCGCCCTTTACTTGAAATTCAACATTCGCATTCGTATTCGCGAACATTGGGGGTTGAAAATTCGCATTCGTGGATGTGAAAAACCGAACATTGGTTTATCACAAATAGACATAGAGACAAAAATTTTAAAAATACTTTTTTTTATGTTATTTTGACATTACAAACAGACACTTGATATTTATTTGCATAGATATAGATAATTCAGAACAAACCTAAAACATATATTATAGCCTATGCTATTTATATGAACAACTTACTCCGTCTAGCATAAGCCAAGGCAATCAGCTGGTTCACACAGTTGACCATCTCCACAATGAGATCGGGGCAGCGCGACACCACGTAGCGGCGGTCGGCCTCCAGCGTGTCGGGCAGGCGCATGCGCTGCAGGTGCGCGTGCAGCAGCGCCCGCGCCTTGATACTGTACGGCCGACATAGAGGCTGCTCTTTGTTCTTTTCGCCTAAGTTCGGCAGCTCCCGTAATAACTGTAATTGAAATGAGTCAATTTTATCAAATAAAATATATCTCATAGCACTCTGCGGTAATATAACTTCCCATTAGTGAAAGAATTTTCAGAATCTAATCAGTAGTTTCAAACCATCTAAATACAAACAATAATATTAGTGTAGATAAGAAGCTGACCCCACAGACTTTCTCAATCAAATATCAATAGTTTGGTATATCTATATAAATAAAAATGAATCACCGAAATGTATGTACGCGCTTAACTTCCGATCGACTACACCAAATTGGATAATTCTTTTTCAACCGACTTCAAAAAGGAGGAGGTTCTCAATTCGACTGTATTTTTTTTTTTTGTTTGTTACCTCAGAACTCCGTCATTTATTAACCGATTTGGACAATTTTTGTTTTGTTTGAAAGGGTATACTTCCAGATTGGTCCCATTTAAATTTCAAAAAAAAAAAAATACCACCCCTAAGGGTGGAAAAACAACTAATGATGAATTTAACCTACTTCTAATTGTCATATTGACTTGAAACTTTGCAAGTATTTCTATTTCCATTGATAGTACAGTGGTTCGGTGTTGTTGACCTGATCTGATGGCAAGGCCAAAAGGTGGATAGGTGGAACTCTTCAACGGCTAATAGTAGATACTTTGAGTTTGGGCTTATTTTGTTTGATTTGACAAGCCTAACACGTTAGAATCCTTACTTTGCTACTACTGTCTACACTAAAAAGGGAAAAATAAAAACTTTTTAACAAAAAAATAAAAACCGACTTCAAACAAAAGCACTAAGAAGTAAAAAATAACTGATTGGTAGTTTTCATTTACTATACATACCTAATCAAATATTTTCGAAGTCGGTGTGCTTTGCTTTGTATGGGCTGGCACCGATTTCGAAAATATTTGATTAGGTATGTATTTAATAGGTAGGCTTTAATTACTTAGCCAAAGCACACCGACTTCGAAAATATTTGATTAGGTATGTATAGTAAATAAAAACTACCAATCAGTTATTTTTTACTTTTTAGTGCTTTTGTTTGAAGTCGGTTTTTATTTTTTTGTTAAAAAGTTTTTATTTTTTTAGTTTGTTATTGTCAGGACAAGCTTTGTATAGATGAAAATTAAAAGAAAAAAAATATTTACTAAAAATAAGATTTTTTTTAAATCTCACGATATGAAAAGTGAGTGAGTGATATAGTTTTTATCGCAGAAAAGGTCCTTTAAGGGGGTTAGAATCGGGATGAAAGTTTGTATGGGGGAAGCAAGCTAGGAGCGAAGCTGAGCGAAGCAAGGGTGAGTTGCTAGTTTTTTTAATATAAATATATTACTATTATATTATATCCATACTAATATTATAAATGTGAAAGTGTGTTTGTTTGTTTGTCCTCCTTTCACGGCGAAACAGAGTGACGGATTGGCGTAATTTTTTGTGTGGACTTATTTGGAAGGCTGGAGAGTGACATAGGCTACTTTTTACCGCGGGAGATTATCTAATTCCCACGGGAAAACACGTTATAATACAATCCGAAAAAATACTTATGATCAGAATTACTTGAAACTTGGTACATATTAATGCTCTTCATAAAATTAAATAAATACGTGTTTTAGCATTTTTCGAAATTCATTCTATATGAGGGTAAAATATGAGATGAAACTTTGTATAAAACTACCTTTTTAGATATTTTTTGTAGTTTTAGCGCGGGCGAAGCTGCAGGTTCTGCTAGTTATTTATATATCAGTTATTATTATTATTTCCTGACATATTTTCTTTAAAAATTCTATTTAAACTATTATTAATATTTAAAAAATAAATGAGCCAAATCGATTCAGTGAAATCAGTCATCTTCTAATTGTACAATTATTAAAAAATTGCCGCTTTATTGTTGTTCACAGTCATAATGCAATGTTAATTTAAATTATTTTGTTGTATTCATAGAGCTGGGTGACAGCGACCGCGGCCATTGTTGCTAGTGGCCAATTGTCTATGTTTTAATACTTATAATACTTAATATAATTACGTTTTAATACTACGCGCTAAACATACATCATCATAACATCGAGTTGCGGAAACAAGCCCGAATATACCAAACCATACTTAATATTACACAATCGGATGTACATTTTATGTATGTTTGTTAAGCAACTTTATTATTTGTTGTATAGCAATTTTAAATATAATTAATTAGGCCACTTACTGTGGAAACCCCTCATAACTAAAACCGAAACCCACAGCAAAATCTTTTACAAAGGGGCTTTACATGATTACACAAAGATAAATAGGCCTCATGGATGATCTCAACAAAACAATCCACATTTAATGGTGGAATAATTATTACTTTTAAGATAAATTTGATGTTATATACATTTTTATTACTTAGAAGAAAAAGTGATATTGAAAATGTCACTATTCAAATGTGGAAAAAATAAATGTTATATGTGCTACAATAAGTTATTCAGGATTTCCATACCATGGGTACTTCTTCATTATCTGTGACCCTCTCAATTATCTCAGAATTGTGCCTTCTGTCAAATTCACAAGATGCTGCTAGAATCATCAAAGCCCTTTTTAATGGCATTGAAGGTGTCTTATGACAGAAATAGAAGTACATTTGTGTAGTATCTAACAATACTTGTTCCCCTGAAAACTTAATAGAACGGTACCACCAAGTACCCACCTGCAAGTAGTGAAAATATTATAAACATCTAAAATGTCTTTATCTGTTATAGTCAATATTATTAATAAAATTGCTACTACAAAAAAGTTATATTTGTAGAATATTATATGAAGTAATGTTATATTTGAAACAAATTGAAAAATTACAAATCAAGGTTGTTTGATAAGAAACTAGCATTACTAATTTAAACAAAATGAACACAGTATACAAAATTACACTTAAGAGGCCTATTACATTACATATGACCATGATTTTTCAATTTAATGCCCATCTTTCATAATCTTGTTCAGAGAAACTGAAACTCTTCCACAATTTTGACTTATTGTTTGGTAAAGAATAGTAATTGATATAAAGCCAAAATTCAGAAGCAAGTTTTCAATAAAAAAATTTTAGTTTTCACTTTTTAGAGCTCATAGATTGAAATACTATACTAAGCAAACGAAATGAAAAATATATAATAATATTTTGTATATAGTGTTTGAGTTTATAGGGGCCTTAGAGTTTGAAAATATATATTAGATTTCTACAAAAAAATCCTTTTCAAAATCTTAAAAACTATTTAAAACATTCAGAATTAGCTGTAAATATATCCTTACAACATTAATATTATGAAGTAAAATTTATACAACATTATACATCAGTTTGAAAGAAACATAATAACATACTTTTTTTTAAATAAATTATTATAAAAACTTTACATAGAAGTAATAACAACTGCAGAAAATGCTAGAAACAGCAATGCATCAGCTGCTCGAACATTTTGTGATAGGCCTCTTAACATATTTGAAATAAATATCCTTTGATCTATATTACTCAAATAATATTATTAACATTTGTATAAATTACTTACAGCAGTAGGCAATGCCACCATAAACACTAAAGCATAGAGCCCAAGGACCCACACACTATTCTCTTTCTCTACAATCCAACTAGGTAAAGCAATGCCAAAGCTCATAGCACCAGGTCCATCAGGATTTCCATACTTCTCCCAATTTCTCCTAGCTTCATCATCTGTGAGAGCCTAAAAAAATAGCCCATATAGCCAAATAGAGATATAAAAAATTACAATAAGTAATATTTATAACAAAAAGACAGAATAGAATAATTCTTATTATGATTGCATCCTAGGCACATTAATTATAAATATATTTTTAAATAGTTGTGTAGGTAAATTACAATAAACTTACTTGATATGCTTTTGTTAATCTCATAAAAGCTTTTTCATCTCCTGTCTCCTTGTCAGGATGAAGAATTAAAGACTGTTTACGATATGACTTTTTGATTTCAGCTTGAGTTGCTCCAGGAGGCAAGCCTAATATTTCATATGGATCAAAATTGGACATTTCATAGTCAAATTGGGACACTTTCATTGCCAAAAATGCAAAAAGCACCCATCCTGAGATAATTGCCAGCATAATAAAGAAGTTTTTCACTTTTTTGTAAGGTTCTGACTGTTCTATTATTATTTGTTTTTGTATGCAATTTGGACACTGACATAGTTCTGCTTGTTTAGCTGGATCTGAAATTTATATATTTTTATAAAAGAAGATAAATTGAATGATAAAGTTCTTAGTTAAAACTATTTCTCAGATTTATCAACGTGTAATATTGTGCGTCAAATTATAAATACCGTATCGTGACAAAATTGTAATTAGACCAATGAAATCTTCAAGCAAAATAATGTTATTTCTAAAATCTCACATAAAATGTAACTTAGATTTTTAAACAAATAAATATTTAATGAGTTTTTACTATTAAATCCAAAATGTTACCTTCTTTCCTTTTTCTTGGCCAATAATAAAATGTCGCCGGCACTAATATAAGAGCCAGAAACGATAATACAAAATAGAAATAGGTAGCTCCACTCTCATCATATTCAAACTTTTGTCCACCCATCGTGAATATTTTACATTATTCAATTTAAATAGGAGAAAATCATTACCGCGCTACATGAACAACGAGTAACCTGACGTGTCATTCACAATTTCGTGTAGTGACGTACTAAGTTCAAAAACTATATTATTGAAATAAATTGTACTTGTCTTTGAATTTAAGAATAAAAAATATATTTACTATATTATAATATAATTATTCGTAGAAAAAGGTTAGGTTTTGATACCGAAATAAACCGGTTAATTCATTCATAAGTAAAAAACGTAAAGTTTCCTTTTAATAGCATAGATTCACCAAATGTAAGTGCACAAAAACTCATTTTAATTTTTAACCGGTTAATTCATCATGGAACTTAAATTCGTCTAAAACCATTCTCCGGGTTTTAACCGGTTAAAGAACGTAAACGAAACTTTAAATCGAGAAACCTATTGGTTTGGGGTCAGTGACCAAAACTGGTTTAAAAATTGAACGGGTTTTCGAGTCGGTCTTGCTATGCATTCAACCTTATGACTAAAAGCAGCACTCAAGATTTATCAATTATCACCAACATATATTTTTGACATTGACGTTAATCTTATTTCACATCGGTGACTTTTTATTAATCATTTACTGAAAAGCAGTTGCATTATCCATGTAACCACTACGTTTTGAGCAGTTATTACTTTTATTTGTCATCCATGGTTATTACAATTTTGTTGTTCCTGGTCTGTGCTGCCTAATTTGTCATCTATGCAGTGACAACTGACAACTGACATTGATTAATTAACATGACATTTGAGAATTATGAAAAAATAAAAATTTAAAAAAATCAACTAAATTTAAGGTATTATTAATGCGTAAATTAAATATTTTCTAAATCATGTTCATCAATACCATGTAATATAAGAGAAGCCGTGAAATTTTAACCTCACTCATATAGTTTATATAACTAAGAAATGTTTATTTATTTTTTAGTTACAATATCATTTTGTTAATTTTTTTATATTATAAATGTTTTAGATGGCTACTAAAACAATAGCAAGCGCGACAGTACGTGCTGTTAAAAAACGCATATTGCCATCAAGAGCAGCACTTATTTTGACCCCTTCAGCAGTAAATAAGGTCAAGGAGATAATGTCTAAAGAAGAAGCTAAAGGCTTTATTGGTTTAAAAGTAGGTGTCCGACAAAGAGGCTGCAATGGTTTATCATATACATTGGACTATGCTACTACAAAAGGAAAACTTGATGAAGAAGTAAAGCAAGATGGTGTAACCATAATTATTGATAAGAAGGCCCAGCTGACTCTATTAGGTAATTTAAAATTACATGTTTAAAGTAAAATTTCAAAATGGCATGAAGTTCTTTTAAGTTGTGTGTTGATAAATATATATTTCTCTAATAAATTCATTTGATTCATTCATTAAATCTCTAGAATGTATAAGTACTATACATACATAAGGTTAATAAAAATTTTAACATTACAGGAACAGAAATGGATTTTGTTGAAGATAAATTATCAGCAGAATTTGTGTTTAACAACCCTAATATAAAAGGCACCTGTGGTTGTGGAGAATCTTTTAGTATATAATAATTGTGGAAATTATAGGTACATATTTAATTTTTACAGTTTTGTTCAGTTACCCTTTATTAATAATTAAACAATGGATACATTTAATTTGTAGGTTTTTCTGAACCTTTTTTAAGTGTAGAAAATATAGCAGTTTTAGAATTAAAAACGGTAACTTTGTATATAGAATCTATTGTTTTCTGTGTTGTAGAAAATTATTTGTATAGATTGTAAAAATTATATTTAGTGATAAGCAGTTTCAGTATATTTTGTTAACTTTCAATAAAAACAAGTTATGTTTTAAAAAGTTTTTTATTGTTTTGCTATAACAACATGGAATCTACTTTATTTCATGTAGTACTAGTTTGATTTTGGTTATTTCTGATTTTAGAATCCACAAGTATATTTAACATACTTTAAATATATAATTTTAATTTCAAATTATATAAGTAACTATAATTACAAATTATGTAACACAAGTGTGCAGATGATATCTTTGAGTAAAAATGAGTGTGCAAATGATATCTTTGAGTAAAAATGTTGCAAACATTGCCTGTCACATTTTGGCAAGATTTATATTTCTATTTTTTTGTGAAAATCTTGTTTAGTATTCTTTAGAGCCTAGACATGCATGCATTCTTCTGTTCTACTGTAGAAGTCCTTGTCTTAATATACTTGCTTAACTTAGGCTGTCTGCATCCTGTACTTTTTTCAGTAAAATTAAAATTATCATTTTTATGACAGACCAATCGAAATCTGTATATTTTTAAGAGAAAAAAATATTGAAAACCTGAAGTTTTATGATTTTAAAATGTTACCAGGAAAATATATAAGGAATAGAAATTCGTAAAATGTCCCCTATGCCCAGCTACCCCCGAGAAATGGGGGGACGTAAAGCGTTGTAAAATACTTTTTTTCAATTTTCGGCTTACTGTGACGTTCTATCGAAAAATGTTTTCTACAAAACTTGTAGCTCTAGTATCAAAAAATCAAAAGGTCAAAGTTTGCAAGATATTTGTAAAAAACTCGGTTTTTAACTTTTTCTTGGTTTTTTTATTTTTAATTTCTAGAATAATCTTTTGATTAACATGAAACTAAGGGTAAATTCGAAATAACTTCGAAAATATCTGATTAAGTATCTATTCTAAATGAAAACTTCCGTTTAGTTATTTTTTACATTTTAGTGCCTGGAAGTCGGTTTTTATTTATTTTTTAGTTTTTTTTTTGCCGTAGAATCAAATCACGTTTTAATTTTTTCGAATTTATCGATATTTTATTTTTTTTTAATCGATTTTAGCTCAGACCAATAAAAAAGTTTTTATTGGTCTGAGGATTTTGGAGTAAATATTTTGAGTTAACATTTTAAGGTAATTACAGAAAGAAATGAAATTCATTCATAGTCTAATCTTGTTTATTCATTAGTTAAAAATATATTTATAAAAAATTAAATTGATATTTATAAAATTTAGCCATAGTTTTGTTAAAAAATTCTAAAAAAATGTAAAAAATACAGATAGATAACGACAGACAGACAGACATCGACGTCAAACTTATAACACCCCTCTTTTTGCGTCGGGGGTTAAAAATAGTTATCTCCGCTCTTAAGGCATCAGAATAGATCATCATTATAGTCTTCAGGCCCAACAAAATAGGCCAAAGAATAACGTAAATTAGTCATTCAATTACATCGTAAGCAATTTATGAATGTAGTATCTTTTCAATTATGACAATATTATGTAATATGTGCAAGTATCCCTTAAAAATAATTGTGTCAGTTTATTGATTATTCTAAAGTACCTACATTACCTAATTGATTTTAACCATACCATAGTCTTTAAACTGGAAGAGAAAAATATTACAAAGTGTCAGGAAAAATCCATTAAAGTAATACACATAAATATAATGTTCTCCAGACCAATATCGGCTTCTACTTGACTGGTCATCAAACGCAGGAAATGTACACTAATACTTTCTTAGATTTACGCGAATATTTGACATTTTAAATAACACTATCTTTTCGGATTTTTTCTCTTTCTCCGTCTCTATGAGAGATTCTCTCCTGTGACCATGATTGCTGTAAAGCATTCGAAACGTCGGGAACCAAAAATCAAAATAAATTCGTGAAAAAATCCGAAAAGATAGTTTTATTTAAAATGTACACTAGTTTATTTGTTTTCATATTTTATGAACATAGTATAAATTAACTGACTCTATAGTAGTTAGTGTAGTGGTTACCATGTATTATCATCCTCATGATGTGTACCATATCATCACTACATAAGTAATATAAAATAAAGTCCCCCGCCGCTTCTGTCTGTCTGTCTGTCTAAATGCGATAAACTCAAAAAATAACGAACGAATTTTCATACGGTTTTCACCAATAGGTGGAGTGAGGGTTTATGTAAATTGACCGAAATATGACGATTATTGTTGAAGATTATTTTATTGGCGTGCGCCGGGTAAACTAATAAAGTTATATGAAAACAATGTATTACAGAATTATTCCCTTTAAAAGATCTTCCTATGAAACTGTATCAACGCTACGTTTGCGTACCTAGGGACGCACGGCGCACCTAAGCGAAGCGATGGCAAGTCACTAGTACTCAACATAATGAGGTCGTAGTTTCGAGTTCCGAGTCGGACCAAATGTACCTAGTTATTGGGATTTCTGTCAAGAAATTTTCAGTAGGTAATAACCCAGAGAAAGGGAGTTGGGCGTTTTTACGCCTGTGCTTTGGAAAGCAAGTAAAGCTGTCGACCCTTCGTCTGATTTCTCATCGCCGCACCGGACTTGAGTGTAATAAATAAAGAGTATGGTCACTAAGTCAAATTCAGCCGAGTTTAGGTCTTGTATAGACAAAGCTGCCGTCTTTACCGCCCGGAGGTTTGCTTCAGTTGGCCAGCCGTGAGAATGTCGTAGCTTTAAATGCGTAAGTGATTCTTCGCCCCATTGGGCCGGGTAAGGTTCTTTTTTTGAGAGGGAAGGAACGATCTTAGAGCGTAATACTGGCTTTTCTAACCAGTGAGCTACCATGTAACCCCTTTATGTATGCATAATCCACATACGATAAAAAAAGAAATACTTATGTGACTCCATGTTTTATTTTGTGGACAGTGGTAACGCTGAACGCATTGGCAAACCGAGTAAAGCGGGTTTAAATCCCGAGTCTCGCACCTCTGATATTTTTATGTGCGAATCATGGAAAACATCGTGAGGATATCTGCATGTCTGAAAGTACCTAGCAAGCTCGTAAGACTAGTAAAGTCCGCCAAGCCGCACTTGTGCCTCTAGTATTGAAGGGAGGCCCATGCTCAGCAGTGGGACGTTAAAAAAAAGGGGTTGAATCTATCTGTGTACTAAATTTCATCTACTATCCAGCTGATTTAAAATGAAGGAATTAAAATATACATGCACAAAAATTTTAATTTGGAAATAGTAGTGTGCTATATATAATATATGTATAATACTTCAAGTACTTTACGAGACATGGAAAAAAGTAGACAATGAAAAAAGAAGCTATTGCGGTGACAGCTGAGAATAAAAGAGATAGGAGTAATTAAATACCTACTTGTTAATGTTTACCTTTAGATTTCAATTATTTAGAAATTATTGTGAGATGTGACCAAATCAGTACCATTTTAACTTTGGTTGGATAAATCTGTTATACCTTCATTATTATAGCAGCAGTAGAGACTGTCTGATGGTGATGATGGATATCAAAGAGAGTTTGTAATACCTTGAAGTGTAAAATGTTGTCGTTATAAACCTAGTGCTCAAGTGTTCAAGACAACTATACCATCAATGTTTAATGTATTACTACCTCATTGCTGGTAAATGGTGTATATTGATACCTATTCCAATTTCCAACTCTTTATTTATACATCCATGTTTCCAATTTTCTAACGAACGTTAGGCCTAGTGCGCACGAGTAACTTTTGTCCCAGTGACTGTTTAGTCACTCTTGCCTGGCCTATGAATAAATATGGAGGTGCGCGCAAGTTAAAACCTGATAATTTTGTATTTCATATTATTTTTAACCGACTTCAAAAATAAACGACGTTATTAATTCGACACGTATGTATGTAATATTATGAAATAATATATTTTTGTAATCACTTTTTAAATCTTTTCCTTTTAAAAGAAAATTATTAACTTTGAAAGAAAAAACAGCAAGATATCCAGATTGACGCCTACGCTGCAGGCTGCAAGCTGTAGGCCTAGGCAATGGCTTCTGTGGGAGCGGGTGTTTCATTTCCTCAAAATATTTTTTAATTATTTGACTCCCTATCGTCTTCCCTATCCAAAAATACCAATTACTACCTATCATCATGTCATAAACGTATCAAGAGTTCGCACATGTGACCACAAACTAAGTAGAAATGACGCTTGGATTTCAAAAAAGTTTCGTGACAATCACACTCCATGCACGCACTCCACTGATGTGACAAAAGTCACTCGTGCGCACTAGGCCTTAGGGCAACCATAACCAGCAAGGGTATTGTGTAATTTGTAAAACGTTATGGAGGTAATTAATATTAAATCTTGGTATTTTTCGATAATCATCAAATATTTTAAAAATAAACATCGAACAATCCTAACGACTTTAGAAACATAAAACTCTGCTTCTATTGGCTTGAACTTGAAGTTTTGATGTGCTTAGTTTATATGAGACACTTAGAGGCATACGTACACACATAAGCTAGCATGTGACAATGTGTATACTCTAAGAACACTTTCCAAATAGGGAAGAATTTTGCCTTTTTCCCACACTAGATGTCATGATCACTATAGCCTTCAGTATATTGTACAGCTCTATAGCGTGGATGGTATTTATTTATTTTTTATTTGGATCCACTAGTGATAATTACATTGAAACATTTTTTAATTAATTACACAATTTAACTTAATCCTAAATGCATTACCTTTTAAAGTGGATACAGCATGCATTAATTTAATTCACAATTTTAAATTTCGATAAATTAAAATATAAATAAAATGTAAATAACATCACTACATTTTTCATTTTATTTAAAATTTAATTAAAATTACAAGTTGTACAATGCCAGGATGCAACGAAAATGGATATCACTTGTGTGAAATGTGAAGGAAGACAAAACCTGTGGGATAAAGCAACAAGAAGACAAAAATTGGTGAAATCACACTCTTCCTATTTAAGGCTATGTAGACATCATTTTAAAGAAAGTTATTTTAAAACTCTTAAATCACCTACTTACAAATAACTTTTTTTGTACTTTTTTACATATTAATTAGATTTTACAGAGTTTCACTCAAACATTCATGCCCCATTTTAACCTCCTATGGGAATGAATTTCGAAAAATGCTATATTTATTTCATTGTATTGAAGAGCATTAATACTACGTTTTAAGTGATTCTGATCATAATATGCCCATATAAACTATATTATCTCCTTTTATCCCTTTAAGGGATGAATTTTGAAAAATATCAAACAATACATATTTCTTAATTTTTATCTTAAAGCTAAACACTACTTTCTGTGTATTTCACACAACGGCTACTCAGCCCGAATGAGTAGTCGTTCATTTCACATTAAGAATGACAGAGTTTCATACAATTTTTAATCCCCTATTTTACCCACTTACGGGATGAATTTCGAGAAACTTCTTTTTCATCGGATTCTATATCATTCAAGGAATACGTCTTCCAAATTTCAAGTTTCTACGACCAGCGGTTTATGCTGTGTGTTGATTCACCTCCAGTCAAGACCACCACAGGATGCACCTCTTATTCTCAGTTCTTTTTTCAGCTGGTTTAACTTCCAGGTACAATACATTGCACAGGTACAATGCGAACACAATAGAAGAAAAAACCAGGTACAAAGAGATATTACAATAAATTGCTTCACCAAGAGTGAATGTAAATAGGCGATACGTGTGGCGCCCTCCTTTCGAGAAATTTCCCCATTTCAACAGTTTAACCTTTTTGGCTATGGAACCTGCAAAATGGCTGAATAATGAATTTAGTGTTCATAAATATATCTTTACTGAAAAATGTATAATTTTGTATTTGTACATATTTATTTATTTATATTATTTTATATTAGTCACATTATATTACATCACAAATTACATAATAATTATGTACAATATTCCGTAAAAAAAAGAAAAATTATATTCCACAGATATACATGTATTCAAATCAATGTAAAAAGGAAGGCCTTCACTACATCTACAATAATATCTTCTATTTCGCTCGCTCAAATAACATGGAGGTTGTGCCATGAAACGTTGTTGAAGTGTTTGTCTTTGTTTACGTGTCGAAATCAACGAACGAAACCTGTGAAATTACTCGAAGTGTATTTTGTTACGTTATATGGAATTTCTTCGAAGATATATTTGTATTCAATTTTTATTGAGGACTAATATTGTGATTATTGCTTGAAATGAATAACGGGGAGGTTGGAGGATCCCGAGGCAGAGGCCGTGGTTGGCAACATCCCGACAACAAACCTCGTGAGCTTCGCCGGCCTAAATCTGTGGCTGATGATACAAAAGGTTTATTTTCTTTTCAAAATTATATATCGAATAAGATTTTCTATTTAAGATCATAAGTATAACGACCGACGTCACTTCTCGTACAGCGCGCATTGAATCTTCAGGTGAAAGTTTTAGAGGAATTTTTATTTGTGGTGACGTCGGCGAAGTTTGACAGGAAGAACCGGCAGTATAATAATTGATTTATTTTTTTCGAATGTTTTAATTTAATTGAAATCGACGAAAATAATATTGTCCATGTATGTAATGTAAGCCATTTTAATATATACTTAATTAGTTTTCTTTTGCTAATAGTCGAACCATCTAAGTCAAAATTATCAGCAGAAGCCAAAGAATGGTACCCACCCAACTATGTTGCTCAAGCTCCAGTAGTGTATGCACCGGACCCTCACAGATTACCACGTTTTTCTGTACAAGATAGGATAAGGCAGGCCCAAGACCAAGATCCTTACAATTTTGAAGATATGTCGTATTCACTTGAAGAAACTGATATGAATTTAAGGGTTTGTATGGCATACATTTAGCTCAGTAAATATTAATATACTTAAGGAAAGAACAGAAAAAAACAAAACTACAACTTAAAAAAAGAAAAGATGAAATTGTCATCGTAAAAAAAATGAAATTGTCATGTCAATCTCTGAAATCTGTGACTTCCATTACCTTTAATATTGTAATCAGCTTGGACAACTTGAATATTGAATATATTATCTTGTTAGAACATTATATACATTTTTGTTAGTTATGTTAGCCACATTTCAACACAGTGTAATAAATAATTCATATCATATATGTACAAATTAGAGAAATCCATATAAAGAAATTTAATTTATAATAAATTGTTAATTTATTGACATAAATGAAAATTGGCCACTAACAGTAATTTTTCTAAGAAATAGGCAATTTTACAGTAATGACATGTTTCAATCATTATTACATATCAGATCAAAATGTATATATTTAAACCACTTTTATTATATCAACACTAACTATACTAATATGATTTAGAGCTTTTTTTATTTATTATATGTGTCACTTGCTTTTTTATTAAAAAGGCTCTTTTACATCACGCTGCAATGCTTAAAGTGAAGTAATTATAGTTAAATAAACTATGCAAACAGAGCTGCAGACAAAAAAGCTGGTTATAATTAAAACTAAAAAATGAATCTAATATACATATTAATGTTAATATTAGCATTTTGAATAAATTTAAGGCCATTATTGATATATGCATTAATAATTTTAGACCTATCAATAAATGTTTATTCAACAGGAGAATATAGCCAACTTGATAACAGTTATGTGTGAGATAACATTTGACCCAGGCAAGTTTGACACCTTATGTGGTCCATTGGTGGATTCTTTTATTTTGACTTTAAATGATGCTAACTACACTCGCCCACTCGTTGAAGCTATTGTTAATCAGGTAAGAACAAAAAGATTATTATAATCATAATCATAGTGCAGCTTTAACTTTATTTAACTAGTATTCAACCTTTTGCAAAAAAAGTGGTCATTAGCAGTTGAGTTTTAGCACAAGAAATTGGTCTTCATTCAACTAAAAATATAATTTATTTTAAATGAAATAAAATCTTTGTTGATTGATTTTTTGCTTTTTAGCACTGGGTTAAGAGTTCTAGTGTTGCAAAATTGAGTTTCTATTGCCATATAAATTTATATTGGTCATATACAGTATACCATTTGTTATATTCTGGATTTACATAAATGTAAATTAAGGTTTCATTGACCTCAGACCTTGTAGGAAGTGATTGGTATTAAAATATTTACACATACATATTTAATTTTGTATGATAACTTGAATTAATCCTATTTTTGAGAACTGACTGACTTTGTTTATGAAATAAGTGGTTTTGTCTAAAATATACCTTCTTTTGTAGTCAATTGCTGAAGCAAACTTCCGTTACAATGGAGCTCGTCTATGCTCCATGTACGACTCGGTGGCTTCTCCAGAAGACTCTACTTTCCGTGCATGTCTGCTTGAGCGTTGCTTGGCAGAAGAGAATAAAATCATTAGTGGTCATGAGACTTCAGAGGAAAATATGCGTGGATTTGCTATGTTTTTAGCTGAAATATATACACAGCTGGAAGATAGTCAGGTTGGTTGGATATGACGAAACAGCTGATATTCTTGTTATATTTCATACTAGCGACTTATCCTCGCTTTGCTTGGGTGCGTCCATGAATACGTGATTTTTAAGGGTTTTCGATTGTCGCGTTAGAACCCTAAATATTTCCAGACTAAAACATACCCTATATGTAGCCATTTTTGTTAATGTTGGGGAATACATTTATGTATATTTTGTGAGACTCACCGGCTACTATTGCTACTGAAAAGCCAGTACTACCCACTAAAACCTAACAAAACCTCCCCCGTCTTAATGCGGTGTCGCGGGATCATTTACGCACTCAACCACGACGCCCCGACGGTAGGTCTGCCTAGGCAGACCACAACAGCCATGGGTTTGCTTTAAAAACGGTCAACTTTGCTATCAGATAAGTACCAGGAGCAACCCGCATGGCACGCCGCCCACTGGTGGGCCGTCTCTCAGTGCGTGCGTTGGCTTCGCGGCCGGCTGGATTGCCGAACGCTATTGAGCCCCCATACCACGACAATGCACGGTGGACCTTATATGTAGCCCTACTAACTCCTCTTATCTTTCTGTCCCATTAAAATCGGTTAAGCTGTTCTAACAAGCTGGACAAACAAAAATTAAAAAAAAAAGTTGTTTAGTTACTGGTATCATATAAATAACTATAACTTGTAGTAAAACATAGTCATTTTGAAATCACAGACAGACACTTCAATTTTATTTATATGTATACTGTATAGATTTTGTAACACTATCAAGTTTTGGAATTAAATCTTTGCAGCTTTACATTTCCTTAGTTATTTAAATATAAGTATAGTATGCTTGGATATAGGTAAAATTAATGCTACAAAAAAGTGTTTATTTAAAATATTTAAAAAGCATTCATGCACAAAATTGTAATTTAAAGGCAGTCATGCAATGAAATAGTTGTTCAATTAGTTTTTATCTTCAAATTTGATTATCAAAAAATATATATATATATATATATATTACATTTGGATAAAAATTTGGAGTAAAAGGAACATATTTCTTGCCAGTAAAAATGATAATGTATTATTTTGTGTGTATATTCATTAATTTTATATATTTATACATTTTTAGGGAGGAAGAATCAGGTCATTAGGTGAAAGCCTTTGTAAGGTATTTTTACACCTGTTAGATACTGACAAAGAAACCAATATAAAAGCAGTGTGTCAATTATTGAAAGTAAGTAAAATAATAATAATTAACTAATCTCACAAACAATTACTGATAAGATATTAAATAAGTTTTTTGGGTTAGATAGTGGCTAGTATTTCATACACCTTAATCATTATTATTCAATGGATGATTATGTAGATATTAAATTTGTTTAAAAAATAAATTGTTGTTACTATAATATTTTCACTTTAGCATGGTGCGGGTGACAGACAAACCTATCCTTTTTGTTGCTGAATGTTTGTATAAATTACACATGAAAGGCACAGGGAATGTCCTAATGAATAGATTATGAGAAAAAAGCAATTTGAAGTTGAAGTATAATATTTTTGTTGAGGCCAAAGTATGCAGTAACTTTGTACTATGTAGATTTTTGGACAATTCTCCTTCTTTACCGGTATGTCATGGACATACCTAGTTAATTTCACTTTGGGCATAGATAAAAACGTATTTTAGTATGTGAGTATTTATAAAAACCAGTGGTTGGGAATACAATTACCATAGACATAGATTTGTTACCAGTACATAACAAAAATTGTGATAATCCCTGTTATTTGCCTGTACCCTTCATATTGTGTAATAGTTTTGCTCTAACTTAAATAATAGGAGTGTATGGTACTAAATCATTGATAAATGTAGTAAATTTTAAGGAAATTTAATGTACAATATGTAGGTAACTCTTTTTAAATACATTCAAAATTAAAAAAAAAACGATTTGTTGTACATATAAAATAATGTCTTAGTGGTGAGACATTGTTGCTACATATTATGTAGGAAGTAGGTACTTTTTGTACGCTATTTAATTATTTGTTCTTAAATAACAATTCAGAACAAAAAAAAATTACATACCACATATTAAACTGATTCAGTCATATTTTGTTTATCTGTTTTTTTCTTGGTCACATAATGGATCTCGAGAGAAAGTTATATTGGAGTGTTTCTTATTTTGAATTAATAAAAATATGAGTTTGGTATTAACAATATTTAAAAATATTTTTTCTTACAGATTTTACTCTTAAATTTTTATAGATAAAATTAATTCAATGTTGTCACTTCCCAATTCATATGGTACTGACAAGTGTCAACCGCATTATGCTACGATGAAAATAGACAGTATATTTGTGTGAGACACATTCTATTTTAAGATTTGTCCATTATGTATTGTGGCTGCATTTCTACCTATTTATTAAACAATGACCAGAAATAATAAATGTGAAACTTATAACATATGATTTTAATTCAGGCTATGTATGACCTATGTATATGCTGTTCTATTTATCCTTCTTTGACACCAAATTGCAATGGATTACATTTTAAATTTTTCAATATAATAAATAGTACGCACATTGATAGGTTTATTTCTTAGCAGAATTGTATTTAGATAAAGTATATATTGATGTATTTAATTTGACAAGATAGTTTTATTTAAAATGTCAAATGTTTTTGCAAATCTAAAAAAAGTATTATTTCACTCGAGTATAAAATGCGTTATAATTCTAGCTGTCAGGAATAGCCCTGGACGCGGACTGCCCGGCGAGCATGCACTTGGCGTTCGAGCGGCTCAAGTACCGCTCGCACATGCCGAGCGTGCGGCACGTGCTGGCGCTGCGGGCGTCGCGCTGGGGAGTGGCCGACAGTGAGCCCGACTCGCGCCTGCAGGCCGACTCGCGTCGTCGACACCCTACTAGTGGTATGTCGGCCAATTTGTTGATGTTTTTTTTGACATTCGAAAGTATGTCGGCCAGTATTTATAACGATGATTGGTTTTCATACTAAGTACGTCTCGTTTGTAGCCGTCATATTATGTCGGCCAAATTTTTGATGACTAACCTCAATATGTGACGTAGTAGTATGACTGACTAATGTTTCCAATTATGTCCAGAGTTACTGCCATTTCTTATCATGTTGACTTATTCAGCTTATTTGAATTGCAATAATTTTCGACATATTAATCATATGTAATATCTATATAACAATTATTTAATGAGAAGGGGTTCAAAAAGATATAATTTTTGAAGTGAAAACTTCTATAGGCAGGTTTGGATGGGGAGTAAATTCAAGAAAGTCGACACGTTCACGTGACGTTGTTAGCTCTAAACCTCGGAGTGTCGATAGATGTCAAAACCAGATAAATGTAAACAGTTTTAATTTACAAATTTTAATTTAAGATCAAACAATTTGAATACCCAAAAATAACAACTGTTTGTTTATAGTTTTAAGTTTTCACTTCTGTCTGCAGTCCTTGTGACAGTTTTTTTTAAATGTTCATTATTAAATTTAATACGGTTTCTATAGGGAAAACATTGGAAAAATATTGGACAAATAATGATAAAATTCTGGCGGCTTAATAAATAACTACTGAAATTTAAATATAAGAACGTCTGTGGTGTCAGCTAGTATAAAATATATCTGAGGTCTTGGAAAGAAACATTTTACGTACAAAAACACATTTTTTCAGTATGACACTAAAGATTTGATTAAATACAGACCGATACTATGACCTATTTAAACAATTTAAGAAAATACAACCATTGTATTTTCTTCAAGTTAGAGTGACCAGGGTAGGGTTAGAGTTTAGACTAAAATAATAAAAAAAAATTTATTTAGTATTTCTGTCCGACATCACAGAAATGTATTTAGTAGGTTGCTAAGCTACAAAGACATACATATTACACGATGTGTTGTGTTTGCTGTTCGGCAGTGACGAACTCGCACGCGAGCGCGGAGGCGGAGCTGGTGGGCTACCTGGCGGACGGGCAGGCGCTCACGCTGGAGGAGTGCAACTTCCTGCAGAGCAACCTGCCGCCCAAGCCCGCCGCCCTCGACGACGACATACTGTGAGTATCTTGACACTTACCATCAGACTAAACGATTATATATTTAATGTCAAGAATAGTAGCGTGTTTTGCTATGTATGATACAGATAGTTTACTTTTTTGAATGAATACGGAAAATTTTATGTAAATATTAGTTGTTAACTTTCAATTTTTCATTTACATTATTTTATATTTTAAACATTATTTCTCGTTGTTTTGTAAGAGAGATAGCATAATGTTAGCTTTTTTTTCTTTATTATAATAATCCGTTTTTTATTTTTGTTTATTACTTACCACATCAATGAATATTCTATAAATATTTGTATTCTATTTTAAAACGTTATATATTTTACTATATATTTATATATAGACTTTACAGTAATAAAGCTTATACATTAGGGTAACACATGACCATCTATACTTATTATAAAAATAAGTCCCCCGGCCGCGTCTTTCTGTCCTCCTGTCTGTCCTCCTGTCTGTCCTCCTGTCTGTCTGTACGCGATAAACTCGAAAACTACTGAACGGATTTTTATACGGTTTTCAACAATAGAAAGAGTAATTCTTGAGGAAGGTTTAGGTATATAATTTATTATGCTTTAATGTAAATTAGCTGAAATACGGCGACAAATGTTGAAGAGGTCGCAAAAAATCTCGCCAAATGGGAACTTTCCACGCGAACGCCGCGTAAACTAGCAAAGATACAGTTAAGTAATGTACTAGAGAATTCAAAATCTATAAAAATGCTACAAAAAAGTCCGCGATAGCATATCTCTATCTCTTACGGTTGACTTACAATAACCACTTTTATGTTAACATTTTTAATTAAAAATATTACGTTATTTTCAAAGTTATTTTCTTTAGTTCGGTATTAATCCTTATCCAAATGAATATTTTAGTTAGCTTAGTCATTTAATGCAGATTAAAATTGCTCTTTACACTAAATCAATCAGATGAATAGTTTTTGAGATATCGTTGTTAGAAGTAATTAGTAGCGAAACATTTTTAATGCTTGGCGAGCATTGAGATGCCTACGGCGAGTCCATCCCCTCTGCCCCGCATCGCTCGACCGCCTGCTCAAGCTATATAAACCGGGCGATGTAGCGCGCGATCCTAGGATACTTTTTACCGCGGGAAAATATCTTATTTCTGAGGAAAAATACAAAAACTGCAATGTAAGAGTATACTAATATGTAACACCTAAGAATTTAGTTTTTGGTCATCTGAACGCGGGCGGAGCCGCGGGCAATGCTAGTAATTTATAATAACATAGTTCAATTATTAGTAATTCATTTGTAACAGTCCGTTATACAGGTCTTGGAAACCCGCTCGATTTTTAACCGATTTTGGTCATTAACCCCAAACCGAAAAGCTTGTCGTTTGACGTTTAAATTTGGCCATTGGCGTCTTTGCTAATAATGAATGGCTTTAATAGAAGGATACACGTATGTTTCTTACTTATGAATGAATTAACCGGTTTATTTCAGTAACAAAACCGAAACCCAACCTTTCTCTAAGAATAACCGTTAACTGTTACTATTTCGACACTAAGCCGTTCGTTTGTATTAACCAGTTAAAGAACCAGCGATGAAATAACCATTACATTACCGAAATAAACCGTTTCCGGTCCAAAAACCAGTTCCGAGACCTGCCGTTATTTATAAGTAATATACTCAAAATATTTCTTGGGTGTCTATTTCTTTTGTATTCGTTTTTTTGTTTTATATATTCAAAACCACTTTTATAATTTATTTATAAAAGTGTCTTAAACAACGAATATTTTGCTTATGTAGTACTCTGACATTGTATTCTATATATAAGATTAATTGAACGCTTATATGGCTTACACTGTAAAGGTGTATAGTAATAATATTAAATAGCCGGCACGACGGTAAGTGTCGGTCTATTTTATTTATTTTACTCAAGTAAAAGTATAAATAATTTTTATTATTAATGAAAATAAAATTTAAACAATATGTGATAGTTAGCCAATAAATTAATTCACTTTAGCCCAGACAAAACATCCTTACATTTATGTACATACAATGATAAATATATATTAATAAATAAAATTGGCTTGTCAGATTCCAGAATCGCTTATATTCATAAAAAAATGTCTGTTTGTATGTACGCCATATTCGAACTGCTTAGTGAACCTTAGTGGCATTTTATTAGCGGATAAAAGATTTAGGAAAGTGCGATTTCCACGGGATATAGAAAAGAATATATATATATATATATATATATATATATATATATATATATATATATATATATATATATATAATAGTGTAGTAGTCTCTATCCTAATTATATTTAAAACGAACTCATAATACGAATATATCGCAAATATAAGGTTATTAAGTTTTATTTTGTAAATTATATGATATAATATGTGGCAGTTATTCCTCTGTATTTTTGAGTAGGTGTAATCTAGCCTAAAAGTGTTCAAAATCATTTATATTATGTATATGTTTTATGTAGGTATGTCTTTAGATACATACATAGTGTCTTGTATAATTTAAGTGAAAAAAGAATTTTATCAACTAACTGAATACCTCCAAATACCAGTCATACAAATATGTCAGAAGAATGTTTTTTTTATCTATACTAATATTATAAAGAGGTAAAGTTTGTGAGTTTGCAACGTTGTAGGGTAATCTCTGGATCTACTAAACCGATTTAGATGAAATTTGGTAAGAAGATAGTTTGAGACCCCGGGAAGGACATAGGATAAATCATCCCTTAAGGGGGTGAAAATCAACCTAGGGACGAACCCCAGCGAAGCGAAGGTGAGTCGCTAGTATAATATATAAAATGTTGTAGGGAGGAGTTAGAAAACGAGGCGTGGGACACCGGCATGGACGAGGAGATGCAGATCGGCTACCTCGAGTTCCTCAAGATGTCCAACCAGATCAAGCGATAACCGCCCGCCGGCATTACAGTGAAAAAACTATACAAAAAAAAATACATAATACTTTCTTAGATTTACGCGAATATTTGACATTTTAAATAAAACTATCTTGTCGGATTTTTTCGCGGATTTATTTTGTTTCCGATTGTCGGTCAACGACGTTTCGAATGCTTTACAGCAAACTTGGTGAGGGGAGAGACTGAGACCGAGAGTGTCTTCTGTGATCATGATTGCTGTAAAGCATTCGAAATGTCGGGAACCAAAAATCAAAATAAATCCGCGAAACAATCTGAAAAGACAGTTTTATTTGAAATATACAAAAAAAAATATAAAATTTTATAAAACAATAAAAAGATATCAGTGAACGCTTTTCGATCGCTCTATAAACATGATCATGACGTACTCTGCTAAAAATTACGATAACACTTTGCCTATACTCCCCAATACAATAGTGTACACGTGCCCTAACTTAAGCAGTATTTTATAGAGATGAACTAACATCAGTACCATTTAAACGCAATAATTCATGTTAAGTTAAAGAAATATATCTAGCTAGATATTCTTTTAGGACGAATAAGTAATGAATGTTGGAAGTTGTCTAGTTGAATGATTTTTTCATTCACTGTAGCTCGAATAGTGAATACTTTACGGTTAACATTTTTTTGTAATAGTTTTTTAAAACACAATTTGGTCTGTGACTCCTGAGCCTTCGCGTTGACTGTAGTGTTTAAAGATATTTTTAATTAGTACATATTTTGTAATCGAGCATGCGAGTACAGCACTTACTAGACTAAATGTAAACAAGGAGTTTGTGACTCCAATCAGAAAAATCTATAAATAATCGTAACATACGTACACTCTTATGACTTCCATTACAAAAAGAGCTCGCTTTGCTCTCAGTTAATAAAGTTTTAAAGTTTTATTATTATTATTTTACAAATGCAATGAATTAATGAATGGTTTTTAATGTGTACATAATTTGCACTTTACTAATATTTATATGTAGTTTTACTTCTATTTTAAATAAGAGGGACGATATATTATTTTGAAACCTTATTGTTTTAAAATTAATGTATAAATTTAAAAGATATTTCATATTTACCACCTGTTCAGCCCACATTCATTGTTGATAAAAATATGTTTATTATTCATATTCATATTATGTATAAAAAGTGAACGTCAGTGGTAATAATGTAACCAGTTTAGAGAGAGATAGAGAACTACTGAAAATATCAATGTCTGAATACACTTCACCAGTTATGGAAATTATTTAGTCTGAGGGAAACTAATATAAATTTTACGAAAATTGTCTCCATTTTAACTTTATTTTTTTAAGTTATATTAATATTGGTAGTAATGAAATTTTCAGTCAGATTCATTTCGGTGACGGTATAACGTTAATTATAATTATTAATGTTTAGTGTCTGTCAATGTCCGCCAGTGACGGCATAGTCTTAATATATGAGACTCCAGTGTCTGTGTGATAATATTTACAGCGTCGGTTAGTGTGGGTCTAAACATTTTTTTTTTTTAATTTTCCTATAGACTTACAGGAGCTTTAGAAAGAGCAAACCATTCGCATTATGATTAACAACGCTAGAAATCTCATTGGTCTATGGATAATTAACCTACAAATGTTAAGTCCATTTTTCTGTTTTCGAAAATGAAGCATCCCTATTTAAAAACTCTATTACAATACAATAAATATTTATTGATTTCTATGTGGCTTTTGTCGCTTTTGATGGGATTCTATTGGAGTTTTTCAACAGGGATGGTGCAATGGCATGTGCTATGAATTTTGTTCTACTCGTTCAAATAATATGATGTAAGTACATTTAAGTGGTGCTGTTTCACAAAATACAAAGTCGGGCCTTAAAGCATATGATAGATTTGTGTAAGAACGTTCGTAAAATGTTATTTAAAACATATAATTTTCCTAACATAAATTAGGGATTTAAGTCGCTCACATCTGTTTTCTTTTCATTAATTGGATTTTAATGATTTAATTATAGCATAAGGTATATATTTCTCCCTCTTTCATATTAATTTCAAATCCATTCTATTCTTGTTTACATTTTGTCTAAAATTTAAAATTTATTTAGTGATCTCATTATTTTTCCATTTATTTTGTCTAATTCATGACAATAAATGCAGTGTACGTAGTTTTCCTTATATAAGATTTTTTTTAACTCGCCGTTCCATCCGCTAATAACATATCTTACACCTAATAAAGTATTTCTGGATATATATTATTTATTCTATAGTGCAGTGGAATTTTATATTTCTTTAAAGAACAGCACAAAAGTAATTAATATGTTTTAAAATTCATTTTTTCTTATCGAATCAAGTTTTCTTTGTTATTAGTCTGTTTTCGTGACGAGGAAAACATTCCGGTGAACACACACTCGCATTTTTATGTTAATGATGTAGAATTTTAATACTTTGCCATATTAATTATTTATGATGTTGATACTCTAGCACATTTCTTTAATTAAAATGATGAAAAACACTTTCTTTAATAAAACTTTTTTATTTATTAAATGAAGTAAGCTGGACAGATTGTGTGGAGTCAAATTTATGCCAAATTGTTACTTTTATTTGTTGTCATTACATAATAATGCTTGTGCGGTACAATGTGTGAGGTGTGCTCGGGCGAGAGTTGCGTCAGACGTATGAGATGAGGACAACTTTGTGCATTATTTCATGTAATAAGTTATCTCAAGAAAGACATAATAAAATAATTTTTGAATGTGTTTATTCAATGCTGGATTTATTTATTTAAAGCGATTAGGCTGATGTTTATAATATTCCATTGTATTTTTGTTGCAGTGATATTATGAATGTTATAAGAATAAATGGATATTTTAATAAAAGTCATTTAAATATATTGTAGTTTTATTTTGTTAGATCCTAAATATACATAAAACATAAGTAAAAAATCATTTTTAAATATTTTGACTTCTTTTTGCTGTACAATAAAGAACTGTTATTTTGAGTTAAAAAATATGAAATACTTTCTTATGTAAATTAACTATTATGTGCGTCCGGTAGCACTTTATACGGGTTAAGTATACCATTAGGATCCATAGATTGCTTCAGATCTTTCATAAGTTGTAGAGCTGACTCGTCCTTGCTGTAATGTAAGAACTGTGGTTTTCTAAATCCTACGCCATGCTCAGCACTAATAGATCCCTTGAGTTTTGCAACTTCTTCAAAGATGAAAGGCTCCAATAATGCTTTAAATTCTTTACTATATTCAAGCGCTGTTACGTTTATATGAATGTTGCCATCACCTGATAAGACAATATTTTAAATTTAATATTAATATAAAACAAATCTGGGTTGTACATGAAAATTATATGTATTTGCCATGGATCTCCAACGACACACCTATACTAATATTATAAAAAGACAAGAGTTTGTTTGTTTGAACGCGTTAACCTCAGGAACTACTAATCCGATTTGAAAAATTCTTTATGCATTAGATAGCCCGTTTATTGTGAAAGGCTATAGGCTATATATCATATAATATATATCTATCTATTCCGTAACGTAACGGACGAACCTGAGCGAAGCGAAGGTGAGTAGCTATGTTCAAATATATTGAATAGGTAACTCCAGCATACACGTTGCTACTTTTATCTGATAATATTATTTATTCCATTGTAGTCGGTATTTTAATTTAAATATTTTTATAGCTTTTTAAATATTATAGGTCATAGGACAAATAAATTATCCACTTAGTTGTTAAAACAGTAAATTAAATATTACTAGTATATGTAGTATTATATTGTATTACCTACCAACATGACCATAACCGTACACGCGGCTCTCTCGCGGTAGCCTCTCGCGCAACATTCCCACCAAATCGTAGTAATTTTTCAACGGCAGAGACACGTCGTATTTAAACACGTAACCATCGATTAAACCTGCTCCTGCAATACTCTCGCGAATGTTCCAAATATTCTAAAATTAAAAATAAGTAGATATATAATATGTATTTTTTAGTTTTTGATTAGTTATTATAATAATCATCTAACCACCAAGCCTTTAAAGGCGCTTAGTTAAATATTTAATCATCGATGTTGAACTTTCTCTCTGAAATTGTAAACTAATTTTAAGAATTTGATAAGATATAAGTCGACTGAATATAAAGGTGTTTTTACATTTACACGTATTACAATGTACCATATTGTAACTGCAATAATTTATTTACCTTCATCTTGGTGGGCTCAGAAGTAACGGTTCCGTCTATTATAAGTCCGCTTTCCATACCTTGGTTAAGGAATCTTGATAATTTCTCATTATCGTGAGCTTCGTCACTCCCGTGTGTCTCCACTAGGACGTAAAATGGATAGTCTGCAATTGGGTTTCTGTAGAATAAAAAATAAAAGCAATATAGTCGTAGCGGTGAAAGTTTTTAATGCAAATCTGATCAACTCTTCCGCGTTCTATTAAATATAATGCCGTGGGTACATATATAATATGGCAATTTTCATTCAAAGTTCTAACCGCCTTTCTGCGAGAATTCGTAATTTTTTCAGGGTGTAAGTAAAATTTTTTAACGTTGATTGTACTGCGGCAATAAGGTTCCGCAGCTGTGGGTAGTGAGAAAGAGTCTCAAAAGTCTACCGTAAATGAAATAAAAAGGATCGGGGAACATCAAATAAAAAGGCATGGGGAGTTTTGCATCAATCATAATTTATATCAAAATCTCGCAAAAACTTATTTCTATACAATAACAGAATTTTCCTATTATCCCACATTCCTTTCTCTTGTGGGATTAAAGGTAAATATATGGTAGATACAGTATGGTTGCATTGATATAGCTAGCTAGCTAGCTCTAACTAATAAACATTTAAATATACCTACAGATTATGTGAGATGTATCTATCTATTTATACAGTAAAAAATGTTATCCACGTCAACTTTCTTGAAATAAGAGCTCAAATAAAGATAAAATATGTATTTGTTACAATATTCATATTTACAAGAAGGGAGCTCTTATCATTTACGTAGTTACTGATTAAATATTTATAGAATAGTATAGTTACATCGTACAGACTGCAGTAGTGTGGCATATACATATGCAGTGCCAGATTTAACCTTAGCGCCGCCCCTGGGCATAGTAAAAATGCCGCCTTATTATTGAAATTTTGAATAAAATGTTGAAAGTTTAAATATTTTTAATTATTATTTTTTGAAAAATACAAAGAAATAATTTATAAATCATATCAATTTTCCGCAAAATGTTTCTACTAGTAATTTTTTTCCCGCCCTCCGAATTTTGCTGCCCCTAAAACTTTGCCGCCCTGGGCACTAGCCCCGAGTGTCCCTAGTGTAAATCCAGCCCTGCATAAGTATATGTGATATGCTCCACTGAAGATCGCGAGTGTGGTTCCACGGGAGATAAGTATTTTGCCTTTTACTTACCAAATAGGTAGTACGAAATTGTTAAAATTACAAAAATAAAAAACCCAACATGGTAAAGAGCGAACAAAAAAGATTAGAACAAGTTGAGATTGACAACAAAGATTCGGCCTATGTATCGATAATAATGTCTATTTCAATAAGATTTTTCAAAAAATATTTAATGTACAGATTTGGCCTTAATTACAATTTTATTATAAGTTTGGATTATGTATGTTTCCGACTGCATAAAACTATGTTCCTTCGTCAAGTTATTCTCATCTTTTCAATTCGCTTTTTATAGTCTTGATCTTTTATTTTTAAAAATTATTCTTTTTATTAGTTTTTTTTAGTTTTGTTCAGTTAAACATTTTTAGTTTTATTTACCTAGTAATTTCATAGCCGCAATTACTTTTAAGTTTTAACATATAAGTTGTATATATTTTTGTTTTATCCTCTTTAAAAAAATATTTTCATACCCCACTCGATTGATTCGGACGATTTTTTTTTAATTATATCTATATACTCTAAGACTTTCGTTACCAAGACGAATCGACCGATATATCAATCATCAAAATCGGTTAATTCGTTTAGTAATTACGAGGAAACATTGGGTCTGACATACATCCATACATACACACAGGTCAAACACATAACTCTTATTTGGGCTTCGCCGCAGTCGGGTAAAAATAAAGTATGTTTACATTTTGTTTGTATGTTAATGTTGTTGTTGAATGTGAAGGTTGTACGTTTAAGAATATTCATGTCCATATTAACATATGTACATAATAATGTTGCCAGTCAGATAGAAAAAAAAACAAACAGACAAGACAAAACTTGTTTTGCAACTCACATAAGTGTAATCACCACAATAACATTAAGGTTATCAAGAAAATGTATAATCTTTATGTAAAATGTAGATTGACCTTATTGACAGTACAAAATTATAAATTCGCTAACATGATCAATTAAAACTGTTCAATTAATTTTATCAATCGATTTTTTAAAGCTATAAGTAGGTACATAAATTATAAAAAAATAATTATAAAAATAAAAAACTACTGTAAAAATAGTATTATGCAGTCGAAAACATATGTACCTATATATTACGAAGGAACATATAACATCCATACATACATACAGGTCAAACAAATAACCCTCCTTGGAGTTTCGCCGTAGTCGGGTAAAATGAAATGCTACTGTCACATCACTAATACTAAAAGCGTCATGCGAAAGAAATTTATGTTTTTACTGTAATCTCTAAATAAACTAGTAGGTACGGGTTGGTACTATTAACAAAATCGGGTACACCTTTGTACAAAAATAAAAAATACACTTACGATAGTTTAAGATTGGTAACCGTTGATCTAATGGAAAAATTATCTGCCATTTCAAACGCTGATAGTATTTCACCTAAAGAAGACTTCGCATTTGTATATAATTTAAGAATGTTCTCGAAATTCTTTACACCTAGAAACAAAATCATAATAATTTAAGACTCCTAATATTTTGAATTAAAATCATATCAACAGTTGCCATTAGTGACAATAATAATAATTATTAATGATGAGACTTAGACCTATTACAATAGCTAGTTACATTTAGAATATCCGTCTAGGATATGCAATAATACCACAATGAGTTGATTGTAAAAAAATTTACCAAAAAATCCAAGTGAAACAGCTTTCGGTAACGTCGGGCAATGAATAGCAACCTTGGTAACTACTCCTAACGTGCCTTCAGAGCCTATAAATAAATGCTTTATGTGATACCCTGTGTTGTCTTTCTTTAGAGTTCGGAGGCAATCTATAATTGTACCATCTGCCTTTACCTGTAAATAAAGTCTATATTAAATTTTAAGGTAATTCAGAGATGGGAGGCAAATGTTACATTCTACTCACAAACAGCTCTACTTCTCCTTGTCCTGGGATACGGACAAGGCTTCGTGGTCAGCGCAACATGTTTCTTTCTGCACATCGATCAAAAAAGTACTAGATACACAATTCCATGCAAAAGTTCTCTTAAAATTGTCATCAATTGTATTTAGGTAATTATCCTAGTTGAAATAAATATACAACAATGTAAATTGAACCTTAAATGCAATGCTTAAAGTAGTTTTCACGAAGAACTTTTTAAATTAAAAGCGCGCTCAAATGTTCAAAAGAGCGCTCATTCGGTGAGGACATTTTTTGTCGCTGATTGTGTATCTAGTTCTATTTTGATCGATGTTTCTGCCACTTCCCTCTATCCATCTCACCACATACACCTTTCACACAGTCCGTCCATACCTGCCTCGGTCTACATTTAGGATATAGGTACTTATATCTACTCACACTTATACCTATATCCTCATGCTTTTATAACTTTCTTTTGTTAGATATATTATATATCTGTTAGATAGATTTTCTTTCTGGTAGATATAATTATATAAGTACTTAAAAAATTACACTAATTTCAAAAGAACGTATAGGTAATATAGCTACTACTATACGTAATGGTGTTCTTTTTACAATTCAAATAAACCCTGCAAGGCGAGCTACCTCTTTACTGAACAATGCTCTCTTCAATACAAAATTATTATCAAAACTATTTTATGAGAGGCGATGATACTGTGACAAAAACTTTCAACTTCCTTTTTTAGAATGTAACTAAAACTTCCTACATCACATAATATATCAAAATGACATAGTTTTTTAGTTAACATAACTTACAGCTTCAATTCCTAACACAGATCCATGTAAATTTCCATATCTGAGTAGTCTGAGTCCTCCAGCATTCGTGCTAACGTTACCGCCAATATGACACGAACCCTTCGCGCCCAAATCCAACGGCATTATATGATTACGATCGCGAACATAATTATCCAAATTTTCTAATACACAACCTGCTTCACACACTAGAGAACCTGAAATTATATAAATCCATATCCATACTATTTTAATATTATAAATGTAAAAGTGTGTTTGTTTGTTTGTCCATCTTTCACGTCGAAACTGATTGGTGTGATTTTTTTGTGTGCAGATAGTTGGAGGGCTGGAGAGTGACATAGGCTACTTTTTACCGCGGGAGATTACCTAGTTCTCACTACAAAACACGTTATAATACAATCCAAAATACATTTATGATCAGAATTACTTGAAATCTTCAATCAAATTATAATTACGTGTTATCCTATAGGGGGTCGAATAGGGGATGAAAGTTTGTATGAAACTACCTTCTTAGGATTTTTTTGTAGTTTTAGCGCAACCGAAGCCGCGGGTTCTGCTAGTAATTTATATCTACAATAATTTTAAATTAAAAGGTACAAAGTACAAACCATTTCTTTACTAATACAGCTAGATGTTTACTTTTTTCTAACTAGGTAAAGTATATTACTATAAATGAAATTTAAAAATAATCATTGATTTTTGTAACTTGTTATTTAACTGTATTTATTTATATTTACCTGATATTTCATCTAAACTGATGATTTTGTTCATCAAAGCGAAGCTTAGTATTATTTCGTCGAATACCGGCACCGAACCTCCGACCAATCCTGTATTTCCACCTTGAGGACATACCGCTAGTCGCTTATTGTTACAATAAGATAGAATTTGGGAAACTTCTTCGGTTGATTTCGGTTTCAAAACTACTTGTGACTGTCCTACAAATAAAGTCAATAATTTTACGTAACTCTTAGGTTTTAATTTCATTTAATTATATAAACTATACTGATGTCCTCCTGATCGAGAATTGAAATAAATTTTATACAACCTCGTGCTATATCCTTTTTAATAAAAATTATATTTAAATTTGAACTATAGTATTGAATATCGAGGAATAGGTTACCTACTCTTATATACATATAATCATACTAATTCATATCAGTTTAGGGCTACCGTCAGCTTTTTCATAGCGATTTATTGCCGATGCAGTTCAGTTTAGGTTCTTTAATTGAATCGTTAGTTTTCGTACCACTTTCATAGCGTTTTAAGTTAAATTGTAGTGAATCGAACTGTTGCCGATTAATTGAATGAACGACCATAAGATTTAAGATTCATTTTAGATTTTGTTTAGGCTGCGAACTAAACAGAACGTCTTATGAAGCTCACGATACGACAATTGACTTTTTCAGTCGTAAATAGAGTCGCAATAAGAGTTGATGGTAGGCCTGTCTAATATATTAGTCCGGCGTAGAAACAAGTAAGTCTAGGCACAGGATAGATACTATTTTTTTACCTCTACAATTTTTTATCCAGTCAATATTATAGGGTAAAACATCAGATTCTTCCGTCAATACTCGCTCTTCACTTAAGATCGTTTTGAAATAATTTACATCAGCAGGTTTTAGAATTCTAAATTTTTTCCTTTTTATTGCATATTTTTCCTGAAAATATTGTATACCACCGTAAAAAATAGACCCGAGAAAATGCAAATACACCATAAGAGTTGATTGAAACATTTTATCCATAAACGTCGGCCGGGACCGACTCGGGATTTGAACCCGCTTCCCTCGGTTTCCCAAGTGATCACTTTACGACTGAGCTATCACCACCTCAATATATTCAGATTAAATGTTAGTTGGAATCAATAGGTATTACTGTGGAACGATAACGTCGTGCTTAACGAGCAGATAAAAAAGTTAAACAAACAAAAAAAAAGCTCTTTTCTTATACCTAATGGATAACCCGCACTTTGTTTTTTTTTCTTTTGGTTATTTATACTTAGATTATTCAGTTTGCGCTCAGCAATAAACAACTCTTTATTGAACATAACATTCAAAATTCAAATAGGTCAAAAGAAAAACATTGATATATTTCGCGTATAAATTTTAAATCTTTAATGTGTGTTTATGTATATAACATAGCACCTAAGTATACATACAATATATCTACATATTATTTGGATAGATAAAATTAAAAAAATGGAATAAAAATAATTCAGGCATTCAATACACGGTGGGGGCAAGATTTAAAATATGTAACTTACCGATGAAAATTGTGGCAAAGCCGTGGTTGCGTATTTAGCATGTGTCACAACATTAATTTTCCGTACATTAAAAAACAACCATACAGATTTTATCATTTTGATATAAAACCTTCACCAGAAACACATTTGTGACAACCCAAAGATATGACTTTGTTTATGTGACGTGTTTATTACGTAGCGTATCTTAAAATACGTATATTCATATTACATAACACTAGTAACAGCAGCCGCGCTGCTATCAGTACTAAACAGATATACACATAGAGTATATTGCTACATATATAAAGATATATAGGTACTTGTATACGGTCGCCGCGGAGTGTAGTATAATTTATAAGCATTCACAAATTAAACATAATTAATATGTTTACTACGAAACTTCCATTGTTAATACCTACTATCTACTAAAATAGTTTGTTTATGAATTTCGTGAAATGTGTAAGAAAATTTGATAAAATTAAGTATACCTATGTATATATTGATTTTTATATTATTAGGTAGGTTTCTTGGTTGCGACTAATATTGTTTGTTAGTCTATATATATAAAAGAAAGTCGTGTTAGTTACACTATTTATAACTCCAGAACGGCTGAACCGATTTGGCTGAAAATTGGCGGGGAGGTAGCTTAGAACCCAGAGACTGACATAGGATACTTTTTATCCCGTTCGACTGCGTTCCCGTGTGATATTGTTTGTCTGTTTGTACGGGCTAATCTCCGAATCTATTGGACCGATTTAAATGAAATTTTGCATGGTGGTACCTTATATCCCCGGACAACGTCTTAGATATTTTTTATCCCGGAAAATATAATGGTTCCCGTGGGATAGTTAAAAACTATTATAACTTATACAACTTATGCACCTAATTTAGTAAAATTTAACATTCTGATACCTTATATTGCCGGTCAAACAACCGGTTACTTTTCATCCGGGAAAAATGAACGGTTCCCGTGGGAACTAATAGATTTTTATTAGTGTTTTTCTAGAGGCGAACCCGAGCGAAGCGAGGGTGAGCCGCTAGTAGAAATATAAAAGTAAGTCTGCGGAACGACGGATACGATTATCTATACATTTATTACATAATATAATAAAATTGTAACTAAGCCGAATCTGTACATTAAATATTTAAAAAAAATCTTATTAAATAGACATTGTTATTGATATAGAGGCCGAATCTATAGTTTTTAGAATTTTTGTCTGTCTGTCTGTTACCGCATCACTGAAAAACCACTTTGAACGATTTTGATGAAATTGGGTACGATGATAGTAATATCCGGGTTAACATATAGAATACTTTTTACTGCGTGGAAACATCTCATCTCTGAAAGATCTATTTTAAACGTTAAAACGTAATTAGAACGAATCCGAGCGGAACGAGGATGAGTCGTTAGTGCAAAATAATAGTACCTATAGTCTATAGATAGGTATGTTATCGTACTCGAAATAAAAATAATTACTTTTAACTAAAATTTAAAATTAAACCCAAAACCCCAAACTCCAAAGTATTTACTAATAGCCCGTAAAGAGTTCCACTAACCACTTTCTGGCCTCACCAACCGACCAGCTCGACGGTACTAAAAAATCAATATATTTATCAAAAATACAATATATACTTGTAAAGTTTCAATTCGATATGACCAGTAGAAGTAAACTATGCTAACATAATTCAAAATGCATGGTTTTTCCTGATTTTCTCGAAAAGTCAACTCAATATCAAAGAAAATTTTACGAGAACACCTCGGGACCAACCTTAATAGAATATAGTTTAAAGTAGCAAAACGCCCGTCTGAGAGTCGGTGAACATATACAAAACTTAGTTCAATTTTTAACCTCCTCCTTTTTTGAAGTCGGTTAAAAAAAATTACTAAAATGATGGCTGGACACATACATAGATGTTTTATACTCGATGCGAGACTTGTTACATAGTACACATATAGTACCTACAGGCTACACGATACACAATTAGGTAGCATCCTAAATGGAGAGTTAAAAAACAATAGGTATAAGTAAGAGGCTTTCATTCAATAACGGCTTTTGCAGTGATGTCTATATTAAAAATATCTTAAAAATTATTAGCTTTTAAACTAATAAAATCTGTTGCTATCATATCAACACTTTTGCAAAAAAAAACGGTCACTTTTTTATCTTAGATGAATATTCCAAGAAAGAGGTTTTATAAAAAAAATTAGAAGTGACAGATTATAATTTATAATGCAAAAAGATTAATTTTTCTGCATGTTCAGATAGTAGTTTATTGCTTTTCTTCTCGCAGACAATCCCAGCTTCAAAGAGAAGACGCTCCAAGTAAATACTACTTCCTGGCGCTAAACAAGAAACAAACATTTCAATACAAGTTTTCACGTCAAGCCCGCTCCAAATACATATTTTGCTTAATATTCGGCTATTTGGCCAGTAACCTAACAAAATATTTGTATGAAATTCTATTATTCTTAATGTGAAATACACAGAGAGTGGTGTTTAGTTTTGTTTTAAAAGGAGGTAATTAAGTTTAAAATTATGTCCACATAGCCAAATATAAAGATTGTGATTTCGCCAATTTTGATGGTCTTATTGCTTTAGCCCACAATTTCTTCAGTTTTTGTCTTTTGGAAAGAAATGATATCCATTTTCGTTGCATCCTGACACAGCACAATTTGTCATTTTAAATATAATGAAAAAAAAACAAGATATAGATAGCTTTACAATATACTAAGGGCTATAGTGATCGCGACATCTTGCGGGAGAAATATTCAAAATTCCTTCACATTTAATCTTATAAGACGAATATCTACGGTAGGTACCTATTACATGTCGTTTAACGCAAGTAGTTTTGACATTGACAAGTGATTAAGCTATCATTCATTTGACAATTGACATCTCATCATTCTTATGTCATTCATGCTGTTTACGTTACGATTTTAAACCACGTGTTTTATATGTTAGAAAAGGTAAATTATAAATAAAAATGGCAAAGATAAAAGTAAAACGGAATAAAAAACAAGTCAATCAAGAAAAAGAACAAAATAAGGAGGATAATGTTGTTGTACTGCCGCCTGTACGAATGTCCGATGATCCTACACCAAAACAGGTATCATCTACTTTTTCAATTTATTTTTATATATTTTACGGCATAAACTATTATATATTGTAATAAAAATAGAAATTAAAACTAAATTCCTATTAACCAGGTAAAATGGATCAACAGACAAAGGGTACTAGTTTTTGCCGCACGCGGTATTAATCATAGGCACCGTCATTTAATGGAAGATTTAAAAAAGCTTATGCCTCATCACAAAAGTGAATCTAAAATGGAGAGAAGTAAAAATTTATATGTTGTGAATGAAATCAGTGAAATGAAAAATTGCAACAAATGCATTCTCTTTGAAGGCAGAAAAATGAGAGATTTATATCTTTGGCTATCGAATATTCCTAATGGACCAAGTGCAAAATTTTTAGTTGAGAACAGTAAGTACACAGTGCTCAAAAATATAGCGCTTCCAAGAATCATTATAAAGTATTTATACTAATTTCAAAGTCTGGTTAGTAGGCTTTCTAAACTAAATTTATATAAGTACAATTATTTTTCTTACAGTTTACACAATGGGCGAGTTAAAAATGACAGGCAATTGTTTGAGAGGTTCTAGACCTCTTTTATCTTTTGACCCACAATTCACAAAGGATCCACATTACAATCTTTTAAAGGAACTGCTCACTCAAACTTTTGGAGTCCCAAAACATCACCCCAAGAGTCAACCATTTTTTGATCATGTCTTCACTTTTATGATCTTAGATAACAGGATTTGGTTTAGAAATTACCAAATCTTATCTGAAGATGGAGCATTAGCTGAAATAGGGCCAAGATTTGTTTTGAATCCAGTAAGTATTTGAATAGTAACACATAAATTTTATATTTTTGAATCATTTTTTACATTTGAAAAATCTCAATTAGTTTTTGAGATATTTGCAAAAAACTAAACCCCTCTTTTCTATGTTTAGTTTGATGTTTATTACTTTTGCAGTTTTGCAAGTGTAACTTAATTGTTTTCCAAAATCCATTGACTTTTTTGAATTGAATGACACCTTGTTCATATTTTTCCAAGACTGCTGAAAAAAGTTGACCAAAAAGGCACTTATTGACTAGACTATATATTTAGCTAACAACATTTGTAGCTTGTAACATAGCATTAAAAATTATTACAAATTAAATACTTAGTTGAATACTTTAACACGATAAAAATACTATTATTTATTTAGGTAAAAATATTTTCTGGATCATTTGGTGGAGTTACTTTGTGGGAAAATCCTAAATATGTAAGCCCTGCAAAACTGAGACAAGCATATTCTAAAAAAGCTGCAAATAAATATGAAAGAAGAATTGAGAAGAAAGTAATGAATGAAGCAACTAAACCAGAAACTGGTTACCCTGACATTGAAGGATCTGATTTCTTCAAAGGAAATCCTATTAAGAAAGCTGAAAATGTATTACTTGAAGGTAAGCCTCTTCTGCTTTGGATGTATAAGACTATTATATAGTATTATGCACAATATCTTTAAAATAAACTTAAATATCTATCTATATATATAAAAGGCAAAAGTGATTGACTGATGTATCAATGCACAGGCCAGCTAGAAAATTGAAATTTCGCACACATATTCCTCATATGACAAAGACATCCGCTAAGGAAGGATTTTTCAAAATTCAATATTTGGAATGAAATTTCGTATGAATTAAGTACGACAAATATAATGAGTTACGTATTTCAGGGTTTTCTAAAATTTAACTGCTAAGAGGGTAAAATAGAAAATAATAACATAAAGCCAGTTTTTTTTTGTATATTGGACGCGGGCGTAGCCGCGGGTCCTGCTAGTCCATAATAAAGAGTATCTAGGTTTACGTGCATATATATTTTTTTCTCTAATGGCTTGACAGTTTTTTTTATATTAATAATAATAAAACAGTTAAATGTACAAAATAAAATATCTATTTTTTATCTCTTCTTTAAAAATTAATGATTAATGTTCAATTCCAGTTTGTATGAAACACAGAAAAAAAATATTTAAGGTTATTTTTTTATTAAAAAAATATATTTTAATACTATTCATATTAATATTTTCTATTTTTAGAAGAAATCAAACAAGAAGATGAATTTATGGCAGGGGAGAGTGAAAATGAAGCTCAAGCGAAACCAGTATTTAGTATGAGGTTACCCAAAAGTAAACCAGACATGGCAATACGACGTAAACAACTTAGGGCAAAAAGCAAAGCTATTTCTGATCAGATAAAGAAGAGAAAGCAGTTTAAGAAAAAGAAACCTATTAAAAAATAATTTGAGTATGAAAATAAAAAACATACATTATTCATACTTGTTTTATTTAAATATACTTAATGCAAATGTTAAGATTCAAAATTTGAGATTAATATCTGAATTGAACATTTTATTTTATTATGGATACAATATAAAAAGTTCTATTAGTGTAATGGAAGAATATTTTGAGGTAACAAACCAAGTATAATAAAATACTAAATTAAATATTGTATAAGTAAAATTAAAAAAAAATAGTTTCATTATGACTTTAAAATTAAATTGAACAAAATAAAAACTGAGCACATAAAGCTATAGGAAATAATTCTTAGTTTAAACATAATAATTAATTACCATACTAATAAAAGCTTATTTCTTATGTAAGACAGTGTTAGAAATAGTTATTTTAAAAAAAAGTTATAATGTAACTTTACATTACTCATATTAAAATTCTGTCTTTGATTATGCACTTTACATTGTTTTAATGAGGACGGCATTTAAAATTTTATATCACTAAAAAAAACATTTTATTTTATATAAAATGTTTTTTTTTAAATACATAGCTGCACTTACATACAACAGTATTTTATTTGCTATTCTATTGTTATTAATCATCAATTAAGATATATTTCTTAGGAGTACAAATAGTTCCATTAAATAAATGCTTAACATAAGTAAATATATTATTACTATCTGAAATAATACATGGGGATGACAATGCTACCTACATATTATGGTAGGTTATTGGTGATTGTTTATAAAAATAGCACACTCGTGTTTAAGGAAGAAAAATATGACTAAACCTTTTACGCCAGAGCTGGATTTAGAAAAGAGCAATAAGGATAATTTAAACTAGTTTTATAACAAAATATTAATAAATCGATTTTTGTAATTACCTTAATAAAAAAAGTAAATACATAATTTCTTGGCAATATTGTATGGGGCATCTACTCCTTCATAGACCCCAGCTTTAAATCCAGCCCTGTCGTTTGCATTTTCTTTTAACTTACAAAATGACAAGCAAATATTATTTTTAATATATCTTAGGCAAACCCTGTACGACCAACTAGTGAACTTTATATTAGTGTTAATTGTATTTTTAAAAATATTATGTCATCCCCCGTAATATGGCTCCCCACTTTGATATGGCTGCTTGTTGCTATCAATTTAAACGCATAATATTATAATGTTTATGACTTGAAAAATTCGAGTTGATTATTAATTTTCTAAGCGAAAATTAAGCACCGAATATTAAATTTAAAACGGGCTTAAACGAAATTTGAGGAACTGGTTTGAGATTACTTATTATAAAACACCAGTTGAGTTTTTTTAAATCCAAAATCTGCAAAGCGTTTCACATTTCTCATTAAATAACTAAACTTTAAATATAATGTAAATTAAATATTAAAAAATATATAAAATCAGTACATAATTTCTAGTATACTATCGATATAACTTAAACAAATATCCTTTATTATTAAATCTATGAGCATTTGAGATGACAACAACATCATCAGTAAATACAAAAAATTGGAAAAATGATTTTGTACTATCAGTACAGCTTCTCATATAACTTCATTCATTATTCGTGATATTTCTAAAATAACGTACAACCTACAAAATGTACTGTAACATTAACAACTTGAACAACTTATTTTTAACGGAAGGTACTTTGTAATAGGAAAATGTTATTTAGGCTTTTTACTTTGCAGGCAAAGAAAGCTAGAATGTATAATAACCAAAAAATAGGTGTGCTTCTGCCAAAGTTGTACTATTCAATAAATATCGTAATACATTTTTGTAATATAAAAATTAGTGTTATTCTACATTAATTCAATAACTTTTTAAAACTCCACATACACACTAACTAATGTTAGATACAGGTCACAAGCACATATATTATTTTAAAACGTGGGATAAAACATTTAAAAAGTCAATAGTAATATTGTTACGAAAATCTGTAAAATTCTGTTTAAAATATCTTTATAAGGATATTACCTGAAACAAAAATCAATAATAGGTTATAATCATAAATAATAATTATTTACAAATAATGATATCAAAGTCGAGATTACTTTATTTCTTTGTCAACTTGTTTTCATATTTTTAGTTGGCCTTTATGCAATATGGTAAAAATATTTTTATTATATATTTTAATATTTACAGCCTTTTAGTTTTTACCAATTAGACATTTGAAGTAACATTTAACAATTTTTTATCCTAAATTACTTTTAAACATATATTGTATATATTTTTGTGATCGCCTCTTAAAAACCTTTATTTTGATACTCCATTTTTGGACGAATTTTTCTTTAAAAGAGTTAACTAATTTTTAACTATTTTTATATAGTTTAAGACACTCGTGTTATTAAGTCGAATTTACGCGTTTGGTCTCTAGAACGCCACATAGGAACATACATACATACATAGATTGATAAATACATTACATAAAATACATAATGTTTTTATTTATAAACAACCCTTTAAGCAGCGCAGCACATACGTACACACAGCTAACACGTAAAATTTTTTATCGACTTGCTAGACAATAACCGTGACAGTTACAGCTAAAGCACACTGCACTATTATTTACAAACTAACAGAAAAAATTCTCCTCTTTATAACATTAGAATAGATTCTTAAAACACATTTAAAAAGACAAAAGAGTATAAAAATAAAAAATTGATAGCCATAAATTAAGTATGCATTCCAAACCACAACCATAACCTAAACTTAGTTTAATCTATGTTACATTACAGTCTATGTAAATACAAACAAACACCTTTGAAACAATCACAAACAATTTTTAGAACTTTTGATAATAGCACTAAGACAATTAATTGTATGAAAAAGTTAGTTTGGTTTATTAGTTTAATCATAATCGAAAATTATTTAGTGTTTTTTACCAACGTAAAGTCTAAACATTCTCAACAGGCAAACTATAGTTTATTCGCGTTGAGAAAATAGTGAGTCATCGGTGTCCACCGGCCTAGACACCCCTCCCCCCTAAATTATGTTCATTAATTATCTCAAATCAAAATAAAATCATTATCATCTCAAATCAAGTTTTGAGGTAAGTAAGATAATTAAGTTGATTTTTATCTATTAAACTTAATCTTTTGAAATATTTAATTTGAATTGAATTTTTACTCCCACTTTGTATACACCTTTACCTGCCGTTGCACTCGATGACTCACTATGTTCTTAACGCGAATGGAATTTATAGTATGTATTTTAATCTCAGAGACAAAATTGACATTACGTGGGTTGTCAGTTTTTCGCAATTCTTAAATAGTGATGCTCCACTATCGAAAATTAACGTTAATAAAATCAAGTATCGTTTAAATTTAATAATGTGAATTTCTATGATACTTAAAAATTAATAGATATGGTATTTACTGATTTAAAATTAATAATCTGAATTATAATGATACGGGCTTTGGAATATAAAACTTAGAAGCGAATCGTGTAATAAAGATAAAAGGTTACGATTCAACAAACCGGTATCGTAGGTACAACACTGCACAAAAGAACTGGCAACATTATTTGTAAATTTGACATTTGCATATGTCAATTTAGTATCTGAGATTAAAAAAACAGACTATAGAGGACAGAGAATAGGTAGATGCTGATTTCAAATATGATAATTGCTAAGCAAAAATAGCCAGACCAAGAGCCCAAAGCATACCTCACAAGTCACAACACATGCTGTACAAACTCAGTACTTCTCCTGCAGGTCCTCCAGCTCCACCCCGCCGCGCTCCGCCGGCTTGGCGTCGCCCAGCTCGGCTATCTTCGAGTTCTTCCACTTGCCATCTACAGCGTTCATGTTGCGGTCCTCACACACGCATATGAACAGAGCGTCCACTACCATCTGGGAAAAGTGTTCGTTTTTAATTTTATCTATACTAATATTATAAGTGAATTTGACGTTGTAGGGGTAATCTCTGGATCTACTGAACCGATTTAGATGAAATTTGGTAAGAAGATAAATTGAGACCTTAGGAAGGACATGGGATACTTTTTATTCCGGAAATCATCCCATAAGGGAGTGAAAATGGGATGAAAATTTGTATTGGGAATCAAGCTAGGGACGAACTCGAGCGAAGCGAGGGTGAGTCGCTAGTCTATACATATAATAAAACAGCAACTTAGCGAAATCGATGTGTGCGTTTCACGCAAAAAGTACTGAACCAATTTTAACAAAATTTTGTGCAGTAATAACTTATTAGTTATTACTCGGGTCAACATTTAAGATACCTTTCACTAAAGGAAATATCTTTCATTCCCACAGGTAATACAATAACTGGTTCTATCGAGTCGTTCTTAGAAAATTACATGTCTAACGCTGGCTAAACCTTAAGAGATACATCAAAACAATGTACATACTAGAAAATAGTAGATCTTAATAAGACCTACAGAAAAATCTGTAATAGCGAAAGTCTTGCTCCTAAAATACACTCGCAATAACTATTCATATCTATTGAAAACATACCTAGGGACGCACATGAGCAAAGCGAGGGTAAGTTACTAGTATTAGACTTGTATTTTCAAAACGAATCAAATCATACATTGAAGTTTTTACTGTAAGCCATTGAAAAGCTTCATTTATATTGACTTCCTAACCGATATCGGTCAGGCCTTTAACTCTTTGTGAGTGAAAGGAATAGAGAATGCATTTGTGTTTGCGTCCGCTGGGATATTACTTCGTCACTTACAATGGGACGGCGGACGGAAAGGCACAAGACCGACCGGTTTTACGTGCTCTCTATAGTAGATATTATATGTATAACATTCATTTTCCCAACTCAGTGCTGACACTGAGAATTTCTTAACAAAAGAATTCAATGATAACATTTGGCCCCATCTGAGACTCGAACCCAGGTCCATGGATCTACGGTCGTACTTGCTAGTCCCTAGACCGACGAGGCAGTCCACGAGTTCCACTATCCACTTCTCGAACATAATAACATACAAAGTTTCAAATCGATACAACAATATTAAAAAAAAATAATTAATATTTAAAAAATACAAATACGTAGGTTAAAACTTACTTGAATATATATATAAAACTTGTGTAAAATAATTATTATTCTTGTTTTATGTAAATTAAAAAAAATACATACCTCATACAAAGACAGTATACAATGTGCAATGAAGAACGAATATATGCAAATAACAAGTGTGGGAACTGCGAAGAAATGTAAATTTGTGTTCCGCTTCAACATCAACAAGCCAATGCTGCCAGTGACTGCAGTCACTATACATTTTCCCAAGAACAATATAAAATCTCCCACACTGTTTATTGTTGCCACTTGCAGTGCATTGTTCACTATTGTGCTAAACGCCTAAAAAAATAGATCAATATTAATAATAATATCTGTATGATAAAAATAGTGCGATGGCATCAGTGACAAGGAAGCTAAAGAATAATAGGTAAGGAGTAATGGACAAAGATCCCGCTGCAAAATTGCTACGTTCATAGCGTATTTAATCGAAATCAATTTTTTATATACAATAATAAAAGGGACAATAAGTTTTGACCGAGGTGCCTATTCAAATGTGCCCGCTAATATGTTTAATTAACTAAATAATAGTCGACTTTTTGGAATAAAAACGATGCATTTGTTATTACAACGAATTATACTCCACTTCACAGAACTATACGTAGAGATCTTGAAAAATGATAGCTGCCGTTGCGCATTTGGCCGCAACCTCTTCGCAGCCAGGTGTAAGCGAGTCCCCCCCAACGTGCGTTCACCTTGTCGTGGTGGGGGGGCTCAGTAGTGTACTCGCGAAGCCAAGAAACGCACAGGGAGGTGGCCCGCTTCGGTGGGCGGTGGGAGGCGGCCTTCTTCGGAGGGTGGTGTACCATGCGGGTTGCTCCTGGTACTTCTCTGATAGCAGAGTGGACCTTGGAGCAACCCCACGGTTGTGGTGGTCTGCTTTGGCAGACCTGCCGTCGGGGCGTCGTAGTTGAATGCGTAAGCGATCCTGCGACGCCCCATCAAGACGGGGGAAGGTTTTGTTGGGTTTTAGTGGGTAGTACTGGCTTTGCCGGTGAGTCCCACACTTCGTGCGTAAATGCATTTCCCAACGTTAAAAAAAAAAGGTGTAAGCGAGTCATATTTTGGGACGTTTATAGGTTCATCGCGTATATTCATCATTTATATATCAAATTAAAGCTATTTTTTTTCTGTACCTGATAAACTAAGTAGTAGTTAATAATAATTATATTTTTGCGTGATATGGACATTGCACATGTCATTAGAATTAAGTCATGTATGAGTATGGATGGATATAGAAATAAAACGTTGCTATGTCAATGCAACCAATGCGGTCGCATGGGGCCGCTGATTTAAGGGGTCGCCAACTGGCTACAAACGATTATATTATTTAAAAAAAAAATCGAGGACTACCCCTCATAGAAGTTTAAAAAAACGCAAGAAAAAAAGTGACCTAAATTTCTTAAGACCTAATATTTCTTAAAAGCCAAAGGGGGGCATTTCCATTTTTTTGCATTGGGGCCCAAAAAGGCTAGATACGACACGTGTTTGTGCTGAGATGACAGCCGGTAGAGACCCAGAGGGAAATGGAAGAAACATGTTGAGCCGATCACGTAGAGTGGGATAAGGAGAAGGACAATCTTCAAATAACATATAATACCTAACTATAATTTATCTTATTCAAGGAAATAGCGGTTTGCTAGAAAATATAAGAGTAAATGAGGGAATGCAAATATAAATTCCACGCAGAAAACCTTGACAATAGTAGTTTAGCTAATACACTTTATACAAAAAGTTACATATCTCTATTGTGAAGGTTAAACAACATAATGGATTAGTAATTAAATTGCAGCCGCAATTACAAAAATAGTATGTACATTTTTACAACAAACTTCATTTTTTTTAGTTTAAAAATAGCAATTGGTTCATATGTCGCTCACCCACATAGCGATTACACTTTACAGAATGATCTAACAGATTACGTAGGCCATTTAGTGGGTAAATGTGGACATGAGTCACGATGGATAACAAAAATTATAACAATGTGAATAATTTTACACAATCTACTAGTAAAATACAAAGTCGTCTTTGTAAAAATAGGATGTTAGAAGTAGGTATAAAAAATTAGAATAAATTACTACATAACCCAAGGACGGTGCACAATTCCTAACAAATCTCTTCAAAACTTGGCGTCGAAATATATCTTAAAATATGAAAGTCCCATGTCTTTGCTGCTAGAGACATAAAGATAAATAAGAACTACGCGGGCAAAACCGCGAGCAATGCGAGTCATTTAATATTTATATTTGTTTCAAGCGTATGGTACTCACCTTTGCTGCCGCTTTACAGAAATGACATCTTTCTATGGTGATAATGGTGTAAGCGTTATGATTCAAGTAGCGTATAAACTTCTCAAAGCAATATAAACAACAAATGCCGCATTTTAAAGTACACTTAGCACATTCCGACCCCTTTTCCGCTTTCGCCGATAATCTGAATAGACGAAAACAAGTTCAATATATAATGTACATATTATAATAAAAATGATAATTAATATAATATTAACTTATAATTATTACTTAATTGATAATTACACGCAAACTTATTTGGCAAAATTATAAAATTACATACGCAAAAGCGTTACGAATATAACAGCACACACATGGTCCTCTAAAGTCTAAACAATATTAAAAAATACATGTATAACTAAAACAAACATATTTCATACATTTTAATACATAGTATATGCAGTGATCAATAAAACAGCAGTTTATCTAATTGAGAAATCAATGCTACACAAAGCAACGGATATCCCATTAATTTAATTTGGGTGGATGGATGTTTGTTACTCAATCACGCCGGAACGGCTGAATGGATCTTGATAAAATTTAGTACAAAAATAGATTATAATCTGGAATAGCACATAGGCTACTTTTTATCCCGGGAACAAATATCGTTCCCGTGGGATAGATTTGTTTTTATTTTTCACTAAGGATGAATCACAGCGAAGCAAGGGTTAGACGCTAGTATCATATAAATATATATTTTTTTGGAATTGTATAATAACAACATTATTTACTTACTTCGCATGTAGATAGGTGAGGATGAGTCGTGGAATTTTAAAGAGGGTAATTAAAAATGATCCTTTAGCGACGGAACCTAAGTGATATTTGAGAAGTTTGCCTATTGAATACAGCACGGGCGAAGAGTTCGCGTGTTCTCCTCTGAAAGAAAAGGGTTGGAGTTCCAAATTACGAAATTCATATGGATTTAATATTATTTCTGCTCTTATTACTTAACATAAGTTCCTAAAAATCTATCTGTGGTTTTCCTTACTAGAGGTTGAAATTAAACATTATATTATTGGGTGGTTGAGTCGCTATTTAAACAGATAAATAAAATTGAAGTGTCAGTTTGTTATGTCAAAATAACTTTAAAAGCTTTTTACTAAATGCATATGGAATTATATACGGTAAATAAAATAAATAAATAAATATGTGGGGACATTAACACACAGCACCATCTAGTTCCATGGTAAGCTACGAGGCTTGTGTTATGGATACTAGGTAGATGATACACTACACAGTACACATACATATAAAACTTTAAATACATCCTTATTATAAATATAAAGATCCATGACTCGAGTACAAACGTTCATGCTCATCACACAAATGAATGCCTCCAGCGGGACTCGAGCCCGCGACCGCTGGCACAGCAAGTAGGGTCACTACAAACTGAGCCAAACGTGTCGTCAGTCGGTATTTATAAGAAAAGCATAATTTTTAAAAATTTTGTCTGTCTGTTTTTTCCGGCTAATCTCCGAAACAGCTGGGCCGATTTTGACGGAACTTTCACTGGCAGGTAGTGGATGTTTTAAGGAGTAACTCAGGCTATTTTTATTTCAGTAAAAGAATTAGGGTTCCGCTCAATAAAATTAAAATGTACCTAGGGACGAACCCGAGCGAAGGGAAGGTGAGTCGCTAGTTTTATTATAAGTAGTGTTTGCAGTATAACAAATCCGCCGTCATGCCGCAGTCGACTACTATTATGGAAGTCGTGAGTTCGATATCGCCGTACAAACAGGAAACAAATGGAGGAAAGCCGTATTGGAACTACATACACTCAGGAAGTTATTTAATGCAAGGAATTGTTTCATTTACATATTTTACCTCTGAGATATATTTACTTAATTTTTTGTAACATAGTATTTGTTGTTTTTTTTTTAGTTTCAATTACAATTATCTATGACGTCATATTCATTGACACAGAATTATTCAAAGTGTTTATAGGTTGTGTGTCACGACATAACGCGCTTAATAATAAATGACTAAGCAATTAAGTTTGTTCTACTTCCACACCTTGGCTAAAGTAATTATCTATATTTCATTTGTAAACATTGTGTGAATACTTAGGAATTTTACAAATGTAATTTTAATAAGAATAAAAACTGCATCATTATTCATTACAAATTTTAAGAAAAAAATAATTTTCCTATCCAGTATTGCACCCATTTATTTAAAAAAAGGCACCATTATTGTACCATTTAAATAACTACAAAAAGTCTACAGCACAATAAAAAAATATATAAGTCTCAAGTTTAAAAACATGTCTTACCTAAAATACCAGTGTGAAACAGCTCCTGCGATGGTCATCTGTTGGCAGCCCAATATAAATTCACTGCCCCAAATAAGGCATATTAACCACAGCCACCACATACTCTTCACCCACATTGGATCAAATTGTATTGGCTCCAGCACAAAGCCTTTGGGATTACACATTTTTTACTAACACGACAACATATTAAGTAATAAATATTTCATGAGTTTTATTATATGAATTCGTGTTATATACGAAATACGACATATATAAATGGTTATACATGTATATTATATATGTATGTATATAAACAGAACCCATATTATAATATGCTGTCCAACCATAGACATTGTTGAATAGTAAAATTATATTTCGACAATTTACCGGGTCCAACTGTGGCTAAGAAAAATCCAGGTTACCTTATAAGTACACATAAAAAATTTCATATAAATCGGTCAAGCCGTTTAGAAGGCGAAGCATTACGAACACATGCACACTGGAATTTTATATAAGTACATACATACATCATACATATATAATATAAAGACTGTGTATTCAGACTCAATGTATTAATAAAAATATCAAGAAAAGAAAAGACTGAAACTTACTCTTTAAGCTTGCACTCTTATTTATATTTTGGACTTGAACTGCTGCATTGTCCACATGTTCAGCTGGAGTGCCATTGAAAAATAAGTTTGTTTCATATGGTATGCCTGGGTAGTTTGCAGTCGCTAAGCATACCTAAGGCAATCGAAGAAATTAAATACTAATATATAAGTGTCTGTTTGTAATGTAAAAATAACAGCTTTTTACTAAACATATATGAAATTATATATTATGGTATTTGTGAGAAAAACACAATTTTTAACATTTTTGTCTGTCTGTTTGTTCTGGCTAATCTCCGAAACGGCTGATTTTGATGGGTCTATCACTGGCAGATAGCTGATATTATAAAGAGTAACTTAGACTACTTTTATATTTTAGAAAAAGAATTAGGGTTTGAGGCAAAAAAACTATTAACTTAAATAGAGCAATAGAATTAAATATATGTACTGACAAAAAAATGTATTCTTTGGGCTTATTCCAACACATTAAAATAGATATAAAATTCTACATTATAGTGGGTTAAACAATATATATATATATATATATATATATATATATATATATATATATATATATATATAATATTAATTTATTAATATAATAATAATTCTTACCATAACGAGAGACCAAAATGTGAAAAACAGAACTAGAAAAAAGAAAGTCACAATAGGCTGCAAAAAGAGGGCTGGTATAGAACCTAAACAATGTGCTGTTTCTTTAAACAATTCCGCCAAAAAAGAGACTCGGGATCTCATAACCCACACAAGCACCAATAATATTACCTAAAAGAAAAAAAAAATAATATACTCTATAAAAATTCTGATGTAATAATTTCATGCATATATTTTAAATATCTACATATATATGACTTACTGTGATAATTGTAGCTATTATTGAGTACCACAGAAATGCCCTATCATTTTTCAAACTTTCCTAAAATAAAATATAGTATTAATATTGTATGTATATAAACATTACTATATCATTATATTGTTTTTTCACACTTACTGATAGAAAAGCCCCAGCTTCAGAGAAATCTCTTTGTTTTGTTTTGAGTTCATAGTATGTATACCATAAAAGAACAGTTCCTGCTACACTTGTGATTGATACAATGATCATAAATATCCAAGCTACTAAAGATGCCAATAAGTGTAAAATAGAAACCATGATCAAGGAACAAACTGAAATAATTTAAAATATTTAAAATTGGAAATTAAATATTATAAATTAAAAATTATAGGCAAAATATGCAAATACATAATATGCATATGTGTATATATACATGCATATTATTTGGTTATTCATCATTATCATCATCTCCCTGTTAATTTCCTAAATTACTTAGGGTCAGCACAGTACATGTTCCTCTTTCACTCTTCCCTATCACTCATCATAACATCATTCACCCCTTTCACTTTCATATCTTATCTCACACTATGTATCCATTAATTCTTTGCTCTTCTTTTACCTCTCCATCCATCTACATTCATTTCCATCACTCTTCTTGTTACATGTGTTTTATCCCTCCTCTTCACATGTCCATGCCAACTCAAAAATTTCCTTTCAACTTCTCTCACCTCTGTCACTGTAGTTACTTTCAAGCTTCCTCTTATACACTCATTCTTTATTTTATCCATTTTCATCACTTCACACACCCATCTTAACCTGCCAACGACTGCCGAGCCACAGGGGGCGGTTAACAATTAATTTCTTAGAATTCAACCGTGAGGTGTTAACATTTTCATCTCTGCAGCATGCTATCTTTTTTCATCAGTCTGGTTATTATATTAGCATAAATAATTATTTATTAGTTATACTTACTAAATGCCAATATGACACATATTATCATTTCTTTCCATGAAGAATAAAGATCAGATAACATTTGTTCTATAGTATCCCAACTATTGAGCAAATTGTTAAAGTCAGTGAAGACTTTAGTAGCTAAATCTTTTGCAGACTTTGGGAAACATCTATTTAATAGGGGAAAAGAGTCATACACAGGCAAAGTGGGACATGGTCCTGCAAAGCTATGCAAATTTTGTCCACTTGGAACATTATTTAAATTTACATCATAACTACAGAGATTTGATCCAGTTGACCTATAAAAGTCTTGAATATCGGAAAGTGATTCCATCTTTTTGTTTGGACATTGTTTAACACATATCTTAAGAGATCTTCGAAGTTCTTTTATGTCCATAAAGAATAGATAGTTTTTATCAGCAGTACTTATACCAGCTAGAGGAAAGTTTGTAAGTTTCTTATTACTTTGTACTCCACAAGTATTTCCAAATGAATCATAACCATTAATTACCCTTAGAGGATTACCATACACGAACGATATTGCGGCTATTATTATCTAAAAAATAAATTTGAATAATAAACACAACTGAAATATATAACAAACAAATATGTAACAAAAAATACCAACATCATTTATACAAACCGAAATGATAAACATACCATTAAAATCCAAAATATCACGTAAATAACAAGCCACAAAACATCTGTGCAGCCCTTTCGAGGAGTTTCATTTTGTGGAGATATTTCACTTTGAGCGCAACCCATTATGTAAATTACTCTTATTAATTGTGATCACCTTAGTTCAAACAGACATAGTTTTATTTCGTTTCGCATAGACGACTAAAAACAATTTCTTAAGGAATTAAAGTAGCGTCCTGTCTCAAACGGCATCAACCACAGACAATTGACAAATACAAAAAAACACAACAAATAACAATGAAATGAACTATCGAAGATACAGACTAAATAGAGACATTCAACAGCATATCCACAGACTAATATACTATATCGGGCTCTATTAATGTCATAGAGATAATAAGGTACCCTACCCCAGACCTACCCTACCCCAGCCTGCAAATTTATGATATTTGCAATGAAAAAAATACTAATCGATAGATTTTCAATAGCTCAATTTAACTACGTAGCCCTTTCAAATTGCTCACCTTTAATTATTTAATTAAAAATCAATAAAGTCTTTGAAAAAAAATTAATTTATCTGTATATTCAAACTCCTATATCTTTTGATGTATACAATATTTCAAATTGCTCAAAGTTCTAAAACACTGCTCAAGTTGCATTTGTAATTGCTCAAGTAGAGTTTTTACCAGCTCCACTTTCGCTGATTATTAAATAATTAAAAGTATAGTTGTAATAAATGTAACGTAGGTTAAGTGAGCGTGCGCATGCGCACCGCGCATTGTCGGTCGGCCTCGGCGGGCTTGGACAATCGTTCCAATTCAACGTCTTAATTCTGTTTCTCGGTGGATTTCTTTAAATTTATTGAATTTATGAATTGTTCACATTACGTGATTCCACTTCAGATATTATAACATAAAGAACAGATCTGGAATCTACCAATAAATGAAAATTAATACCAACAGATAAATTAAGACAAAATCTTATGTTCAAATGCTTATTCTATTAAGGTAATAGCCATGACAGGGATCATTAGTAAAATGTTATTAACATCAATACAAGACGGAACTTTTTTTATTTTTAAATATACATATAGTTTAATGACATTTTTATTTTAAAGAAACAAACTGCATGAATATAAACTGCCTTTAATATAAAGGAATTTTGAACTCTGATCAGCAATCGATAATTTAATAATACTGCTACGATCCTTTTTAGCTCCTGGAAGCGCCACAAACATTCCATCTCTTGATGCTGAGCTGATCGCCTCTCGGATGTTTTATTTATATTTATTTAATAATTAAGGAAAGTGGAGCTGGTGAGAACTCTACTTGAGCAATTACAAATGCAACTTGAGCAGTATTTTAGAACTTTGAGCAATTTAAAATATTGTATATATCAAAAGATATAGAAATTTGAATATACGGATAAATGAATTTTTTTTCAAGGACTTTATTGATTTTTAATTTTATAATTAATGGTGAGCAATTTGGAAGGGCTACGTAGTTGAATTGAGCTATTAAAAATCTATCGATTAGTATTTTTTTCATTGCGAATATCATAAATTTGCAGGCTGGGGTAGGGTAGGTCTACCCCAGCCTGCAAATTTATGATATTCGCAATAAAAATACCTGATAATAGATGATGTTACTGTTTGCGCGCATGCGCAGCACTCACCTATCTATACGTTAAATTTATTCAAACTATTTATATTTATTTAATAATTAAGGAAAGTGGAGCTGGTGAGAACTCTACTTGAGCAATTACAAATGCAACTTGAGCAGTATTTTAGAACTTTGAGCAATTTAAAATATTGTATATATCAAAAGATATAGAAATTTGAATATACGGATAAATGAATTTTTTTTCAAGGACTTTATTGATTTTTAATTTTATAATTAATGGTGAGCAATTTGGAAGGACTACGTAGTTGAATTGAGCTATTAAAAATCTATCGATTAGTATTTTTTTCATTGCGAATATCATAAATTTGCAGGCTGGGGTAGGGTACCTGAGATAATACACATATAATTCTAGAATAGGCAAGTTCAAGTGATAACTTGATAGAAAGAATAACAGACCCCTTTCTACTCCTTTTTTTTTTTATAATTTTTAAAGATTTAGAATGTAATATAATAAATTAATCATTTTTAGTGGGCAATAAGAATTGTGCGTGTAAAAGATTTAAGTTATATTAAATCCTCAGTTTATTGTCAAGCTCTATAGCGTGGACGGCTTTTTTTTTCATTTTATTTAAAATTTAATTAAAATGACAAATTGTGCAGTGCCAGGATGTAAAGAAAATGGATGTCATTTGTTCCCAAAAGAGAAAAACTAAATAAATTGTGGGCTAAAGCAATAAGACGCCCAAAATTGGCGAAATGACAATCTCTATAACTAAGGCTATGTGAACATCATTTTAAAGAAAGTGATTTTAAAACTCTTAAATTGTCTACAGGTGGATATTTTTCCTAGGGTTTCATACAATCTTTAATCCCATATTTTACCCACTTAGGGGACGAATTTCGAAAAATGCGACCGCAGCCGCGCCGGTGTCCACTGTTGCGTTTTACGCAACAGGTACATTACACAGTAAGATGCCAACACAAAACAATTATCATAATAAATTGCTTAACCTCAGGACTCAGATTGTATGTAAATAGGTCATATGTATTGCGCCCTTCTTTTGAGAAATCTTCCCCTTTGTTCCTCTACCTGATTGTGAATCATTCGTGTTGTTTTGGTCTATGATTATTCATCTGTTGTTGTTGCTGTCAAGCTTTTACTTGTCAATTGTCATCCATGTGTCAAACGGACAATTCTTAAAAAATACCAGGATTTCTTTTTTCTACTTCAATCGCACCTTTTATTATTTGTGCAAATCTTTAGAATGAATCTTAAAACATTATTAAATATAAACTTTAATATAATAAATTTTAGTATGAAAAGAAACTTAAATGGTAATGTATCCAGCATCACCAAAATTCACAGAGAAATATTTACAAGGATGTATCCTACGAAAGTAATATTAGCGAACGGAGCGTCAATAAATATTAGATACCATGAGCCTAGAAAAATTATTAAAGTAAGGTTCTCATTGCACTTTATTATTTAGTTTAGATTTTCAAATATCACAATGGATATTAAAAATGTTGTTAATGATAAATTATATTTTCAGTTACCATTAGACTTAATGCTACTATCTGAGGAAGAAAGAAAACTTAGGCTAGAAAGAAGGAAACCCAAAAGGAAAGTAAAAATTGCTGAATCTGTTGAAGATAACTATAATGCAAGAAAATATTTAAAATATATAAAGAAATAATATGATGTAGTGTATATATACTGTAGATTATATGAAATAGGTAATAAAATAATTATATGAAATATTATACTTAGTTTTGAAATTATTGTTGTATTTTTACTGGGTATAAAGTCTATTATAAAAATTAGTAAAAGTTGTACTATGATTTGTCCAACTGATAGATATTAATTAATTAAAGAAATATGATTTTGAAATTTTGTGAGTACATGTCTGTATGTGTAAACTGTAAGAAAAATTTGTGCTAAAACTTGGCTCACATACAGATTCTTGAACTAAAACATTCATAGACATCAGGTATTGTTGGCAACCTGGACTATTACCACACCTTGAACTCCCTTAAGCTTTTTCCAAAAAAAGTCAAGACAGTTTTATAATATAAAACTGTGTTTTATATTATATGTATTACATTCCATTGTGTTAAAAAAAAACAAACATTTTTGTTTGGTTCTTATAGTATAATTTTGTTACTCTGTTTTACAGATCGTTTCAATTTAGACTGTGTGTGCAGAAAGTATTATAGTATAATATAATAGTATATAAAAAAGCAAACACAATTAGTGCACTCTTTATTTCTTTCACTTTCAAGCTCCGATGGAATAACAATTTAACATAAGCATTGAAATATCAAGAGTCTCAAGAGATTTTTTTGCATGTTAGACACTTTCTATACTAGGCCCAACCTGGGTCTTCAATACTTCCACATCTGTATATGCTAGTGACTAGACTAATGAGGCAGCAAATATGATCTTTCACCCAAGGTTGTAGTAACAAGTCATTAAATACCTACCCAAAAAGATGAGTGTGAACATGCACGCGCGTGTTAGTGTTTTTAAAAAAATAGTCTGCTCAACAGGTTAGAACTCATGGATTTTTTTGTCAACATGACTCTTAGTAACCTTCGACAAAAGCTTATACAGATGGCTAAGTCAAGGGTACAGGTTATAATATAATGTCCTCCGAACCGAATCCCACGGCGGCTAATCTCATTAAGACTAGCCAACTGCACAGGATATATTATACAGCAGCGCGTGTGCGCGCAGACACAAGTGCACACTCTATTCCAGTCACTTTCATAATATGGTGGGACGACTACTCGACACGACCAGTGGAGTGAAGGCGCAGGACCGATGGCTGTATGTGCTCTTTTAGTCATGGGATTCAAACAACTAAACTTGGCCCGACCCAGGACTCGAACCCAGGTTCTCCGGGTGTGCAGCCGTACATGCTAACCACTATACCACCGAGGCAGTTCATACAGGTTATAATAAGTACATATTGTACAAGTTATAATAAGTATGTATGTCCCTTTCCCTCGTAATTACTAAACCGCTTAACCGATTTTGATAATTGAAGAGGTTCTCTTCAAAACTTGACTATTCCACTTGTGTTTTTTCACAATCTGAGAAAATAGTTTTGTAGGTATGCACTATGCAGCTATGTTTTTAACCCGAAATTTAATACATTAGTGTAGACGACAACAATAGTCATTGCTTTGTACAGGATTCAAAAGTTTAGCAATAATGTTTTGAGTAAATCCAAAATTTGAAATGGAATAATCTAGTTTTGACGCGGCTGATTAGTATAATCAAGTTTTGTTATGTGCTTGTGCTCTAGTCTCTAGAGGAATAATCATTTTTTTATTCAAACCATGAATGACAAATAAAAATTCAAACCACTGGATTAATCTTGTTTAGAGAAACTAATTAGGTATCAGAAATCTCATTTTTCATAAAGGATTCCTGGTATCTTTTATTTTGTTGCAATTTAGATTAAAATAGTTAAATTACTTTTGGATTAATCATATTTTGTTTCAAAAATGTGTATTTGTAATGGGTAATGTCATTTCGACGTGGAATAATCGACTTTTGACGAAAACATGCCTTTTTAATCTTTTTTTTTCTGATGTAAATATCAAATTTTGGGCCAAATTTTTCGGCGGCGTGTAAATTTGAATGTTACCAGACAAAAAAAAATAAGTTTCATCAAAAATGGAATAGTCAAGTTTTGAAAAGAGGCTCCTCAATTCATACCTACTTCGCTAGATTCGTCTTGATAACGCGAGTGTTATAGGATATATGGATATTATTAAAAATCAACATGGTGCATTTCAGGCTTTGCAATTCCAAGCCTTTTCAGTGGGGTATCAAAATAAAGGTTTTTATGAGGCGATTACAAAAATATTTACAAATTATATTACGTCACACATGTTCCTGTGTCCCCTTGGTGAGGCAGAGTAGTCTACAGTACACCGGCATTCCGTTCGGTCTTGAGCTTCGTGTTTGATTTCGCGGCAGGTTTTGCTGATAGCCTTCGCTCCATCAATTTATGACAGTCCACCGCTAGGTCTGGTTTGGACGTCCATGTTTGCATTTTCCTTTTGGATTCCAGTCTAGGATCGGGTCAGTCGATATATGGTTTGGATCCCTTTGAAGAGTTTGACCTATCCAGCTCCATTTATGACGTTTGATTTACTAGGGGACCGGGGCTCGGTGGAACGCAAAGCCACAAAGCCGATCGGCGACGAAAAGCTGGTGAAAACTAAGTTTCACAGCTTAGGACACCATCTCCAAGTTGCTTGTCTGTCGGTTTTCTACAGACTGTACTTCGGGGAGTATGCCCACGAGATCCATGGTCTCATACTGCCATCGCCATTCTTCCATCGGATCACCAGACGTACTGCAGGATACCATCCTTTTTAGGTTGATATTCCGACTACTCGCACTAAGCGCTATTCATCTTTTATAATGCGCACAGCCAAGAAATGAAATGCCCTGCCTGTGTCTGTTTTTCCGAGTGCGTATAACCTGAAATTATTTAAGGTGCGTGTTAACAGGCTTCTCCTGGGCAAACTCACTAGATCATAGACCTTATTTATGCCTTCGAGCTAACATGAGCTGAGAGAAGAGTAAGCCCATTTTTTAGTTAAAAAAAAAGACTTCATTGCAGCATTCCCAAAGGTGCTCGTTGGAAATTTTGTCGGGCCAGTAAATACCGACGGTTTTAGGTTATGCCCCATTCTATGATGCTATCAAGAACGTCAAGGAACCCCTTTCTTACGCTTGTGTGTACCGCTATGTCCTCCGAGACGAGTCCGTTATGCGTCACTCGTACAAAAGTAATTCTTATATATAACTGTGGTGATATTGATTATTTTCTCGGGGACAACAATTCTGCGTAGTTGGGACCAGATGTTGGCCCACCTCACCGTATCAATGGACTCTTCGACATCTACAAAAGTAAGGCACATCTCTCTTTGCCTTTCTATTGCCTGTTCCAATGATGCAGAAGGTGTTCATCTGGTCTGTACCTATTGATTGGTGCGGAATCCTGCTTGCTCTCTGCGTATGAGAGGTTCGACGGCCTACAAAAGTCTATCCAAAATGACTTTTCAGAGCACCATGGATGAGATCGAAAACAAAGTAATATCTCTTCAGTTACAGCATTGAGTATTAAGGTCTTCCTTTTTTGATACATTGATAAGAAGGTCTTCGAGAGGAGTTTACAAGCTTGATTGTGATTGTGGGCTCTCTTACATCGAACAAACAAAGCGATCCATTAGAACCCGGGTCAAAGAACACATAGCTGATGTGAAGCACCATCGCAATACAACATCTGCTGTCTGCAAACATAGCCAGGGCCGCCCAAGCCATTATATTCGCTTCGATAAACCTCAAATCCTGGCGAAAGAAAACCGATATCGCCCTATATAGAATGATTCGAGAAGCCATAGAAATTAAAAAACATCCCAATTTCAATAGGGAAGATGGCTGGGTACTACCATCGTCATGGGATCCTGTTATTAATATAATAAAATTAAATAATAAATCTAAACATAACAGACAAGTAGATGTAGTAAGTTCTTACTGTGTAGATCAAAATGACAGAATATCAGATTAATATTTTTCATTTTTCATTTGTAAAAGTATATAGTAATAGCGTTGCTTATAAAATTGTCTTTTTTAAATAATAGCAAACTAAATTAAAATTATTATCCCTAATTAATTTTTACTTTTTAAATTACACGTAGAACAATTTTAAGGCTTAAATAATTAATACTATATTTTATATTTTTCTTTATGGTTATAAATATAATAATGGCAACACTAAATATTGCTTACTAATTAATATTTTTAAAAGTGTAATAATAACAGCAAAAATTAAATAAATAATATCCCAGATTCAATTATAAAACTAATTAAAATTATAAAAATGTTTAAAGTTAAAAAATATTGTAAGGTAATTTTTGCAATTTTCATTTTGTTAATTGTGGGTAGGCTGTCTGTAACAACTATACTTTCGAGACATGTAACACCTCAGTCTCTCCCGTGACCATGGATGCTGTAAAGTGTAAAGCATTTGAAACGTTGGGAACCAAAAATCAAAATAATTCCGCGAATAATATATAATCCGAAAAGAAGGTTTTTGTTCCAATACCTATTTCGGTAACACCTGCCAGATCTGCTGTAGCAGACTGCAAGTCAAAAATTATCTGCTTGTAAGTAATGTCTAACCGGCCAAAACTAAAAGTTATAAATAAAATATTAAATTATAAAAATAAAAATCGACTGCATAAGAAGCGAGCTAAAAAGATGAGAACAAGTCGACGAAGGAACATAGCAACTATGCAGTCAGAGACAAATTTTGCTACGTACATATACTTATGTGTCTCCGACAACTTAGTGTTATAGGCCTTCATCAACTTGTTTTTGTATCCAGTTACAGTACTATCTTTTGCATTATAATATGTATAAGTATTAGCCCATATATTTCATGTAAAATCACACGTGTATATAATCATTGAATACTGTCAAACCAGTCAAAAAACCCAGATTAACAAAGGATAAGATTACATAAGAAGGAAGGACTTTGTTACGGGTTGTGATCGGCACTATAGTGTGAAGCGGCCCTTACTTTTATTTGTCATCCATGATTTTTACGTAGTTGTTACCATGGATGACAAATAATTTTTTTACTTGTTAAGCCTGGCGTCGACTACAGGCGAAACGCGTCGAATCGACTCGAGCCGCATTTTATTCGTTATGCGTCCATTTCAGCCGAATCGAATCGACTCGCTCATTTATCGCAACTCGTCAGCAAAGTAGGTCGTGAATGCGCTCCGATCTTTCTAACTCTAAAGTGTAGTATAAGCCTACACAGATAAATAAAATTGAAGTATCTGTTTGTAATCTCAGAATAACAGCATATTACTAATGCACATGAAACTATGTACGTTACTTATCAGAAAAACACATTTTTTTAATTTTTGTCTGTCTGTTTTTTTGGCTAATCTCCAAAACGGCTGGATAGATTTTGCCGGGACTTTCACAAGTGGATACCTGATGTTATAAGGCTTAATTTAGGCTACTTTTATTACAGAAAAAGTATTACGGTTCCGCTAAAAAAAACGCACCTAGGGACGAATCCGTGCGAAGTGCGGGTAAATATCTAGTATACAGTACAATAGTATAGTTATATAATAAAATATAATATAATAGTTAATTATAGTTACTTTTCACGAAATAAAGGTACTTTTAAGTCTGGCGTCGACTACAGCAGAAATGCGTCGATCAATCGAAGCGAGTCGACTCGAGTTGCATTTATTCCTGGTGCGTCCATTTCAGCCGAATCGAATCTAATTGCTCATTTATCGCAATTCGTAACTCGTCAGCAACTAGGTCGTGAATGCTTGTCTGTCTGACTTTCACTGGCAGATAGCTGATGTTATAAGGAGTAATTTAGGCTATGTACTTTTGTTTTAGAAAAAGAATTAGGGTTCCGCTAAAAAAATTAAAACGTACTTAGTAACGAACCCGAGCGTAGTGAGGGTAAATCTTTAAGTATACAGTATAATAGTATAGTTATAGTATAACATAATAGTTAATTATTGTTTTTTTCACGAAACATAGGTACTCTTTAAATAAAATACAAAAAACTCGCCGGTGTGCATGCGATTCCCCGCGTAGAATAAGGCGCGCCGAATCGAGTTGAAACGCGTCGCCGAAGAAATTTTCCTGACAAGCAATGCGCGCGGGAGATTCGATTCGGCGCGCCGCGACTCGTCGCTAATGGACGCAGTTTCATAGTAAATATATAGGAAGCGAATTTCTGCGGTTCGATTCGCCTCGAATCGGCGACCTAGTGGACGCCCGGCATTACATTCTCCTTCAATTTTTAGTCTGTGAGAATAGAATAGAAAAGTGAACGGATTACTGAACCTTTAATAATTGTCAAATTCAATTGTCAAGTGAACTGGACTACAAAGATTAACTTTTCCAATTAAGGTTATTTATTAGACTTTATTTAATATCCAATAATTTCATTGTAATTTATGAAGGCAATAATTCTTTTAATCAATGTGTTGATATATGTTTATATTTCAGAGTTCAGATATAAAATGACAAATATTTTTGAGTAGTCCTATTAACTTACGTAAGTCTAAACATTACAAAAATGGGAAATAAAGTATCCGCCGAAGCACCGAATATGAAAATTCATGGTGGTAATGGAAATCCACCACCTGAGTGTCCAATGCATAATAAAAGCGCAGATGCTAAAAATGATATTAAAGCACCACCTTCTGAATGTCCAGTTCAGAATGAAAACAATATCAATCCTTATAATATGGTTAGTATTGCAACAAATTTAATGTGATTTAGCTTAAATTAGAATACTACTGAAACACGTTTTTTCTAATAGTGAAAATAAATGCTCTCAATCATACTTTATCTCATTTTTATGAAACCTCAGGGGTTTAACGAAATAAAATATTACCAATTTAATGCTTCAGATGCCACCAGCAAATCAACAGCCAGCCCCAGATCAACCATTTTCACTTCCAACAAATCGTCAAGTGTCTTCCATTCCTCGTGCTATGCCTGATGGATCAACAGAGTTTTGGGTATATCCTAGCCAACAAATGTTTTGGAATGCGATGCTTCGTAAGGGCTGGAGATGGAAAGATGATGAAATCAAACAAAAAGATATGGACGACATAATTAGAATACATAATGCTAATAATGAACAAGTATGTTAATAAAAAAAATACAATACATGATTTAGATACATTTTTATCACAAAATTAATGATTTTTTTTAATCTAGGCTTGGCAAGAAGTCTTAAAATGGGAAGCCCTCCATGCTAAAGAGTGTGGTCATCCGAGACTTAAGAGCTTTGGAGGAAAAGCAACAGACTACAGCCCTAGGGCAAGGTTTCGCTCATTGTTAGGGTAAGTCATATAATAATATATATTTTTTATGCTTTACATTTTAAAGTGCAATGATTGGTTTTTGCCTTGCAATTTATTCTTATGTTTTTTTTTTATTTTAACTCTTATTTCAGGTATGAGTTACCTTTTGATCGTCATGACTGGATAGTGGACAGATGCGGTAAAGATGTACGTTATGTCATCGACTATTATGATGGAGGTGAAGTTGACAACAAATATCAATTTGCATTACTCGATGTTAGGCCAGCGTTGGATTCATTTGAAAATGTCTGGGATAGGATGAAAGTTATGTATATGAGATATCGCTATGAACTTATTGGAGAAAAGAAAAATACAAAATTAACTAATTAAAAATTTATAATGTAGTGTTGTATGTAGTAACTTTAGATAATTCTGTTTGTGACAAACTGCTGATCCACACCTGATAGTTGTTATAATAATTAACTAACATTTAAAATATTATGTGGGGTACTTCTGTCGACATTTATTGTCACTGCAGTAACTCTTTGTGATTTTAATTATTATTCTTAATATTATTTGGCACTAAAATACTTAGTAGTATTATTAAAGTATAACATCTATAATATATTAAGTGTTGAAATTGTTAAATGATCTGCAATAATGATGCAATTATGACGCAATTATAACTTTATGTTCTTATGGCTATATTGTATTATGGCTTGAATGTAGTATATATGACAAAAACACTGCTCTAACTCTTAACTGCCTCGGTAGTGCGCATTAGCTGGTTAGCAAGTAAATCTGCACATCGAGAGTTCCTGTGTTCGAGTCCTGGGTGGGGCAAGTTTAGTTATTGAGTCTAACTGTTTAGTAAGTCTTGGTAACAGCTTGAAGTTGGGAAGTTGGCAGTGTTTCACCCCTGTGGCTCGGAGAGCACGTAAAGCTGTCGGTCCTGCGCTGTAACTCTTACCGGTCGTGTCGAGTAGTCATCCTACCGGAGTACGAGAGTGACAGGAATAGAGTGCACTTGTGTCTGCACACACTTGTGCATTATAATATCTCCTGCGCAGATGGCTAGTCTCAATGAGACTAGCCGCCATGGCCGAAGTCGGTTGGGAGGTCATTATTATTATTATATGACAAGTTAAGAATCTTAAATATCATGTTACATACATTGTAATGTAATTACATTGTTACAACTTATTACACATCAATTTCAAAATATTTTACAGATATAAATGGAAAATTAAAGGAATGTCATTAAACTTGATATGAAAGATCTGCCTCATTAATGTCATTACCATGTACCCCTCCTATGATTTTTTTTCTAACAATAAAACGTTAATGTTTATAATGTTGTTTTATTTATCAGGTATATATATACAAGTGGTATCTTAAGCACATTTTGTAAATTTGCATCTTCTCATTCTATATTTAAAACTTGGTGGCTTTGAGTAACACCTTTACATTCATTTTTAAAAATTTCTACTTGTTGTTCTATGTAACCTTCAAAATTATTATAAGGACAGTTGGGAAGTATTTTGTGTTTGGGTTTTCCTTTTGAGCAGTGATAAACAGATCGAAGAGTCAGTACAGGAGGCTTTTCAGGAAAATTAATACCTAAAAATATAATGAGATTCATAATAAATTCTGTTTAGAATAAAAATTAGTAGTATATGTATATTGAAATTAATAATTTCAAATTTTACCTATATCAATTTGAAGAATCCAGTGGAAATCATTCATTTCAAACAATAAAGCTGCACTGCTTGCATCATGTTCTAATATGGCACCTTCATATTTTACTATGAGTTGAGCTAGCAACTCACGTTTTAGTTTATCATTATTGATGAGATCATGGATCTACAACGAAAGAGTACATATGAATTATGTATGTATTAATTTTTAACTATAAAAAATTATATCAGTATTGGGTAACTAAATATAATAATTATTTGAAAAAGTTACCTTGTTGTTTAATATTTCTGTTACCATTGGCACATAGTCCATTAATACTCCTGATTGATGCATCCTATAGAGAAGACATAAGTACAATTATTTATGCACACATTAACATACATTTAAATACTCAAATTTTAATATATATTAAAAACAAAACTTACATGGGTAAAGTTATGTTACCCAAAACTTTCGTAAGAAAGGGTGACAAGATCAATTCTGCATTAGTGGAATTAGGGTATCTAACAAGGAGAAGAGCGGTGTCAATACCTGGATTTTGATCGACTCTGAAAAAAAAATTGAATTTAAAAAATCAGTATTTCACTCTAAATAACAAGTACAGAATATACTTCTCTAATAATACCTTAAAACTTTTAAGGAATAAAATAAAAAAGTGAACCTCACTTGTATGTTATGTATTAAATATTGCAAATTTAATTTTTAAATATCATTTAGAAAATAAATTTAATATACTCCAAACCTATTTATTACCACATAATATATATAGTAATAATATTAAAACTGTTAAAATAATTTACAAAAATAAAAAAACCCCAACTGCAATCGTACTATGTTCCTTAATTTTTACATAGTGGGGATTTTAAATTTCTGTAAATGTTTTTTTTTTATTTTTATAGCTTTTTAGTTTTGGTTAGTTAGACATTTTTAGTTTTATTTAACAAATTCTTATTCTAAATTATTTTGAAACATGTATATATTTTGATGCCCCACTCTATTGATTCTGATGAAAACATTTTTTTCAAGAACATTAATGATACATATTTATATACTCTATGACATTTGTGTTATCAAGACAAATCAAAGATGTAAAAATCATCAAAATTGGTTAACCCATTTAGTAATTTACGAGGGAACATAGGAACAAACATACATACAGGTCAAACATATAACCCTTTTTAACCCTTTTTAAGTTTTTTTTCTGTTACTTGATGGATATGCTAATTATTCTTATTTCATAAAATTAATGAGGCATCAATGCAATAGCTGGGAATTTGGTAGATTAGGTTGGTTATAGAAAAGTGAAAACAATTATATTATTCCAACCTATCATTATACAATTCTGGTAGTCTTGATGTATCAACTTTTAATTTGATTAAAAATTCAACAATGTGTCCTCCAACCCACACTTCAACATCTTGTTCTGTAGTGAGTGCATTTCCTAATAATGCACTATATTCAAAAGATGCACGAGAGCTTTCATCTTCATGCAATTTTTTGATCTGGAATATAGTGATTAAAATTTAGAATACTCTAAAATCAGGTTACTAGCATTAGCAGTTAAGCCTAAAGGTCAGATTATTTAAACAAAGTGTAATACTATACAAGAAATGTTATTTTATTCTTAAAAAGTTCATAAGATTAATAAATTACATACTTGGTGAATTTTATACATATTAATTAGCTGTGAAATGACATCACTAAGAGACTTTGGATCATTTGAATTCCACTCAGTAAGGCTCGGAACACCTCTTGCTAAAGACTCTTCATCAGCATTAATTAAAAAACTTTCATCATCAAATCTGAAATCTGGTGCAAACCAAGGTGTTGATGGGTCAAATATAACATCCCATTTCAACTTTTTTGAACAATAAGGTAACACTAGACGAAATTGGCTGTCTAAAGCATTGGAACTGCCTCCAACTCTTTCTAAGTCCACCTTTGTTTTACAAAGACCTATAAAGAAGAAAAGTAGTAATTTATATCAATGTAGTAACGCTTAACCCGTTGTGTTTTTAAATTAATTTATATACATACCCAGTGTCAAATCATGGTATATACTTTGGACATAAGGACGAAAGAACGGAGATATTTCACACAAAAATCCGTAATTTTCTGTTGTCATTTTACTACTTAGTAATAGACTAGTCAAATATTATTAATGATAAGTAACGAAAATAATTATATTAATACAATAAGTAAGTAATAAGGATGTTATTCTTTGTATTTGTTACGAAATCTTGTTAATAAGCTTTTATTTCTCGATGATTTATTTAAAATATTATATTTATTTACTTCGTCTCTATTTTTTTACATGCATTTATTTGTAGTTACATCTACATGTCAAATAGACATTAATCATTGATACTTCACACTTGACAGTTCAACTTCATAGTCTTTTCAACATGGATGACAAATAAATCCTAATAATCCTCTATTTAACCCATTTGAATTTCGAAAAATCCTTTTTTATCGGATGCCTACATCAGCTGGTCTAACTTCCAAGTACAATACATTCACAGGTAAGATGCGAACACAATAAAAGCAAAAAACCAGGTATATATATATATGAGATATCACAATAAATTACTTAGCTTAACATCAGACTGAATCATGGATGACAAATAAAACTGAATGTAAATAGGCAATACGCGTGGTATCCTCCTTGCAAGGAATCTTCCCATTGAAAAAAATATATTGAGGGCCATAATGATCGCGACATCTGGCGGGGCAAAAAGGCTAAGTTCTTCCCCATTATTCATTTGTAGAACTTTATTCGTACTTTCGTCGCTATCTGTAATCTCTGTATAGTGAAATTAATATTGTCATTTGTCATTTTTACGTTTTGCTATCTGTCGGTCCACTTGAATTTTCTTATTGGAATAGTGAAAATAAGTATGAAAGATATGAATTCTACAAATAAAATTAACATTTCAGAATTAACAAAACTTGCAAGAAAATTTAATTGCTTTTATTTATCAGGTTATATAAATGATAATTATTACTTTCTGATTTAAATGTATAATAATAATTCAAGGCTTCTATTGTATATGTTTTATTTCATATTTAGGTTTGCACCAAGGCATATGTAAGCCGTTTTTAGTAGCTGGACATCAAGTTGGTCTCATTCGCCCAGATGTACTCAAACATCTTCAAAGATTCCCTGAGGTAAATATAATTGTTATGCTTTTGTTGTTTGTAAACTCGTTATGATCACGTTCACTTAGTAGTATCGGTTTTAAACAGTTTTCACAAAGTATTTTTATTTTAGGTTTTTAGAATTACAGGGAAGTTCGTCGAATTGAACCCTGCATTTAGAGATTACCAAGAAAGGACATCTAAAGTTGCTGAAGTATTGCAAAGTTTACGTAAAGAAAACGAAATATGTGCCCTTAAAGGTTGGCGAGATGAGGTATTTTAAGAGTTTATTTATTTTAAATAAATTCAAGATTTGTTCTATTATTATAATGTTGCTGCACTTAATATAAAATTTTGTCACACTAAGATCAATTTTGTGGTAGACCAATAACTTCTCTTAAAGGGAAGGCTGCTTTAATCGAAATAATATTTTGTTGCCCTTTCAGTGTTTTGAAGTAAGTTCACCATACCATTATGAAAGCTTTTTGGAGATGGACAGAAGTGCAACATGTCTTTTTGGTATAAGAAACTATGGAATTAGTGTCAATGGGTACTTATTTCACCCAGTAAAAGGACTTTGTATTTGGCTGCAACAAAGAAGCTTTACTAAGCAAACATGGCCTGGTAGTATTTTTGAATTAATATAACCATATGAGTTCGGTTTTTGATATACATATACATTATACAACTGAGTTCTGTTTATTCATTTCACCAATGTAATAATTTTAGTGCTCTGTGCAAAAATATTTATGTTATCATGTACATGTACAAATTTATGATATTGTTATTTTATGATGTAGGCTAATTAGATCTAGATATTGGAACTTATTTAAATTCACTTCAGTGAACTGAAAATAGTAAAGTAAATTTACATTAACTAGGCTGAATAGACTTGATATATATTATATACATTCCCATTATATGACCATATTGAATAGAATGTTGTTATTATATATTTTAATGAAAAAGGAACCTAAGTTCTGAGAAACAAAATAAATTTTGACTTTAAGGTAAATGGGACTGCTTTGTCAGTGGCGGGCTGGCCGTGGGTTATGGAAATCTTGAAACTTGCATAAAAGAAGTCGCAGAAGAAGCATCTGTTATGGGAGAATTGGCAAAGAAACTTGTTCCAGCTGGATGTGTTAGGTTGGTGTAATGAAATATTATTTAAACATTAATTACTAATAATGAAGACAAAGGTGTAGTGGTGTTTAAAAAGTTATTTACTTAGATTAATAAAAAATTAAGTTAAAAAAATAAAAAAACCTGTGTATAAAGACAACTAAAAAGATGAGAACAAGTTAACAAAGGAAAATAGTATAATGCAGTTGGATACATACATGTTTTATCCTTGCTGCAAGTCTAGCTCCATATATATATATATATACAGTAATTTTTAATTTATAGCATTTTAGTTTTGGCCTACTTTATATTTGAAGATTATTAATTATTTCTAATACTAAACATATACATTATATATATTTTTGTAATTGTCTCTTAAACACCTTCATTTTGATACCCCACTCGATTTCATTTTATTTTTTAATAATTATCCATATAACCTTTGAAACTCACTTTATTTTGGTGAATCTAACAAAGTATAAATCACCAAAATCGATTAAAGCATTTAGTAAATACGAGGGAACATAGCATCGGACATACATACATACAGCCAAACACATAATTAAGTCGTTCAATTTTATTTATTAGTGTAAAAATGTTCTCTATTTTTTTTCATTTTTAAAAGCATTTACTAATATATTCTATTGTATTTTGTAACAGATTAGTTACCATATAATGTAATTTTTTTATACCAATTATACTATGCTATTTTATATATTAATATAATTCATATTTTCAGTTTTTATTTTGAAAGTGAAAGAGGACTGTTTCCAAACACAGAGTATGTGTATGATCTTGAGCTTCCATTGGATTTTATGCCAAAAAATGCAGATGGTGAAGTTGAAACTTTTGAACTTTTAACTGCTGAGGAGTGTGTACAAAGAGCTTTGTCGCCCCATTTCAAAACAACAAGTGCTCCTGTCATACTGGACTTTCTCATTCGACGAGGATATATCAATCCAGAGAATGGTAAGTTTTATATACCGTTTATTACTTCAATAAAAAATCTGCTTTCGTCTACCATTAATGATTACTAGTAATTACTTTTTAAATGAAAAAAGGACACTAATTGCAGAGTTACTTCTTAAGCAACTTTTCACACATTCAAAGTAATCAATCAAAAGTGAGAATCATCCGACGGGAAGTAAACTCGTAAATTTTCTCGAACTAACCCAATATGTTAAATAAAAATATAGTGCATCGCCGCATTTCATAACATCTGCAATGAGCATTGCCTTTGAACATTAGATTACCCAAGCGCATCGGTACATCTATGATCTAACACAGAACAACTAAAACATTTTTTCGGCAATCTCCATAATGGGACAAACTTCTAAAGAAAATTGACTATCCTATTTACATTGTGAACTCTGTCTTACGGCGGGAAATTTATATGCAAAAAAATAGTTGACCTTATTTGTGTGATTTTATACATTACCCTAATTAGTAATTCAGCAATGCATTCATAGTATTGAGTAGTTATATTTAAATTTCAATACTAGGAGGATATTTAGTGTATTTAGTCACCTTTTTCTTTAATTCACTATACATATTATGTATATTTAGTAGTCCACTGTTCCATCTGTGATCAAAGTATTAACACAGGAGTTCTCAACCAGGGGGTCGTAGAGTTTATTTTGTATAACATTAAAATAAAAATAAATAAAAATCGTTAAAATAACGTTTTATGTTATTTAATAGTGTTTATTTTTAATGTTATCAAATATTTTTTATAATCCGGAGAGGCTTAACAGAAGAAAGGTTAGGAAACTCTGTATTAACATAAAGCCTTTAAATTCTAAAATGTGCAAGCTACACGTCAACATACATTTTTTTTCTTTTAGTACCTATGAGTGCCCCTAATTAATTGACCACGACTGTATGTATGAAAATATACATATGTATATGTATGTCTAAATATAGCATTCATGTAAACGCGACTAAATACTTCGTTTTACGATTCGATCATAATTCGAAACCAAATGTTGTCTTTCGAATTTAATTGTTTTATTAAATCTTATATTATCATTAGTAGGTATAACAATTATTAAGAAGGAAGAGTAAAAGAAGAAGATAAAAAATAGTATCAGGAATTAATATATTGTATTGGTTTGCTTGTCACATAATTTAATTGAAACTTGTTATTATAATACAACAGCAAAAATGTACTTAATTGAGAAATAATTAAATTAAGTATTAAAACACTTGTTAATGTGTAATAATTTTATTATGTCATAACTGATAATAATATATTATATATACATATTACAAAATATATAAGAATAATAATTAATCGACGACCGCCGTCCGCTGACGTTATGGTAGTGGTCAGAGTGCCTTATAAATTCGCCGGAAATTTAGGCAAGTGACGGCCCAACACAGAACATTAGGCCTTAGGATAGGACCGTCTTCTTATGGCAATTTAATGATGATACCTAACGTGTAGCAATAAATAGTTTTAGTGGTTTATATTGTATAGGATATTTGGATATTTACTTTATTGGACCGCAACGCGGAACTCGAACCGCCTTTGGATCTATATTTGATTTAATATTGAAAAGAAACATATAACCTGTTTGTCTTTAAAATTGTGCCTTTACAATAAAAAATAATCAATTCTATTGGGATTATTTACCTTAATATAAAAAATTATATTCAGATCCAACCATTTCGGAGATTAGCTGGAACAAACAGTCAGACAACAATGTTTAAATATTTTTTTATTTTATGTACCATGTATAATTTTATATGTATTTAGTGAAAAATTGTTATTTTGACATTACAAAAAGACATTTCAATTTTATTCATCTGTATATATATAGTAGACTTAATAAAATACTTTTTTCCAGAACCAAACTACAAATCCATAGTGGAGTTACTCCACGTGCCACTCCAGACTATTTACAATTGGACCGAAACCGACATTTCTTCCAATGGCGATGTACAGAATTGAAAAAGGTGTTAATCTATTTGGCTCGTCTCGTTTGTATTATTATTTTATTTTGAAACTTCTTGCTATTTCTTACTTATCGGCAGGTACTTCTAGTTATGCCTGGTCATAGACGTTTCTAATGGTACCTCTTTATAATAGTGAAAATTATAATAAAAAAAAATTCAATCAGTATATAAGGACTTGTATGTTTACAGACTTCACACGTACAACGTTTACAGCAAATATGGCCTAATTTATAACTAATATAAAATGTTACTTAGGTACACTGTAAATATTGTTTGCCCAAGTATGACTGCATCTTGATTGTTTTGTTCCGAGTCAGGCATTGACCAAGTCCTGGTTATGTAGCGTTGAGAATAATTAACTGCCGCGATAGTTTAGCTAGGGATGTTTAATTTCTGTGATACTTTACCAGTTGGGTATAAGGTATTTGTATGTTACTTTAGTTGGATTGATTACCTCGTAAATACCCTGTGGCAAGTTTATTTATTGTTTTTTTTTTATCAATATATTACAAGTGATTGTTTTTTGGATGTAATAAGCTTTGTTTCATCACATGAATCCGTAATCTAGTCACACACGTATCATATGTTGAGGCAATAGTTTTGTTTTGTTTCAATGGTCATTATTCCATATAATTTTGTACGAACTAAATTTATTTTTACAAATATACACGCTCGGGTGAAGTAAATCTCTTAGCTTTAAATAGTAATGATACAAAAACCTACAAATCACAATTCAAATTGAGTAATAGGTACTTATTGAAGCCTTTTTTAGTGTATAACAATAATTATTATTATGGTTTGCGATTTTATTTTATAAGAAGATAATAAACTTAAATTTAAATTAATTAAATTAATTATACAGAAAAAACTAAGTTATTGGTTTATATTCCGTATTGATCATGCCAATTTGATAGTATATTTTTAATGTATAGATTTAGTGTGAGTAGTATTATAATAAAATATCGGATTACATGAAGTATTAGATTAAACGCTTTTGTGGAGAAAGAAAACGCTTTTGTAAATAAAAGAATATATAAAAGCTTAAGAAAAACTACTTTTCAAAAAATATTTATATGATAAATAAGTGCGTAAAACTTGATGCTGTTGTGGATCTAACTGCGAGCCATTGATGGACATAATGGAAGGGTTTAAACAAAAACTACATAAAATTGTTTTGTAATAACAAATTAATAACTCATAATAATATAAAGCAATAAAAAAAATTGCCTTTGATAGTACCTAATATGTACTTATTTAAGTTTTTCGTCACGTTAGGTACTTGACAATATATTGGAATAGCATTTCAAAAAAGAAATTATTATTATTATTAATGTCAACGTGTTATGTTTGCTAAATATTTCATGTAACCCGATGTCTAAGTATTGAAAATATTCGAAACGCTAGTGATATCTATAGTTACGTCAACAATTTTATACATTTCTATGAAAATATAATGTTTTGGCGAAAGACTAACGATATTATACCACGTAGATAATTTACTTAATTAATGTAATCGATATTTACTACATTAGGGAATAGCGCTTTCCTTAACGTAAAAAATAAATAAAGTTATCGAACAAATTGGTTTTATTATTTGAAAAATCATCGTGTTTACTGTTTTTTGTCGAGACGTCCCATTGCTGGGCACGGGCCTCTTTTCAATAAGAGGGGGATCAGGCCATAGTCCACCACGTTGGTCAAGTGCGGGTTGGTGGACTTCACATGTCTTTCGAAAACTTACTAGCTTCTCTCAGATATGCAGGTTTCCTCACGATGTTTTCCTTCAACGTAAGACAAGTGGTAATCATGTTGGAATTATTCGCACATGAAAATATCAGAGGTGCGTGACCCGGGATTTGAACCCGCTTCACTCAATTTCTCAAGCGAGTGCGTTACCACGGGGCCACCACTGTTTAATAAAAATATTGGAAGCTATAATTTAATGCATAAAGTATTAGTATTAAATGTTTATATTTTTGAATATATAAAATTAATCCACTCAATGGTAATGGCATTTCCTGATTAAATCGTAAATGGTCTACTGACTGAAATAATAAAATAGTAAAAATTTTAACTAAATATAATTTTCTTAATGGCTATTTTTAAATGTTAGTGGTACTGAAATAAAGATATTCTAGTAAAACATTGGTTTTTGGTACTATATTCCAAATATAGATATGGTTGCCCTTCAGGATAATAAATATTTACAACACTGTACCAAATGTACTAAATTAGAGCTCGTATTGACCTTTTACGGCTAAAGCCTCATTATCTCTATATGGACTACTTGTCTAGACAAGATTTCAAATAGCTATCGGCATTTAAAAAAAAAAAACAAAAATGGGGAAAATAACTTGAATGATACAGCAAAATATATATAAGAAGTTTATTCAAATACCTGATTACTTATAATGATGTTTTGAGTACCATTGTAACTCATATAAAGAAAACAATGTTCAGAAGTTAGTATACACTTAACAACAGTAATATATTTTGTTCTGATTAATTAACAAAACTCAACAGAACAAGCAGTGGCTTTGTCCAAAAAGTCCAAAAAGATTTTACTTTGTAGTGCTTTTAGTAAATTTGACTAGACATCGCGTTTTTTATTAGCTTCATAAAAATAAATGGGCGATTTCAATAAATTACGAATATTAGTCTTAAAATGAGCTCAAATAACGTAATGGCTTCTAAATAGGATATTGTAAGCAATGAAGTGGACCCAATTGTGTGTATTTCGATGCCTAGTTTAGATATAATGTTTTTGATCAAAACACAAATAAGGATATCAGAAGGTATCAGAATATATAAGTAACAGCATACATATACTGGAGTATATAGAAGGAGGGATTCTTTACAGGGTAACATTTTAATGTTATCAATTTCAGATGTCAAATAATAAGAACTTAAAATGAGTCATGTCGAACTGATCAATATAATCAGTTAAACAAAGCTTCAGGATCTAATACAGGTGATAATGTGACATTACTTTGAAATATAACCAAATTATTACGAAGTTAATAACACAAATTTTAAACTCTTAAGAGTTGTCAATGTTCCCGTTACAGCCAGTCGGCCATAATGACCCGAATCCCCTCCTAGAACACACAAGTAAATATCCTAAAGAGACAAAGCTTCATACAACTATACAACAATATGTTTTGTTTGGGACGCAGTCGGTCTGATATTGTCAACACTTAGAGCCGGAAAATCCGGGTTTGTCAACGCGCGTATTTGAACTCATCGGTGAGTTGTCACGAACATCACCGTGTTATGTAGTAGTACAGTATAGAAATCCATACAACAGACGATATCTCATTGATTTTAATGGAAATGCTGTCAAGCAAGGGTTGCCAAAAATACCAATTTTCATGGCAAATGCTTCAAAGTTAAAGCACTGTAATCCCTACATTTTGCGGTAATTACATACAACCATCAATCCTAAAACTGTTTCCCAACTTTTATATAAAAATATGAGGTAGAACACTCGCGTCACCCTGCACGATTGCCCTGTATACTCCTTCATAGATCTCCATATGGATTACTAGGCTGGAAGTATTACTATCGCTGTGCTATTATATGAAGCTTTACCTCTAAGTATCCGTTACTCATGTGCCTAAACTACTCCCAAAGCTAGTAGTCATCACCTCTGGAGACCACCTCCTTACAAGTGGGGCGGAGTAGGATAGTGTGCTCAAACTGCGCAGTATAGCAGCCCCTGACGTCGCAGAGGGGCGGGTAGGCGTCCACCACGCCCTTGTCGCAGAGGTCCTTCAACGCCATGGCGTAGCGCGAGGCGCCCGCGCGCTCCAGCCACCGCTTGCAGAACGCCAGCGTACCGAAGTTCTTGTTTATTGTGTTCAACAGTTGCTTCGATGATTGCAACCTGTTTTTATAATGATACACTATTTAACGTAAAACTTTAGAAACTAAAATAAGTATTAAAATATAAAGCATTCAAATGTAATTGTTATTGTAATTTTATAATACTTAGTACAACTACTATTTTTAACCATTCACAAGTGAGACAAGGGAGATAATAAGAATACTTTAAAAAATCATTGACACAATAAATATATTATATGCTGTATGTTTTTCAATGATAAATTAGCCAAGATAGTTTTGGAAACAAACCTTAAAGGCACAAATGGTTGATCGAAATTCTTCATATAATGAGAGCAATCCATATCGTCATGCACTTGCCCGCGGCCGGTGGAGCCGAACGTCTCTATAGCGTAGAACTCATTCTCTTCCATCCGCGTTGTTTCTCCCCCCCTCACGATTGGTACAGTTTTACCAGCGTGAATGCCTAAAGACAAGTTTAAATAGTTAAACAACAATATTATTTTTCATATGGTATACAATATTAATTATTACATTATATTTATATTTTAATATTAATTAAGGTATACAGTTTGTAATATTTTCAAGGCCAAATGTACTGAATGGAATTTGATAAAACTTTACATACACCACAGGCTTAGGCCAATTTACACAGCAATATACAAATGAACTACACAGGCAAAATCGCGTAAAAACACGAGTTTTAATATAAAACTCGACAACTGTACTGTCTTTATTTTAAAATTAGTCTAAATCAATTTAAATTGTCTTGAACAGGTTCTTCAAAACTATTGCTTAATAATAAAGATAATATTTAATGATCACCTCCAGGTAAATTTCTAAGAAATCTATTGTTAACTGTAACACCGGCGTGTCCGCGGTCGTTGAGGGATTAATGTCCGATTTCACCAACATCCCATAAGCTACCACCTACGTCTTGGATCCCTAGCTTAAAAGTTCCCCTAAACTAGCCCCTAAATTAAATTTCGTTTTACCATCGTCAGAGCCCGTATTTCTAGTACCTATATTTAGGTGACCCCTAACTGTCGGTGAAACAGAAACTGTCCCCTAACAGCCCCTTAACCATGCCTAGGGGATCCCTTAAACTTAGGTGACATTGATGAAATCGGCCAAAAGTATATTAACTTACGATACGGTCCAATGGAGTGACCATTGAGGTTGCGAATAGGTTTCACTTGATATGTCTGACCATCTAATTCTACCTCATAAGACTCCATCACCTAGAATAAGTAAAAATTAATTCAAATATATGATTCATAAAATTAATAAGAAAATTTACGTACAAGTTAAAATAAATAAATTTGCACTTCATATTTTGATAATATTAAAGAAATAACAATGTTTATATGGTATATTATAATTTCAATAATAGGTACTTTATAAAACACAAATTGTATAGAATCAATTTTCTAGTTTTGTCCTTGAAAATAAAATATGTGGGTATTATGCCTACCATATTCATATCATAAACAGCAAGTCAAAATACATATTTTAAAAATGGAGATATGGGCTTTTTAAAACTGATAAAGTTTGATATGTAGTGTACTACACCTGTACTATTTTTCTTATCCAAATCCAGCACTGTATATAACTTACAAGTTACAACTATTCTTTGATGCTATATGACTTGCAATTATTAATAGTTATGCAGTAATTAAGTTATGTAGTAATTATTAATAGTTAAAATAGAAATAAACACACATATAGGTACATAAGAAAAAAAAAATATTTTTATATTATAAAACCTCTTGCACAACCGCTCCCACGTCGCATAACCTGACGTCTACGCCAGAAGCTTTAATGCCCGCCTCAGTAGCTTCCTGCACACTCTTGACCAGAGCATCGTATCGTGGATTGAAGTGCAAAGTGAATGCACAATCAATTATACGCCCATTTATATGCGTACCAAAATCTATTTTCACCACATCGTTATACTCCAGTACTGTATTATCACCTGAAACAAAACAAGTTAATCAGCGCTGGATTTTCACTAGGGGCACTCGGGGCTAGTGCCCAGAGCGGCAAATTTTTTGAGAAAAAAATTCTTAGGGTTATTCAAAAGCTTACTTAAAAAAATATTATTACATTTTTCGAAAAATTAAACATGTTTATAAATTATTTTCTTGCAGTTTTGCTTTATAATTAAAAAAAATTGAACTTTATCAAAACTTTATCCATTTTATGCAAAATTTCAATAATGGTGAGCAATTTTTAGGGGCGGCACTAAAGTTGAATCCGTTACCGGCAAATTAGTGTTACTTAGTAAATTAAAAGTATAGACGCTAAATTAAATGTTATGGACCTTTGCAATATTGTAATACAAGAACTCCTCATTTGTAAAAATCCTTTCACTAGTTTTCGATACATCAAGAGACAATATCAATACACTTTTATTGGGAACACCAGCCAGGCAGGTTACAAAAAGGTCAAATATTTTGGTTGTAATGTAATTGGAAAGTGAATAGTAACATCCACCTTTGAAATACATTAAAATGTTATGGTTAAAGTAACAACCATGACTTTGGCTAGTATTAATAATTACTGAAAATTATAGTAAATTGCTTTAATTACTTTAAAATCATATTTAATTACTTTAAAATCATACTTATGTATTTCAAAGTGACCAATTAATCTACGTTAGAGTTATTTTTTATTAACTTACAGATGTGAACCTACAATTTCTTTGCAATTTCATATATTTAACTTTCGACAAATTCTTTTCCACCACCAGTACTCTCATTTACTTGGAGTTCTTTATAATAACTGATAATTATTTCTTATCAATCATATTAAACATAAATCTATAGAATATATGATAGATGATTTCCACATATTGACTTAGCACATGTACTTATCTAAGTAATATATTAAGTTACTTACATTTTTGGATGGAAGTACTTGTGCTACATTCTTACAATTGGTCGCTTATTACACACTGTGATAACACTTCTTTAAGTTTACATCAGTCATGAGTAATATTAATTACTATAATTAATATGAGGTAAATAAACATGCCACAAACTATACATAATATTTATAACTATAAAATGTACTATAATTATTTGATATAGAAATCATAATGATAGGTGTGTATTAATAAAAAAAAACACAATTGGTTTATTTAAATTATCATTATTAATATTGAGTAAGCAAGTCGAGATTTAACACAAAAAGAATTCAATGTACAGCTGTTATAGTACTAACTTTGATGTAAATTGATTCTATATGCTCCGTCCGGATTCGTCCCTAGTGATAATTTAGGTTTGTATGTATTTTTTAAGGCTGTATCATAAAAAAATTAGAATAAAAAATGTTGTCCAACCATTTACGTCCTATTCTCAGATCTACTGAATATACACAAAATTTCATAAGAATCGGTCAAGCCGTCTCGTAGGAGTTTTGTTACAAACACTGTGACACCAGAATTTTATATACAAAACCATGTCCTCATTTTCAAGATATCTTTTATACTTGGACAAAAGAAATTAGTAGCATAGTAGTTGGGAGTTTCATTGTTGTATTAAATATACAACTCTTCAAAAAAAGGGACTTTGACAGTAATGCTAATGTTTTAATGACAAATTACCTGTGTTTGGTGTATAATGTGCAGCACAATGATTACGACTGCAACCAGTGGGGAAAGCTAATCCTGCCTTCAAACCATCTTCTCCAATAAGACGCCTGGCTGTAGATTCTAGTTCTTCACAGATTTGTATCATAGTCATACCTGGTTTTATCCAATCACGTATGTATTTACGTGTCTAAAAACAAATTTATTTTTAACTAAATATTGAAATTCATTTTCTAATACGAAAACTTAGTTCATATTTATAGTAAAATTAACACTTTACACACATAATAATAAATATTTATAAATTATATTCATAAGGATTAATTTTGATTAGATAATTGGTTTTCATGAGCCTGCAGTGGCTTTGTAAAAATGTAAATAATTTTTATACCTGTCTATGAGCTTCTGCAGCTTGTCTAATTTCTTTGTAGATATAATTATGCATTCTGTCTAAAGCTCTTTTCTCTTCACTCGAAAACCGATTTTTCGCAGTTCTCTCGTCAATACCTTCAGCAGGTCCATGATCCATTATTTGGCCCTCAGGGAAATTTTCTAAAAGTAATAAATAGATAAGTATATAAAATATTATAATAATAAAAACACAAATGAGTAATTTTATTTGTTTTCTAATTATAATAAAGTTTTTTCTGAAAACATACTATAAATAATTTTGTTTTAATAATGTGCCATATATCAAAAAAATAACTTATAAACGTTATAAATATTACTTTATAATAATATTTATGAGTGACTAACCATCAGGGAAAAGTTCAGCAATTGGAATTGTTGGAGGGTTTGTTTGCACTTTGCCCGTACTTTTATTTTTGTTTTTATTATTCTTTTTCTTCTCGGCTCCCTCGGCAGCATTTTCATCTGTTGAAGGAGCTTGAATCTTTTCTGGCTCGCCAACCTCATTATTAACAACTGCATTCTCAGTTTTCGCTAAAAATAAACTCATTACAAATCTAACCTCACAAAATAAAAATCAATTAATAGTTAAAAAAGATAAATAGAAAATTTATAAAAGTTATAAATTTGAAGTTAAATTAATGATATTTAAAACAAAGTCAATTCTAACCTGCCTTCTTCTTCTTCTTCTTCTTTTTTTTCTTCTTGGCAGGGTCCTTAGGGTCTGTTTCTCCTACACCATCAATTTCCTCATCTTCCTCCTCATTTTCTATTTGTTTATTTAACTCTTCGGTCTTCTTAATATCAGCCATTCTGGCTAGTTATTTAATACAATTTACAAAAATATAAATTTTTGTGATACCGTGCGTGCGACTTTATTTTTTATGAAATAAGTCTTCTAATCTGTGGATAGGCCATAGAGTATATTGCTACATATTGGGATAGGCAAAGGCATCTTGAGATTGAGCGTTTTAGCAAAAAATATAAAAAAAAATCCTTAGTCTTATCATGTTACAAAACATGAATTTTTATATTAAAAATATTTGCTGATGAATGATTATGCTGACAACTAGACCAACAAGAAGAAGGCAGGTATCATATCTTTGTTAAACGTTGGCATATAATGATCTATTAATCTATAATTTACAGTCTGTAATGAGCACTACGTGTGCAAAAACGTCAATTTGACAACAGTATTTTTTGAAGTTCGAATTGTTTAGCAAGTTGTGGAGTGTCAATTTTAAATAGTGTTGGATTTATTACTATAATATACTGACCTAGTATATCCAATTATTTAGTAAGTACGGCACTTTAAAGTATTGAAAGGATACATTTAAAATTAAGTGGGGTTTTAAAACTATTACAACCAATGTTACGAACCCTGACTATTAACCTGTCGAAATGCCGGCGTATTAAAAATGCTGATTCATTTATTAGTAAATATGTAAGATTTTCATCAGGTACACCTAAAATTAGTAGTGTTCAACCGGCAAAATTAGTTAATGGTCAGTACTATACATATTTTATGTATAAAATTATATTTATATATTTTTTTTCTTGCTCATTTAATTTATAGACATATTTAATTTAGAGCTCATTACACTTGGCTATATATAATATTATATTTTATTAAATCAAAACAGATTTTCTTTGTGTAATTAACAAATAAATACCTAATTTTTCACATAACACAAATGCAATATACTAACATTAATAAATTGTCTACTTGTTTGTAGCCATGGAGGATAAGTCAATCTTTTTATTACCTAATAATCAAAGATTTGTTGAACTAGATAGTTCACAAGCATTTGAAAATTTAACTAAGCAAGAAAAGCTTTATGCACATTATTTAAGTCAGGTAAGTGTTTTGGCTAAAATATTATAATTTTGATATGATATTGATTTGCTTAGGTTATTAAAGATATGGAAATAATTTAATGACCAACCATTTACAATTTTTTGCCTATGCATCCATATGAGTAGTTTATAAATCTAAAATTACTCCTTTTTTAAGAGTTGATGTATTTATTACATTTCTCAATAAATAAGCTTTCTGAACAAGAATTTAAATCTGACTGGTAGCTCCAAAGATTAGCATGGTTAAAGAAACAAAAAAAAAACAAAAAACCATATTTCCTCAATTTTATATAGTGTTGTCCCGAAAGAAATTTATTTTTGAAAATGGAAAAATCCTTAACTGTTATATTTAAAAGCTTTTAATTTGATACATTTATAGTTAGCAAATATAATCCATAAAGTACAATATTGTTTATTAGCTTCTAAAAGATATTATCTTACTATTGTAAATGATTTTTATAATTTTCACAGGCCGCATGGAATGGTGGGCTTATTGTACTCGTACAAACTAGTCCTGAATCACCAAGGATATTTTCTTTGTTACATAGAATATTTCTAGCTGAAACCTTAGATGAACTTAAAAGTTCTGCAAGTGCAGCAGGAGTACCAGAAGATGATTTTCAGGTAACATTATAAAACTATTAGTTTCCACGTTTAAAAAAGTGTCAAAATATTATTTCTATTCTTTTTTTTTAATTCTTAAAAGCATGAAAAATTATGTATATTTTCCTGCTGGATTTGAAGGTATCATAAAATGAAGTATACCTAGGACACTTATATGTTGGGGGTCTTATTGCTGTTAAATTTAAGTTCATTTGCTTATAATATAAAATATAATTTACTTAAATGAATTATGAATGTGCCAAATAATATATGATTAGTATAAATAAAAATTACTTTAAATTGCAGTTGATAGTATGTTACTGCCTTTACATAAATAAATTATAAAATTCTCCAATAATAAAGATCCCATATAGATCTGCTAAAATTATATGGAAATGGACACAATAGATAGGGATACAAATTTTCAGAAAACCACTAGATGTTTAAAGTCTTGATTAGCTTACAACTAATTTAAATACTAATATTTTTGAAGAAAAAAAAAAGGGTGATAATAATCTATACAATAACAGATTGGCTTTTTAATTTAAACTCTATATTACTGTTTAATTATTTACAAAGATTATTTGTTATGTACTTTGTACTAGATAGCTTGACCACATCCTGTTAGATAAAAGTACTTGTGGTCTTACTGAACTCATTCCTATGTGATATCATAGAAAATTCTATGATAATGTGATCTCATGGCAAAAATTATATACATAATATATAAGTATATATATATATATATATATATATATATATATATATATATATATATATATATATATATATAAATTATTAAGTTTGTGTATGTACTCTAGTTAGTAAGCCTTGTTTAACAAAAAAAAATATTTTCTGTACTAACAATAAATTTAAAAAAATCTTTAAATTAATCTTTTTTTTAATTATTAGAAGAGATGAAATAATTCATTACTATAGTATTTTCATCTTTTTGTATACAACAACATAAGCTTCATGTGCATACAGGAAAAAAATCATGAAAGTATTAGTTTTTATTAGTATGTAAGTTCAGATACATATTTTTTTATTCAAGTAATATATTATGAGTGGAGAAATTTACATTATTTACAACACATAATATGTATTGCAATATTTATATTTTAAAGTTATAATTAAGCTAGTTAATTGTTCAATAATATTAAATTATTTATAATAGCACATTTTTTCAGGCATTTTTAGTTTATGCTGGAGGTTTCTTTGCCAATAGTGGAAATTATAAAGGATTTGGAGATACAAAATTCATTCCCAACTTATCTAAGGAGTCTTTTGAATTAATTGTTAAAGCATCAAAGGCTTATGAAAGTGATGGAACACATATTACGAAACTGTGGGAGAATACAAAGGATGCTATGTACAGCATTGCACCAAGGCTAACTAGCCTGGGCTTAGCAGATAAGGTAAAGTATACCGTATACTTTATCTATGCATATAATAAAATTGTTACTAAGCCCAATCTGTACATTAAATATTTTTTGGAAAATCTTATTGAAATAGACATTATTATTGATATAGAGGCCGAATCAATTTTTTTATTTTTTAGAATTTTTGTCGGTCTGTCTGTGACCGCATCACGAAAAAACCACTGGATAAATTTTGATGAAATTTGGTATGATAATAACTGGTTATCCGAGTCAACATATAGGATACTTTTTACTGCAGGAAAATATCTCATCTCTGTGCTAAACGTTAAAACGTAACTAGGGACGAAACCGAGCGGAGCTAGGGTGAATCTCTAGCTACCTTATATTTTTATTCATTACACAATGCATGTATCCATACCATCTGCAATGTACCTGCTAAAACTTAATATCATGATACCTTAGTACTTTATTTTTTGTCAATCCAGGATACCCTAGTATTTTATTTATATAACTAAGGCACTGTATATAGGATATATTTTAATTATATGCTTTATATTTTTTCTTTTTATTAGGTAAAGGATCAAGATAAAAATTATATATTACCATTCTAAAACCATTATATATATATTTTTTTATTATTATTTTTTTTCTATTTTGAATTCTGTTTCATGGCAATCTGTTTATAAACAATAAGCCAATCCTGTGTTAGAATTATAATTCTTGTTATGAGATGTTAGTTCAAAGAAGCATCCATTGATGTTTCCCTCGCAGTGTGGCTAGAAGCGATCAACCAGGCTCAATACACTATGTCTTTTCAGACGAAAGAATTGCGCTCTTTCGGCGCCCTGGAGTTCCATCGCTAATTTGTTGATGTGTGCTGCCAGACGATTCTGATACTTTTTACTAGAATTTTTGATTTCTTTTTTGACTGTGTTCAATTTTAGATCTATATGTGTATATATTTCTATTTTACAAAGTATGGTATATCAAGCATAGTATGTAGCGTTTTGCTTTGAAATCTTTCTAATATTTCCACGTTGTTGTTACTAGCAGTTCCCCATAATTGGATACCATATGTCCAAATTGGTTTTATAATTGTTTTATAAATTAGTATTTTGTTGGTTGGAGATAGCTGTGAGCGTATTCCAGTTAACCAGTAATAGTTTCTCATCATAGTGTCGAGTTGTTTCCGCTTGGTCCAAATATGTTTACGCCAGGTGAGTCGTTTGTCAAGGTACATTCCAAGGTATTTGGCATCTTCTGACTGTGGAACTTCGGTATTATATATTTTAACTGAAGGCCAGAGTTATCTTCTAAGTGTGAATGTTATATATGTCGATTTGTCTCGATAGAAATTATAGTTTCTATTTTCTAACAAATATCTTTACCTTCTAATTTTATAGGGTGTGACCACTTATTTTTCAAGCAATTGCACTGAAGCAGATTCTAATTTAGTAAATGATTGGATGAAGACCAAACGCATTGAAGCTTACATCTGCCGAACATTCAAAACATTTGCTGATGATGGGTGTAAGTAAATATGATTATTTTCATATTATATTCATTTTCATCTCTTAAATCAAATATTATAAATGTGAAAGTGTTTGTGTTTGTTTGTTTGTCCTAGTTTCATGTCGAAACGAAGTGACGGATTGGCGTGATTTTTTCTATGGAGATAGTTGGAGGGCTAGAGAGTGACATAGGCTACTTTTTACTGCGGGAGATCACCTCATTTCCATGGGAAAACTCACATCGACTCATTATACCTATATCATCATATCTATTCCACATTATCCGTTAAAACGTGTCAATAGTATAGTACTAGTAGTTATAAATAAATAATAATTATTTTTTCTTTCTAGTGCCTCTATACACAATTCATTTGGCAAGTGTAGAGAAAAGTGCCAAGCCACCGCTTACAATGGATAAAGAGAAGTATAAGAATGCATATTTCCAAGTGACACGCGGTGACTATTCTCCTTTACTATCTCTTGTGAATGAGAGTATGACCAAAGCCATCGAGTATGCTGCCAATGATAATGAAAGAAATATGTTGAAGCACTATGTAAACAGCTTTAAAGAAGGTGATTTAAATGAACATAAAGAAGGTAGCAGATATTGGATCAAGGATAAAGGACCTATTATAGAGACGTAAGTATATAATTTTCTATTATTATTAACAATAATATATTAAAATAGAAACGGGATCAAATTAAATATGATTTAGGGTATGGTTGGGAGATCCTGAAATAATAACTTTGACTGGTTTCTTTATTTAATCGTAATATACTGTACTCCGCCCTTTTTTAACGTCCCACTGTTGGGCACTATTGGCCACTCCCTTCATATGAGGGGGATCAGGCGATAGTCCACCACGCTGGCCAAGTGCGGGTTGGCGGACTTCACATGTCTTTCGAAAACTTGCTAGGTTCTCTGATACATGCAGGTTTCTTCACGATGTTTTTCTTCACCGTAAGACAAGTTTTAATGTTGGAAATGATTAGCACAAGTAAAAATCAGAGTTAGAGTACGAGATCCGAGATTGGAACCCGCTTCACTCGGCTTCCCAAGCGAGCGCATTACCCACTGGGCTACCACTGCCTCTCGCAATCTAAAACAATAATGCAATCGTAATATGAGAAATATTCAAGTAAACCAATTTGTATATACATATATAACACTTAAAATATTCTAGATATCAAGGTTTCATTGAAACATACCGTGATCCAAGTGGCCAGAGGGGTGAATTTGAAGGCTTTGTAGCGATGGTCAATAAGGAGATGTCAAAGAAATTTGGCCAGCTGGTGGAAGGCGCTGAGCGCTTCATACAACTATTGCCGTGGGGGAAGGACCTAGAGAAAGATACCTTCCTACGTCCGGACTTTACATCTTTGGACGTTCTCACATTCTCTGGCAGTGTTATACCCGCTGGCATTAATATACCTAATTGTGAGTATATTATAATCTATTTTTTAATATTTTTTTAATATCTGATATTTAAATAAGAGTTTGTAATTAATGTGAATATATATTTTTTTGTCTGTACGGCATTTTTACGCGATATCTTGCCAATTGTAAGCAGATTTTTATCGATCTTTTTTGTAATAAATAAGAAACACTAAGACACTTTAAAACTGGTTCCATTTAAATAACATCCTTAAGGTGAGAAAAAATATAAATTGAGTCTGTGAACATTTAGTTAGTTAGAAGTTAGTTAGAAGTGAAATAAAACAATTTAAATATTTTAAAAACCATAATATTTTTATAGATGACGAGATCAGGCAAAATGAAGGATTCAAGAATGTGTCACTCGGCAACGTCATCCCCGCCGCCTACAAGGAGTCCGTCATCCCGTTCCTCTCTGCAGAGGATAAAGAACTGCTCGAGAAATATAGGGTGGCTGCTTTCGAGGTATTTTTTATGTTTATTATATTTTTTATGTATTGAAACCGTTTTAAAATACCTTATATTTTAAGAATATATCGGTATTCTATTATACATACATATATAAGGCAGTGGTAGCCCAGTGGTAACGTGCTCGCTTAGTTTTTCTATATAAACAGAGATATTTATTATTTATTGCGTGTTTTACAGAAGTGGATCTATAACAATATAGTCACTAGTAAAATAATGTAATTATAAAACGTATTAGGTTCAAGTGGGTCTGCACGAGCTGCTCGGACACGGCAGCGGCAAGCTCCTGCGGCAGAACGCGGACGGCACGTTCAACTTTGACAAGGAAAAAGTTAAAAACCCCCTCACTGGTAAAGAATTGTTTCTATGTGACTCGACGGTGTTTTATTTTGTGTCAGATCCAGACGCACTAATGATCTAATCGATACTGTTTGGTTTACCTCAATAAAGGAATAGGTACTTTACTCAAGTATTTTTTTTGTCTGTATGTTATGGGATTGTTTCGCTATTTATATATTTGTTGTCTTTACTTACGGCTTTTTTAATAAAATGGTCATACCTCAAGAGTTGTCCCATATAAATTTCAAGAAATAAACCATACTAACATGGTGCAATCGCAACTCTTATTGTAAAATCTATATAAATAGAAATAAATCACCGAAATGTATATACGCGCATAACTTCCGATCGACTGCACCAAATTGGATAATTCTGTTTTTTTTTGTGTTTGTTATTGTCAGGACAAGTTTTGTATAGAAGAAAATTAAAAGGAATTTTTTTTTACTAAAATAAGATTTTTTTTTAAATCTCATGATATGAATAGTGAGTGAGTGAAATAGTTTTTATCTCGGAAATCAGCCCTTAAGGGGGTGAGAATGGGGATGAAAGTTTATATGGGGAAGCAAGCTAGGGACGAACCCGAGCGAAGCAAGGGTGAGTCGCTAGTATTTATAAAAAGCAACATTTTCATATTGCAAAAAAATTTACAAGTTTATCTTACCCATCGGGGCTATCTCCCTCAGCCCAGTTTCTTTATGTCTTACTAGAGTTGCTGATGGTAGATATAGCACAAAAACAAATAATCAAAAAAATTTCAGCTTTATACATATTTTAGTATAATGAGTATATAAAATCTCCCTCACAGGCAAACCAATAGAGTCGTGGTATACCGAGGGCGAGACGTACGACAGCAAGTTCACGACACTGGGCTCCGCGTTCGAGGAGTGCCGCGCCGAGGCCGTCGGCCTCTATCTCTCGCTGCAACCTGAGATACTCAAGTTAGTTGGATACTGGTTTTATTTATATTAGTTATTATTTTTATATTATTAGCATTACTTCTTGTTTTGGAAGTCGGTTTTTAGTTACTTTTAATTATTGAAGCGTGTTATTTGCAATTGGTAAACGAGCACGAGTATGTTTACCGTCGGAGCGTTCGAATGCTACTAAATTAAAAGCGCACCTAAATGTTCAAGTGGGCGCTCATTCGGTAGGGATAAAAAACTATATTTTTTGGCGCTGATTTATTTGTGATCGATGTAGTGTATGCTTAAAACTATGTATCCGAATGTATAAGTATGTATTCGGATCGAGCAAAATTCTTGCTCCATAGCAAGGGTTATTTATTAGAAGAAGAATTTCAAATTAATGAACTATGAATTAAACTGTTTTATTAGTAAAACGACAGTGATATCAAGTATAAATGTTGCTAAATATTTTTACGGGACTGGCTAATAGAGAGTTTAAGGTTTGCTTATCAACTCGCGCGAGCAATCAATATACTCGATCGGTCTCTACTTCATTATAAATACTAGTTAAGACCCACGCTGCATTAGTCAAGAACACGATGATTATTTTCACTTAATTGGATGGAAAGTCAAAACGGTAACGGGTAAATTATTTAAAAACTACAATTATAGTTCTTAAAAATGTACTATAATAAATACATAACCAAATTAACAATAAGGAATAAGCATGCGATTTAAATAAAGATGAAATATATTTTTTATAATCTTTTTTGCTTCTGAATTAAGTCTATATTAATATATTTTTTGATTAAGCAAGTAATTATTGAAAAGTGCAAATATAGGTGGGAAATTCAAAGTAGTTGAAACACACGCCATTAAGTTAGACCGAATATGACGTCAGAGTATATTATAACAGAGCGCTTAAGCCTAGTTCACATTAAGCTAGTATTTTAGTCTAGTAGCGAGTAATTTAGTAGCTAAACTACTCGCTACTCACCAAAAATCGTTCACACTTTGGTCGAGTACAGTTTACAAGTGAGTGGTGTTTTGCAAGATGAACAGCATACAACGCAATAACGCAAACGCAAAAAGTAAATAAACTGATTAAGCTGATCGTAACTATACCGTTCTAATTAAATAATTAAATAAATACATAAATATGCTTTTGAAATAAAGTAATGAAAAGTAACCTGATGTTTTTAATTTTCATTTTAATTTCTTTTTCGCCAAATCCGGGTATATTCATTATTTTATCCAAATCTAAGTATGCGGAATGTTTCATATGCTTGTTTTTATAATGCAAGGACCTAATATTCCACAAGCATTCGTGTTCAACATATTTCGAAACAAATTTAAAAGTTATTTCTTCGCTCCAGCGAAACGACATAATGGCGGCAACTAATGAACTCGACTAATACTTTCTTAGATTTACGCGAATGTTTGACATTAATTTTTGAATTTAATAATGAACTCGACTAATTCGACAGGTTCGTACTTGTTTAGCCGGTGAACCAGTGAGCTCGGACGCGTGGTGGGGGCTGCTACTCGCCCAAAAAAATAGAATAAAATGGATTGACTCGACTAAATTAATTACTAAACTAATCGACTAAATTTTTAGTGTTCAGACACGTTTAGTTACTAAATTACTCGCTACTAGACTAAAATACTAGCTTAATGCGAACTAGGCTTTAGCGATTTTTTCGCTACAAATTGAGTCGTCATTTTTCTGTGTATATCATATTGTGACGCGCGCAAAATGGCGGGCGTTTAAAGTATCCGTATGGGTATGATATTTAAAAAAAAATTATACAACATTTTCGTTTTTAGGAGCTGTTTTTTTTACAATTATATAATGATGTTATTGTTCTTGTGTAAAAAATAAAAAAAATCACACATATTATCTATTGTCTGCATTCATTAGAATATTCGGGTACGAGGGCGAGGAAGCTCAAAACGTGATCTACGTGAACTGGCTGAGCCTGCTGTGGAACGGCGCCGCCAAGGCCACGGAGATGTACCAACCCGCCAACAAGACTTGGTTACAGGTATACAACAAATGTTCTTATCCTTGGTATTTTATTAGGATTTAAATAAAATTAATTGTATCTTCGATTTTCGTAAGTAGATTAAATTTTCCTTTCCTACTTATTGTTTTAACTGAAATGGTACTAATATTCGCCAGAAATTTGAATATGGTATTTGCGAAATGAAATTAAGAGATCAATTATCATCATTGAGGTATACTTCTTTATTGAAAAATATATAATATAATTGAAGACTAACGAAAGTTGGTTTAAATTTGTAAATATAAAGTGTAAAATATAAATGAAACACCCAAAAAATATAAATTATATAAAAATAGGATGTCGAATTGAGCACATTTTCATTCCGTCATAAATAATATGAAATGACAACAATGTACATTATTGTATGAATGTTTGAATTTTTCGTATTCTAACAAACATTCAATCGTACTTAACATTATAAAGCGAATAATGCGAAAGATTGTAAGGATGGATGGGTGTTGGTTATTCTTTCACGCAAAAATTATTGAACTGATTTTGATGAAACTTTCAGTAACATAGCTCGTACATCAGAGTAACACATAGGTTATAATTTTTTAAAGATATAGTAACACATACATAACAATGTAAACACACGTAGGCGCACGCGCGGGCGCGCTTCGTCCTCATGCGGCTGCTGGAGCTGGAGGGCGGCGGCCTGCTCTCCGTGACGGAGACGGCGCCCGGCCGCGACCTGCGCCTCGCGCTCGACCGCACGCGCCTCGCCACCGACGGGAAGCGTATCATAGGTAAAGCTTTTTGTATTTAGTATAAAATGGTTGTGTTATTTTAAAAGGCAGTGGTAGCCCAGTGGTAACGCGCTCGCTTGGGAAACCAAGTGAAGTGGGTTCAAATCCCGGGTCTCGCACCTCTGATATTTTCATGTCCGAATCATTTCCACCATGGTTACCACTTGCCTTACGGTGAAGGAAAACATCGTGAGGAAACCTGCATGTCTGAGAGAACATAGCTAGCAAGTGTGAAGTCCGCCAACCCGCACTTGACCAGCGAGGTGGACTATGGCCTGATCCCCCTAGTATTGAGGAGGGGGGAGGGAGGGGGGAGCAACAGTTGGACTTTAAAAAGGGCTCAATATATTGTTATTTTATTAGAACGAAGTTCCTTATCCACGTTATTCTGTTATCCTACACACTTTGCGAATGAGAGTTAGACGGAAAAAAAATGTAATATTTTTACCATCACCAAACTTTTTAACTAACTTCCAAAAAGGAGTCAGTATTTTTTATTAACAACATCCCATGTGACGTCATCATAAGTACCAGGCGATCATAATTGATAAGGAGTATGTGTAAATGGAGTTTGTTAATGCTTGAGTTTTGTGGTCGCTTAGGACTCGTGACAAAAGTACCAGGTAAACATAAATGTTAAAGAATGTATGTTGTAAGAATTCATGTTCACTCAGTTCTTCGATGAGATTTATCATGTACAATTTACTACTCATAAAAAAATTATAATCCAAAGTCACTCAGCGAAAAGAACTTCGTTCCTACTGGGTGTCACACGACACCTCTCGATTTTTTTGTTTTTCTTGTTTTTCTTGTGGTTCCGCTCTCGCGATTGGTAATTTTATGTAAATTCCAGATATCAGTTGTGTTCATTTCGTTAAATTTTATTAAATCCATTGTGAAGTTATAGCGTAAGGTAATAATTACATATAATCATTTATTAACTTTCACACAGAGTATAGTATAGTAAAGTACTTATCAGACTAATAATAATAACAAATGAATGTATTGTGTGGCAGGTGAGTTCCTGGTTAAGCTGCAGACGCTGAAGGCGACGGGCGACGTGGCGGGCGCGGAGGCGCTGTTCGCGCGCTACAGCCGGCTGGAGGCGCCGTGGGCGCGCTGGCGGGACATCGTCATGCTGCACAAGCAGCCGCGCAACATCTTCGTGCAGCCCAACACTGTGCTTAAAGGTATTTTTCAATCAAACTTTGTTGGTATGGGAATACTGATGATTAGAAGTTATGCTGAACTGGTGACGGTGCCAGGATGTGAATAGTGGTATTCTTTAATAGTTTCTAGTAAAATCTACGAATTCGAGCTAGTTTGATTAGATTTGACGAGTCCCTTAATCCTCCTTTCATTTATATTTTTATCATTGTTATATTATTATTATTAGCAACAGATTTTCATCCACTACTGGATGTAGGCCTCTCCGATAGTACGAATGACGAATTCGATTTTTATCAATTTGATAAGTTCAACGTCATATGTTGTAAATATAATATTTAGCTCTATTTATTTAATACTTTTGATTGAGATCCTTCTTAGTGTTAACATTATAAAATGAAGCCTTGTGCAAAATTTTATGTCACCGTCAGTCAGTCATTTATCCTTTTATACTATACTAGCGACTCGCCCTCGCTTCGCTCGCATTCGTCCCTGGCTTGCTTTAAAATTCAAACTTACATCCCCATTTTCACCCCCTTAAGGGATGATTTTTGCGATACAAAGTATCCTATGTCCTTCCCAGGGTCTAAAACTATCTTCTTACCAAATTTCATCTATATCGGTTCAGTAGATCCAGAGATAACCCCATACAACGTCACTAACAATCTCACACACTACCTTTTTGCAATATTAGTATAGATAGAAGTGACTAAAATTAACCAGTATATATAGTTTTTACTTAGACTATTGCCGTCGCATAAGCTACATTTTTTAATGTTAAATGGCATATTGTAAAAAAATATATTAAATTTATGTGACATATGTTATATATATATATATTGTTTATGGACTAACAGACGACAGCGTGGAGCTGAAACGCTACCCGGCGAGCGCGGAGGGCATGGTGGCGTCGTGGGTGCAGCGCTTCCCGTCGCCGCGCGCCGCTGACCTGCTCGAGCAGTTGGCCGAGACCGACCACAAATACTTCAACGAACTGCATCAACTTGTATAGATTTCAATTGTAATAATATACACTGCAAGGCACAACATAGTAACTCCGTATTGGATAAACTTAAACGCAGAAATTAATTTTACATATTATTCGAATTCCAGATTTAAAAAATGGTTGGTACTTATAGTTACAATGTTGCTCCTTGCAGATATCGATAAAGAATGTATCGTTTTTTTTGCACTTTGCACTGTAATTGTTATATCATAATATATGGTTATATAAAAATGGAATTTTAAACATGTATTTGATGTGAAATATATATCATGTACAAATTTGTATCAAATTGTTTTTCTAAAATATCTACTACTAAAATGAAAATAACTGCTATTTCTATTTGTTAGCATATTTCCTAGTACAGTGCATTGTTAGTCGTCAAATTTTATTTTTTATCCTTATACGTATGTACTTGTGCAGATTTCATGCTATTTACAATAATTTTTAAGATAATTACTTTTTAGATTTCGTAAATTTGAATGCTGGTATCTTACAATTTTCAAAATATATTTTACATTTACTTTAAATATATATTTTTTATTTGTTTAACCAACTAATATAAAAATAAATCATTGTTATTTAAAAAAAAAATAGGCAGGGAATCAAAATCACTTATTACCTAAAGAAAAATAAAAATCAATTTCTCAACTATATAATTTATTCACATTCAATACAAAACGTGTGTGACAGCAATTATAATATTCAAAACGGGTCGTATTATTTCATTAATAAAAAAAATATTAATAATCACCACACACTAATAAATAATTATTACAAATCTAATGAAATGATAAAATCAATAAATAATGACAAGTAATAAATTGAGTCACGTCAAGTATTGTTCTACAAACAGCGCAGACTAGTTCCACGACGCGGCACTTGATCAGGGGGAAATGGCAACAAATGAGAAACATATTAACTATTTTATTTAAATACTTCTGTTCTGCTTTAACAAAATAGATTTTTTAAATTCGAAAACATTATATGTATATATGTACCTACATAAAGTAAGTGGCTGTAACTTCCTCTATAAATACGAATTATTCCTAAGAAAACCTTCAACTAAGCACCATTCTATTCGATTACTGTTGCGATTCGACCGAGCGGTCAATACTATTCGGTTAACATTTAATAAACTTACGAGCTGACTTACTATATCGATGGTCGATAATATAATATAAAATAATTAAAATTAACGTAATGAGTTAAAACATTTGTGCAAAACACCAAAACTTGTGTCATAATCTTTTCAACAAACTCGACTATCAAATCCAGTTGCTTATGTTATAAAGGCACATAAGATCAATTCACAATAAAGTCTCTAAAAAAATGTAATATATGCAAAATATATTATTAAAATTGTATATTCCTAAGAAAGTTACTTTCAAATACAAATAAAATCGCTGACTCGTTAAAAAGTTGTAGTTGTAATGATTTAATATGTTTTTTTTTGGTTTCGTGTTCGACTGAAGAGATTCTTCGAGATATGCAATTTGTCAATAATTATAGTCTAAGTACTAACTTCGCAAATGCAAAAGTCTTAAGTGGCAAGAATTGTACGCGTACATTTGTTTAAAATTTTAACTAACATATTTTATAAGGTGGTTGAGATTTTGTAAGATTTCGTTGTACAACTGTAAATAATTCGAACATGTTAAGTTAAAATGCGTTACGCGAGAATAAATTTTGTAACAGATAGTGACATCAATAGCGCCTCTCAGTCAGTTTTCGAAGAGCGTTCTGAACCGTCGCCTTCGCCTTTAGGTGGGACATTGGATCTGAAATTTAACATCGTACCTGTTATTAACATACACATGGAAATTGCAATGTTTGTTTGTTCACTTCCGCTGATGTTTGAATGATACAATAAGTATGTGCCATGATATTAAATCGAAGTTATTTCTACTACATGAAATTGTTTCGTTAATAGTAGAGTATTTTGGAATGTTTTTTGATATTTTCCAAGTGTTCCATTGCGTGGTTGATTATTATTTATTTATAAGTTCAGGCTCTTTAAGAATATGCTTCTTGTATCTACGGATATTTATAAATCTACAATATATTAAAAACTTAAGCATTAGTGCTGTAAAAATTTTATTCAAAAGCGTGAAGCGTGCACAGAGAAAAATGTTTTTATGGGAAAGTTATTCATAATTATTTACTTTACATGAAATAAACGCCGTTATACACACCTAGGTAATGGCTCCTTTTTTGGATCAGGTTTTCTAGTAACGCTGATGGAATATTTTCTGTGTCTTATTTTTTCCAATATATTTTCTGGACTTGGCTCTTTTTCGCTCTCTTTGAGAATAATTGCTGAATTCCTGGTTCTTTTAGGTCTGTATGTAGCGTAGCTTCCGGGGGAAAATAAAGAACTAGTTCTATTGTATTTGTGAGATTCTCTCGGAAGACCATAAGTTTGATCTTCCACAGGGTCCAAATTGTCGAACAAGGATTTCGTTCTCGAATATCTACTTGAACCGTACGATGCCGGTTGATCGTAGTCTAAATACGATCTAGTTCCAGGATACTTTCTAAATTCATTACGGTCGAGTGATCTGTACATATCAACTTTGTCATTAATTCCATCGTATCTTAAACTACTTCTAGTATTCACGGGCAAATCTGCGAGAAGAGATCGATAGCGTTCCGTAGACGGCGATAAGTCCGAGCCGACGGATAGACCTGGAGACAGATCGTATGTTCCCGGTGAGGTGGGAGATACGTCGTATTTAGGCTCAGTCGATATGGGAGAGGTAATCCGCGCTAACGGGTCGTACTCAGTAGCTCCCGGACCCACCAAACTACTTTTCCTTCTTTGTTTCTTTTCGTTAAATCGCGAATAAAAACTCTTTCTTCGAATTCTATCTACTATATCCTCTTTTTCCGGAGTTGTGGAGTCGTGATTCTTCACAGACAAGTGATTAGTGCTGTTGTGTAAGCTGTGCTTGTCCTTGCCATCACCACTTTGTTCAGATTTCACATCTGAATTAGAGTACGTCGATCTGCTTCGTGATCGACTTCGGTTCTGGTCGCGGTACTCTTCTTTTACATCGCCGTCTGGGACTGAACCATTCTTATCCAAGTCCTTTTCCATGTCAGAAGTACTCATTATTTGTGGTTCTATCACAGAATTTGTAGGAACTATTTTTTTAACTCTTGGCAATCTGGAGAAATCTAATTTAAGGGAACTTTTCGTGTTTTTAGAATCACTTTCCTTTCTAAGTACTGTGTGTTCACTATTATCGACATTTGACATACTAGTATCGTCACTTGAAGATCGGGTATATCTATTTTTACGGCCAAGACCATTTAATAATAAAGAGTTCGGTCGTTTGGGTTTTTCTTCGGAATCTACTACGGACCTCGACGTATCATCTCTAGATAAAAGTTCACTATCAATGCGAATATGTTCTGAATCTGCTTTCTCTATGATAGGTTTACTAATTTTTTCTTTTGGCTCAAACTTCTTAAACAAACCTAACACTTTGGACACAGTGGTCCTATTTTGATTAGTATTTGGATTGTCCAGAGCGGCCACATCAGTTATAGTCACAGCTCTCTTGATTAAATTTGATTCTGTAGGCGGTTCGACATTTGTGGGGACGGACTGTTCTCGTTGTTGTCTAGTTTGCTTGCTACAATCGATGGTATTAGCCAATTTTTCTGGCGAGTTTGATTTGGACGACGTAAATTTTTCCAACTTATGCCCAATTGATTGCAAAACTGATTTCTTTTTTGGGACACTTGTAGTACTTTTTGTGGTATCGTCAACATTCTTTTCTTTTACTTTCTTTGTAACTTTTTTCTTTTCTACTGAAGTTTTGGAATCATTTACGTCCGAAGAACTCAAATCAGTCTTTGATTTAGAAGACACTTTTTTGATAACTTTCTTTTTAACTATAGTTTTTTTATCATTACTTTGACTATCTACTGATGCTGGTTTAGTGTCTTCTTTTTTACTTACAATTTTAGTTTCTTTATTTTTCGAATTATCTACACTTTTTGGTACGAAACCATTATTCATCATATGTTCTTCCACATTATCTATCTTGTTCTCAAGTTTATCATGAGTATTTGAATTCATTATCTTATATTTCTTTAAGGTTAAAGTAGATTCCGGTCCTTTTTTATTTTCGATTTTACTGTCTGTGTTTATTTCTGTTGATTCTATCTTTTTCTGTGATTCTGATTTGGTCACTAATGGTTTGGTTTTTTTAGGTAAAGTGATGCTAAAGCTTACTTCTATATCGGTTTTAGTCTCTGGGATACTACTTTTCTCTAAATTATTTGTTTTAATTTCATCTTTTTTATTGTTTCGATTCACATACAATTTCTCAGGTGAAGGACTACTATTAGGATAACTTTTTGGTCTTATAAGTTTAGACTCCCTACTAGCTTTTTTCTCGTCAATTTCATTTTCATCACTTCTACAACTTTCTAACGAAATAGTATTATTAGTGTCATCATATTGATCAATATTTTTGATAGGATAACTTTTAGGCCTCGTCATTTTTGATTCTTTATTTAAAATATTCTGTTTCTTATTACATTGTTTTAATTCTGTTGTCGTCGCAGTGGAATCTATGGTACTTTCTTTAATATTATCTAAAATAGGAAAAAATGGTGTATTAGATCTGCTCCGATCTTTTAATATTACATTATTAATTGGCGATAAGCATTTTTTAGCAGAACCCTCGTCCTTAGGATCTAATTGAACGTCATTAATATCAGTCGGGCTCTTGGCGTTCGATTCAAGCGATTTATTTTTCTTTTCTCTAATTTCTTTAAGAATTTTCTGTGTCTCCAGTTCTTTTTCCTTTTTGTGTTTAGCATATAAATTTTCGTCGGAAGGCGTATCGAAGAAATCTGAACGTAGGAACCTAGAAATTCGTTTCTTGGGTTGGTCTCCCGTTAATCTAAGAGAATGACGTCTAAATGTCAAGCCCGGAGAACTCAGAGCTGAAGGAGAGCCATAGGCTGCTATGTAACTGGGATCAGATAGAATACTACTTCCTTCTAGCGAATACGTTTCATCCATAGAAAGATTCCTCTCGGGCGCTAAATATTTACTTAACAATGGTCGATCTTGAGTACGGTAGACACTATCGGTCTTACACTCGTCCGATTCTAATTTATTGACGGTCGAACTCGTCGCGTCAGATTCTTGCGACGCAGGCGAGCGTCGTCTCAAACGAGGCAGAGTGCAAAACTGTGGCGCGGGGAGATCGATAATTTCATCTATAGCTTTTGTTTCTTCATTACTATTGGTGGAAGTCTCCGGGGTTTGTTGAGGAACATCGGTAACATCTGGAGTTTGTGGAGATTCGATATCATCTGGTTGAGTTTCTAATGTTTTGGAGGCAGAGTGGCTTCTGGTGTAGGTGGGCGGAGCGGGCGCGGGCGCGGCGGGGTCGTGCAGCGAGAGCGTGCGGCGCAGGCGCGCGGCGGCGCGCGGCGGCAGGTGCGCCAGCAGCTGGCGCTGCACGCGCCGCGACAGCGCCGGCGTGAGCCCCGACAGCGCGCGCATCTCGCGCTCCGAGAACTCTATCCCACTCAAGTCCAGATCTGACAGGTCCAGCGCCTCAGCCTCCGCCCGCTGCTTGCCGGTTCTCTTACTACTACCTGCAATGCAAATTGAAAACACACGATTTCCATCATGCATGACGGTCGCTAGGATGGTATATTTACAGTGTTGTTGCGGTATCGTTTTACACCTCCGGTAGCGAACCGGCTCGGTTCACAGAAGATATAGAGAACTTATAGTTACTTGTAACGGGATTAGGAGATGCAACATCGATGCAGCTAGTAAAAAGTTAAGTTTGAAAGTTTTAGTCCAATTAGAATTAATATCAAACAAAGCAAAAAAAAAATGCAAACCAAACACACAAAATGTATGCATTAAAATGTTGCTTTTCGTAAAAAAAACTGATTTACCAGAAGGCGCACTAGGTCATTATTGCATCAGCGATTCCACATAACGGAGGCATCCGTACTCTGATATCAGCCGCAACGCGATGCGCAACACAAAAACACAAATGAAGAAATAAAGATAGTTTAGTACCTATTCTTGTGTGGCGTTTGTGGGCGGTTTGTGGTCAGCGCCGGTGCCGCTGTGAAGTGAAGTTTTGGTCGGAGCATGCAGTGTAACGCGCAACCCAACTGCAACCACACCAACACAACCTCACTACTGCGTCTCCCGCTCCCCGCCCCTCCCCTCCCCCTCCCTCCCCTCGCGCGCCGTACGATAATGCGTATGCGTGTACCCAATATCATCTAGCGGATACTCAACGTCTACACACCACATCGACTAGCTACGTTTATGCTGTGATCTTTTCCAAACAAATAAATTAACCTTTGGGTCGATACTGATAATTAAACAGGAATGCAAAGATAATAAATAATATATTGTTCGTGTTCTAAGTCATACATATTACAGCATTGCCTCGCCACTGATTATGCAAAATGAATAAAAAAAATGCCTTTTTTAAACACGTCATGCAATCATAACTACTTAAATGAATTTATTATGATAATCGAGAGCGACGCAACATTTTCCTGCTAATGTTAGCGGGGTAGGAAAGTCAACACCTGCACAAAGAATGCTTTATGTAAACAAGTGAACACTACGATGCAAAAATAAGTTAAATTTAGTAATAAAAATGTTAATATAAAAATCAAAAGTCACACAAAGGTGTAACTGACAATATCTTATATTACATTCGAAATTGTCTGTTACACTTGGATGTTATCGAAGACATCAAAAAGGGAAAACGCCCCCTGCCCCCGACCCCTGGACCCCCGCCCCCGACCCCGCGCCTCTCGCGACCCCTCGATGCTCGCGACTTGCGACCCTTCGATCGACAGACAACAGTTAATCCATTTGTTTAGTGGAAGCTGTGAGTGAGGCGTGCGGAGCCTAGCTACTAGCGGTGCCCGGCGATGTTTATGAATGAAATGAAATTTTTTTTCAATTACATTTTTATCTAATAATAATTTTCAATTGACAAAAAAAAGAATTTAACTTAATTTTACATTTGAATTGATATCATAATATGAATTCGTCATAATTATTGTAATCATTACAAACAAAACAAAGTTTCATCATCTACATCTTCATTGATGGATAAAATGGTAAAGAAAAAATATTATTTTTATAAAATGAAAATAATTTTTATACGACGAAATTGAGAAGGTATTTTTTACCTTGCTTTCAAATTTTTTATAGTTATATAAAAAGTAAATCAGTAAAATATAATGAATTGAAATGACAATTTAAACCAGCGGAAGCGAATCAAAACAGTGTGGGGTGTTGGGGGTGTGGGGGTGAAGGGGTGTTGGAGGTGGGGGGTGGCGCGGTGCGGTGCCGGCACTCACCTCGCGGCGCCTGGCGCTTGCTGAACATGGAGTCGAAGGGCGCGTGCAGCTCGCGCGAGCCCCAGCCTTCGCGTCTGCGTCACATAGTCTTACATTAATAAAATATACAGATTGACATTTAATTCTTAAAATGTTAATTATAATTATAACCCATATGAGTATAACCCCTGCAGTTAACAAATTGTACTACAAATGGCGCTTAAATCGTAACATATTGACAATAGGGACTCAATCAGCGGCCATGTCCGATCTCATTTTACATTATGTATCTGCACACTTGCACAGATAATATTCAAGTTATTTTTTTATCATAATGACGTAATGTATTAGTGACGGGCGCGCGCGCAATAACTCACGTTTCTGACACACTCCTCTTACTTTCCATATACCTATGAGTGCTGCGTGTAATGAAAGGAAGCTTTAATGAAAAATGATTCCTATTTTTTATCTGTGTAATGTGTCAATAATGTGTGAGAGTTTTTTTATTAAAATGGGCAATACTTACAAAAGATGTCTCCTCGGTAAGTGGGGGCTGCATGCGGAAAAAACGTCATTATTTATTAGTCTGTACACAAAAAAGCATGCGAAAATTAATAAAAGAATACCTGAAAATAATCCAATCCAAATGTCTGATTCGTTTTATTAAATGTAAAAATAAACCTCGATAGTTATATGTTTATGTTAAGGTTATGAAAAAATAAAGGTGTATCTATAAGAGCTCGGGCTTCACGAAATAAATTATTTTATATTTTACAAAGCTTGTACAAACAAGCTCAAATAAATACACCTTTTTAAAACAATATTATTGCGACTATTTCTCACAGAAATGACGTTCAAGAGCCTGTTCCTTTGCTATGAACTGAAAATATTATTACAAGTGAATTATTGATAAAATAAATTGAAATTATAACATTAAAATGAGCAGATAATTCCTTTTTGATATATTTATACTTTAAAAATCTTAAATGAATAATTTAGTATATTTATGCTTATTTTTTTTATTTTTGCACCATATCATATATGGACAAACTTTCAAAAAAGCTATTTATGTAAATTAATGATATCAATGTTATGTAGAATTGTCTACTCTTTTCTTTATTACAATGAACAGTATGGTAAGCAGAAGTGTATATAAAATGCAGTGTCACCTGTTGAAGAACGGCGACTGTAGGTTGTTGAACAGCGAGTGTGGATGTTGGAAGCCCGGGCCTTCCTCGCCATTGAGACGTTGAGTGAGAGCACGCACCTGGAATATTATAAAATCATTATAGTTTATATAGTTACACTCTTATCATATGAAAGGTTTGAAATCCTACTTCCTACTAATATATAAATGTAAAAATTTGTGAATATGGATGTTTGTTACTCTTTCAGGCCAGAACGGCTGAACGGGTCTGGATGAAATATAGCACAGAGATAGATTATAGTCGGGGATAGAATATAGATTATTTTTTAATCCGAAAAAATGTACGGTTCCCCGTGGCATAATATGTTTTTTTCTAGAGACAAACGCAAAGCGAAGTGAGGGTGAGTCGCTAGTATTGTTCTAAGGAAAATAACTTAGGCATCTATGTTTTAAAAACGTGACACGTAAGTGCACTATTATATACATTTTTTTAAAATACTTAAATCAAAACTATTTATTTGAGAGAAAGAAACAATATAAGCTTTAAAAATTACAACTTACTCTGTGTAGTAGAGTGGAGAACAGGTTTTCAGCAGTCAGCAAATGGAAACCCTCGTCTTCTTCGTCCTCTTCACCAGAACTCACAGATTCCGCGCGCGCAGCTCTTGTAGATCTGACAACATAACCAACGATATATTTGTTTTAAAATATATTTTTCTTACAAAACAATGTAAACAGCAGTAATTTCATTTAGAAGATAATTTTAAAACTTTTGATAATATTTACATAATGTTGTTAATTTTAATATAATTATATTCAGATGAATTGTTATGAACTGAATATATTTAATTTTATACGTTGACGTAATAGGCGGACCTTTAGTATTAAAAATATAAAGTATACCTCAATCTATGCATGTGCGTATCGTCTTCTTCTTCCGATTCCCCGCCGCTGACTAGACTGCTGTAAATTTATAATATTTTTATAAATAAATTATTTTGTATACGAAGTAAATTGAGAAAATTTTAGTAATTATTCAAAAAAGTCTATATAGAAATCAGTCAATGCAATCTTTACGGAATTTTATGTTTTTTACATTATGTGATCCAGGTATTTAGATTATAAAGTTCGATTAGAATAATAATTTACTACTTTAATGGTATTTCTAACAAAGGATATTCACCAATTATCAATAGACAGAGCTGCCCAAAAACGTCATTTTAATTAAATAAAACTCTTTTTGCCTTGATGGCAGAGAGAGAGAGAGAGAGAGAGAGAGAGAGAGAGAGAGAGAGAGAGAATTGAGAATAGAATCTATTGAAATATCGTCATATAGTATAAATAAAAGCTAAATCGTACTCAGTTGCTTTTTATGTTACGCGATGTTCTCATTAATCATTAAGGGATTTTCATCATTTTATTAATGAACTAGGGAGCGTTATGCTTTAACGGTTAGTATACATTTCTTAGAGATAAGATATTTTCCAGCACTAAATATACCTTTTAAGTTGACCTGGATAACCAGCTATGATCATACCAAATTTCATCAAAGTCTATCCAGCGATTTACTCGTAATGCGTTCAGAGACAGACAGAAAGATAGACAAAAATTCTAAAAACTATAGATTCGGCTTCTGTATCGATAATAATGACTATTTCAATAAAATTTTCCATAAAATATTCAATGTACAGATTCGACTCAGAATTTTATTATATGTATAGAATAGATAAACTATCAAATATGAGACAACAATTATACATGCGAAGGTTGTATGTGTTTTGTTTGTTACACCTTCACGGTGAAACGGTTGAACGTATTTGGGTAAAATTTAGTATACCGATAGACAATAACTTAGAGTAATACTTATTATATTGATTTTTTTCTCATAATCTATACAATAAGACATTCCTTGTTCTTTGTCTGTATCCTTCAAATTATTCATCTTGTGCAATACGAATGTGCCAAATATGTTAAGAAATAAATAATAATTTAAATGGCATTCAAAAGTATTTTATTGCTATCAACACTTCGAATTTCATTCAATTCATGAAAAATAATCATATAAAAGATCCGATCAAGATCCGCCAAAAAGTGACGGATACGGATACAGATCTTTTTTCTCCCTCGGATATCCAGTGCATCCCTTATAAGTATGGCTATTGGCTACATCCTCACCCGATGCGCCGCGGGCGCGCGCGCACGCGCTGCAGCGGCTCGGGCTCGAGGCTGCGCTGGCGCGGCGTCACGTAGCCCTTGCCCTCCACCGCGATGGGGATGATGAACTCGCGCGGCGACCTGCGCGGTGGCGGACATTCAGAAGGGATTCATTACTACAATTATTATTGACTCATGACACTTTGTAATATAGTAGTTATGTATGTATATGTTTCATATGTGTATTGTTGGTGTTTCTATTATTTAATGAATTATCGAAGAATTAGATTAGAATAATTTAATATTGTTGCAAGCAAGTAGAAAACGAAATTGAGTAAGTAAAATTTAATATTTTAACTTGTATAACTTTATTGTAAAGACATATACGTATAATATATAACATATATAGACGATAAAATCAATAATCAATTTAATATTCTGATAAATGTTAACAATAAGATAGAATTTTATGATTTACGTACTTCTTTATGGGCTCGCCGGAGGACGGCGTGCTCGGGGAGAGGGCCTCGTTAGGCGACTCGACTGAGGTTAAGCGTCTGGAATTTTCGATTATTTTGTAATTCTTTATTTATTTTTTAATATTGTTCAGACGAAATGACAAAACGAAATTTAGACGAAATATAATATAAATAAAAAATTAAATAATTATTATTTATATCGTTTATGTAATTGTTTCTCAATGTTGTTTCACATTAAACCTAAATATATGTTACATACATATTTCTATTAGCAATATGGTATTTCATTATAGAACAAACTATGACTTTATATAAAATAGAAGTGAAACATTAATTCGATTGTATAAAAATATAACTGAAATAACACTTAAGCGAGCAAAACAAGTGTGTTTATTTTCTGTGTAAGTCACTAGTGCATAAATAATACAAGCAAATACCTGATAGGCGTATGCAAGGAGCGTACGGGCGGCGACACGGGCGACGTCAGGGGAGACGCGGGCGTGGCGGGCGCGGCGGACGCGGCGGCGGGCGGCGCGCGCGCCCCCTCCTCCCCCGACATTGTGATCGGTATGATGCGCTCCACCGACACGCCCCTGGAGTTTCGAAACAGTTTGTCATTATTTCATTGCCCTTACATCTCATCATAATTTACTACAAATAGAACATATAAAATTTTCGTGTCACAGTGTTTGTAACAAAACTCCACCGAAACGGCTTGACCGATTCTTATGAAATTTTGTGTGTATATTCAGTAGGTCTGAGAATCTATTTTTCATACCTCTAAGTGATAAGGGTGGTCCAACCCAAAAAAAATGTTCTTATTTTTGGGACAAGTTTTTATCTTTATATGATTCGGCATTAAAAAATACATACAAACCTAAATTTTCACGATTTTTGTAAAACCGACGTAATAAATGTCTTTGTACAAATCTATTCCAATTCTTTCTACATTAAATAACCTTATTTTCCGATTCACATTTACGAGTAACAAATCAACATACCTATTACGGTGATCCTCGACACGGTGCGAGGCCTCGGTGCGGAAGAGGCGCGGCGAGGGCGCGGCGTGCGCGGGCGGCGTGCCGGGCGGCGACGCCAGGCTCGCCACGCCCGCGGACGACGACCGCCCGTACGGCACCGGGGGCTTGCCTGGATATACGCAGTTATGTTATTAGAAATGTTAAGCTATACAATAACTTTAGATATTAATATATAAATCTTATTAATAGCGAATTACCTAAGCGAAATCCTTCGACTCGTTCAGTTCAAAGGAGTAATAAAGGTATAAACATACATACATATACGTGTATGGACTTTGTTATAACAGTATCTTTATATTTAGAAAAAAAAAATCTTTTAAATAAGAATAAATTAACTTAAATACAAAAAGAGTTCGTATCAGTATGTAATATTTAGCAAAATATTAAATGTTTAATGGTTGGCACCTTATAAACACCGTATTACGTACATACATACAACTTTTGCTTTATATGTATATACAAAACGTTACCCGTACGTATAGCAGAGGAGATGATGTCGCGCGCGGCGCGGCGGCGGCTGTCCTCGCCCGCGCGCTCCTCCGCCAGCTTCGCCATGGAGTTCTGCAGGCTCCTGACATCAATTTTAAAATAATTCATATTATTATTTCTTTTTGATAACCTAATATTAAAGACTGATGATTTTTTTAGATTATTTTTAGTTTTATTGAAAAGCAACCAAGATATTGTCATTTTTTTCGAAGATAATATTCCAACTTTGTTATAGGTTTAGATCTTACTTTTATTTCTTTTATGGAAGAAATGTTGATCTTTATTTAGAACTAATTTATATACTCCGATCTATAAGTACTAAATGGGTACCTATAAATTATAAACGACCCACTAGGCGAAGCTGTGTCAGAAATCGATGACACACATAAGAGTGACCAGTGTGGTCATTCTGGTGACAAACATTTACGTAAAATATAAATATTTATTGGGGGAAGCGGGGCGATAACCCACGATTTCCGACATTAAGGCAAACTTAAGTTAAAATGTAAAACTATAGTCAATAACAATAATTAATTTACAATCGAACAAAACCACCTTCTTTAAAGAAACTAAGCCATGATTAGAAGTGAATTAATTCTTAAAATTTTTGTACCCCTCATAAAATCTTAATTCCCCCTTTTTTGTAGTCGGTCAAAACTCAAAATGTCTACCTCCTAGCGTCCTGCAGTAGCACGGCGGGGTCCACTGTGGCGGTGGAGTGCGCGGGTTCGCTCTCCGTCTTCTTCACGCCGCCGCGGTTCATTTCCTCTTGAGACGTTTGTGGGGACTGATAGAAAATTTTAAATAATATAAAACTTTTAATGAATATTAATTATTAAAATTGTTTCTTAAAAGTTAGGTGTAGGTACCTACCTAATAACTATTTATGACCCTTTAGGGATTTATGTCAAATAGATGAGTGAAACACGCCCACACCATCGTGTCTTATGAATTAAGCCCGTAAAAACCCGTTGTCGTTTAACAAGTTTAATAAGCAAATAGGTGGCTGTGTCACGACTGGCCCTTTAGATAATTAATTTAACTCAATTTCGAAATTTTACTATCCTTTTTTAATTACATTAATTCATTTCTTATTTAATTTTGCCGATTTTGTAACTAACAAATATCGTAAAAAATATACTATGTACAATGCGCATATGTTAGCATTTTTGAGAAAAATAATAATTAATAAAATGAAATAGGTAGAAAAGTATGCATATATTAAGATATTCTAGTTTTTTACAGAAACGGTCTTGATAGGTTTATTACTGAAAATATATTCACCGGTGAGGGCTCGATACCGATCTGCTGGAGGCGCACGGTGCCATTGTCCGGAGACTTGACCGTCAGCTCGCGGTCCTCGCTCTGAGCCTTTGGTTTGGCAATTTTTGATACTACTGTAAGATCGTACAATCACATTTTAACAAAATAATCTTTACAATTTCAAAGCACAAAAACAAGAAACAAGTAAAAATTGCCTTTATTAAAAATAAAATTTTATAATCCTTAAATATAAAGAAATATATTTTAATTTATACCTGGTTTAGTAATGTTCCGTTTGACATCAGGAGCCGTGGTCAGAGAAGCGCGTCTTTCGAACTGTTCCTTGAAACTACCAACGTGACCTCCTAAAAGCACATATTTCTAAATATATTTTGTTCAATTGAGATTGATGCCTGGTTTTAGTGTGTAACTCATAAGTTAAGAGGTTCAACTTCATTTTAAATGTGGTTGTGATTGCAAATATCATATGTGAAATTTGGATGACAATACAATAATTTGACACCATAGAGAGGATTTTATGATAGATTATAGAACTTATATATTATCAGTGAAAATTTCGAGTCAAATAGATCTCTAATTCCACTTACATGTAAATTCTTGAAATTATGTTTAGTAAATTAATATTTCATCCAAGTGTCTTACATTCATTAAATAAATAAAAAATATTTTTTTCGATAAAAATCGAATATTACCTGGTATGGAGAGCTTCTTGGGCTTAGCGGGCGCGGGCGCGGGGGCGGGCGCGGGGGCGGGCGGCTGAGCCAGCGACAGCGACGTCAGCTTGTCCGCGGCCGACAATACTGCACTCGGCTTGCTCTCCTCCGACTTAAATCGTACATTTAACAGTTAAATCCTTATTTATTCGCTAAAAAAACATTTTTAGATAAATGGCACAATAGCTACAAAATTACTTTAACAGTAATTACTCCATCTTTAGGTGTGGATTTTTTTCTGGATATGTTTTGGACCCCGAAATTCCGAAATTATAATAATAATACTTATACAATAAGATACTAAATACCTTTGACACTTCTAATTTTTCTGGTTTTTCCTCTGGCTTTGGAGATGTCACTTTTTTCTTAATAACAACTTTGGGCTTTGGTTTCTCTTTCTCTTCCTCTTTAGGCACATCAGGTATTGTTTCTGCGGGTGTCTCCTTTATTGGTTCAGGCGGTACAGGGGACGGCGATATCGTCATTGTAGCTGATGACTTGAGAGATGGTTGTGTGACCTGCAACTGAAGAAATGGTATTTATTAAATACTACCGACTATACCTCGCTTTACTCGTATTCGTCCCTAGAAATGTTTCAACGGTTAGTATGGAATAAATAGATTATATATTTTATAAATATACATAGGTATCATTAGTTGTTGTGGGTTGTATTATAACGTGTTTTCCCGTGGGAATGAGATGATCTCCTGTGGTAAAAAGTAGCCTGTGTCACTCTCCAGCCCTCCAATATATTCACACCAAAAATCACGCCAATCCGTCACTCTGTTTCGACGTGATAGAAGGACAAAAAAACAAACAAACAAAGACACTATCACATTTATAATATTAAGTTTAGATATAATGTAAGAAATAAAATTAATGTAAATTAAATACTTATGTAAGTATAAAAAATATATTTTATATTTATATAATTTAGTGGTCGTACTTCATATTTTTACTAATCTCGTATAGATTCCTGGTATTGATTCCCGCTCGGATGCAATCGAATTAACTATACAAAGTAGAACAATCGACACGAATCTTGAGCACTGAACTTCAGTAGATAAATGCTCAAGAAATGAAAAGGAGTGTTTGGTAGCGCAGGGAATGAAGGTAAGTAAAGATGGAACATAATTCCTTCTCTATAACCACTGTACAGGCATATTTCAATAATTCGAGTCTGCTTGAGTGAAATTTTATTAAAAAAAATTAAATGTTATTTTATTTAACGAAACCTTCAGTAATAGTAACAAAGTTAGTTTACGTAGACATTTAAAAAACAAAGTGTTTTATTTGTACGATGTCCAACTCGATTCCCATTCTTTTATACATATCGTAGCTGATACAATGATGGTTATTTATTTATATCTATAATTGATTATGTAAATTAAATAAAAGATATATTACTGTATCTTCAGATTCGTCCGGCGGCGGCGTGTCCAGCTTGGCCTCCTCCTCCGGCAGCGCGGGCGAGTGCGGCGCCATGCTGGCACAACTGTTGCACATGTCAAAGAAAAATATATTAGAATATTTAATTATATAATATATATTGGGTAACTTTACCAGTGTAAGTATACATTATCTCCATTTAAGGATTTTGCTTGTTACTACATGTCATACTAGTGATACAAGAATGTTATAACGTACTCGCATAAATCTCGCGCGATAAAACTTGTTGTTACATGTTAATAAAACGTAATTATTTGTCTACATTTGGTTTGAAATAGATAATTTCACTCATTTACGACTGGATAAAAAGAGAATGGGATGAGTTAAGTAGTATGTCTGTAATAAGTTTTGAAATGCAGTTAGTTTTTGGCAACGTTAACATTGGTCAATAGTTATGATGGAACGAAGAGTGAGTCTATAGATGCCTATAAACAAAATTTATCATATACCACTAATATTAGTACTGCTGCTGACTAAAGAACAAGCCACTACATCACTTTTGTCTTTATATTTTTCTAAGCAATTTATAAACAAAATACCAAATGAATGGCAAATAAGAACAGGTAAGTTATTAATAAACTGACCTAGCAACGCGTTCCTTCTTGCGCAGACAGGAGGCGCTCATGGCGGCGTCCAGCTTGCGCTTGTTGTCGCCCGCCGCCACGATAGTGCGGGTTGGCGACGGCTTAATGGCGTCTTCACCGCCCTCTGGGAAATATCAATGAGGAAGATTGTAAACAGCCCATCTTTTTAACGTCCCGCTGCTGGGCACGGGCCTTCCTTCGATACGAGGGGGATCAGGCTATAGTCCACCACACTGGCCAAGTGCGAGTTGGCGGACTTTACATGTCTTTCGAAAATTTGATAGGTTCTCTCAAACATGCAGGTTTCCTCACGATGTTTTTCTTCACCATAAGGCAAGTGGTAATCATGTTAAATAATTCGCACATGAAAATATCCGAGGTGCGAGACCCGGGATGTGAACCCGCTTCACTCGGTTTCCCAAGTGAGCGTGTTACCAGTTTGCTACCACTGCCTTGTATTCAGCTAATTTGTTTTAACGTCCCACTGCTGGGCGCGGGTCTCCACAATACGAATCTGACATATAGTCCACCACGCTGGCCAAGTGCGGGTTGGTGGATTCCACAATCCACATGTATTAGAAAACTTGCTAGGTTCTCTAAGACTTGTAGGTTACCTCATGATGTTTTCCTTCACCGTAAAGCAAATGGTAATCATGTTAAAAATAATTGGCACATGAGAATATCAGAAGTGCTATATGATATATTAATAATGAGTCATATTTTTAAGTTACTCTTAGCAACAGTCTTACATTCTACGGAAATCATTTGATAAAAGTAATCTATGTCAATCAACAGCGCGGTGATTTGTTGCTGTGTGAAATAAAGATGTACAAATAAATTTACGCACATAACATTTATAGGATAATTTAAATAATAAATTGAACATTAGAAAATAATAAATCAAGCAAAGCTACAAATATCTTTTTAAATCCGCATATAAAACTTATTTAGTATCTACTAAAAATATAAACCATATTAGGAAAAAATATGAACACTACAAATGTTATTAAACATTATTTTTAATAAACGTAAAAACATACCAGCCACGAGATCTAAAATTCTCTTCTCTGCCGAGTTGCTGGGCTCGACGGCCATCGACGTCGAACTGGTGAGATCTGTGCAGCTCTCCTCTGGGCCCAAATTCGTCTGTATCACGAATAGGAAAATAAATATTTTTTTTACTAAAAAGGAAAATTGATTGATGAAATTCGCCTTCAATTCAACATTTTAAACTCATACCCTCTATTACCAACCACAATAATAAATTTTCGAAACGAAAAAAGTTAGACATCTCGTTAAAACGAAGCTACTTGCAAAATTTCAACTTGATTGGAATCATTTTTAAAAATGGCGAAGGAATTTTAATATAAAAAACAACGTATAAAATTTCATACAGTAGGGGAAACGTTGTTAGACGGCTGTATAGGTTAGTAGACTGTGGTTAGACGCCTTCGCTAAACGACTGTATGGACACGGTAATGTACTGCATACAGTATTCCAACTCGGGCCTGTCCTTGAAATAATTACCTACAGCCGAGCGGCACGTACCCACGCGACAGGGCTGCCCGAGTGCCCGACGGCCAGTATTTTAATTTCATCTACCTACTTGAGTTTCTTTCTAATTTTGTGATTTCAAATATTAAGTATATTTTTTATTTAAAAACCAATTTATAAGGGCGGTATGTGACCCTTGTAAAATTTGAGATTTAAAAATATTTGCGCCTCGACTGAGACGTGTACGAAAAGATTTATTGTTAAATTTAATAGTATAAAGAATCCGCATTCGGATAAAAAGTTTAATTGGAAATACTTTAATTTTTATTTTTAACTTAATTAATATTTTTTTATTTTTAAAACATACGATGTCTCGATACTTTTTTGTTTGACATTAGCGAAGTTACGGAAGGAATAAAATGTTTATTTTTGTATCCAATTATAAAAGTTACATAACATAACCACCTTATACAATTTTCGTATACGATGTGGCAGTCCCGCACGGTTGTCTACCGAGTGTATACCGAACGCGACGCGCGTAGGTATAACTCGATTTTCGACCATTTGTATGAAGATGGAATACTGTATGTAATATTACCGTGGTATGGATTAGTAGACCTAGACTGTGATAAAATAATGTTCTCTTTGTTAAGCAACTGCCAACTATATGTATGTAGAAGTGTCTAGAAGCGCGTACCTCCGGCGGCACGACGACGCTGTTGGAGCTGGAGGGCGCGGCGGGCGCCAGCGACAGCAGCAGGTCGAGGCGCACCGGCGTCTGCGCCGCCAGCGCTTCCGCCTCCTCCAGGCACGACGTGTCGCACCCCGTGTTCACCCATCTAAGGGAACAAACTTATTTGTCATCAAATCTAACAAACATATACTTTATAAAAATACACTTTTACAAGCACTTTTAAATCAATAATTTTTATATTTTAAAAATTTAAATTGAATGTAAGTTATTTGCTGAGAATGCCGGCGAAATCCTCAACAGGTGCTCTTTTAAAATAACATTTATTTACAATTTTACAATATAAATAATAACTATACTACTTATCCTACGTGAGATCCAACTCGAATTAGTCTCACACGTTATCATCTGCAAATTATAAGGCAAAGCGAAGTCAGATAGGTCGCTAACTTAATATGTTATATCGATAGACATCGACATTTTTACTATTAAATATTGTGATTGAATTTCAATTTGTCTGAAAATAGTTTAAAATAGAAATTTCAAGAAATAAGCGATAATCGAATAACCGACTATTTTTTGATCGATCGAGTATATTATTCGTTGACGTGCGTCTATTTTAATAACATTAGATTCGTTTAATGGTTATCTAATTATACTGTTGTAGGTTCTCCATGATCTTATTATTTTACTGTTACTATTTATACACGCATACTTGTTGTATGTTTTCTGTACTTAGTAGATACTTACGGATGATCGCATATATATGCGATGTCAGCCCTCTTCATTGGATCCACCGTTAACATGTCTCGAATCAAAGGCGATGCCGCTAAAATTAAAAAAAAATACACTTAATATATTAAATATAAAGTTGAAATCAATGTTATGTTCGTTTAATTTTTTTAAGTCTATATATTTTATTCATTAAAGTCGTCTTATGTAATTAAATGAATAAATATCCGAACAACAACGTGACGACAACTTTGGCTCAGTGTGTAGTGACCCTAGCTGCTGTGCCAGCGGTCGCGGGTTCAAGTCCCGTGGGGGCATTCATTGTGTGATGAGCACGAATGTTTGTACTCCAGTCATGGGTGTTTATATTTATATTATGTATGTATTTAAAGTTTATATACATATATGTAGTGTATCAACTATCTGGTATCCATAACACAAGCCTCGTAGCTTACCATGGAACTAGATGGTGCTGTGTGTTAATTTCCCAACATATAGTATAAGGACATATAACTACATTATACTATATTTTAGCTAATTAATTCCGAATATAATCACCATAAACAGGTCAACAAATCAGAACATTTTTTTGGTTTAGGTTTAGGAGACCGTCATTAGGGGTCTTACCTATATCGTATATTAAAAGATATTAACAATTGTAGAAGATATTGCGCAACAAACATACATTCGAAATTGGTACCACCTCCCTTTTTGAAGTCAATGAAATGTCTACATGGAATACGAATATATTATGATATAATATAATCGTTGTAGATTCCTCAAATTTGCACTTTGATATGTCGTATAATATTTCAATGACAGTGTTACAATGGCAGTGTTTAAGTATTGTCTGTTTATCCTAGATAGTAAATGAAGCAAGAACATTTCAATGCCATAAGGTAACAGTCTAGTCTAAGCAAATGATACACAGTAAACATATTAGAAATATACGTAAGGAAAGACGTTTATTTTAATTTCCTTGTATCTTCTATTTCAAGATATACGAGTATATAGCGTAACGGAGTAGACTGACTCATAAAATAGTAACTTCCACGGTGGAACAAAAACATACATACGTCCCTTGGCGATAAAATATCATATGTTGCAGCCAAGTAGACCAGTATGATATAATATTCAGAAATTGTACTGTATTTTACTTGTTCTTGTGTGTTTTGCACGTTTTTTTAATATATACATCTTTTCATAAATTAGTGTTTTCTTTTCAAATTACATATCTTTCTCTTTTCTAATTTTATCAAGACAATAATAATTTAATATTAACAAACAATTCTACACATTGACACAATAATAGTCCAACGTAAAAAAATCACACGCTATATTAAATTAACGTATTAATTATTATTATATATAGAGTGATTACTTACTCGATGGATTTTTTGGTTCATAGTAGTCGCCGTTGCTAATTTGTCGAACTAAACGCTTAAAGTTTGAACCATCAAAAGGCATGGCTCCATAGACTAGAGTGTAGAGCAAAACTCCTAACGACCAACAGTCCACCTGAAATAAATATTTGTTTATATATTAAAATAATGAAATTAAACTGAAAACGGGTAAAAAATACTTAGAAAATGAAAAAAAATGAAAGAAAATGAAATAAAAATAAGAAATTATTTTATTAATAAAATACCGATACTTTAAAATGACTTAAAATAACCTTATTATAGTAAAATATTATGTATATCATATCTTATCTAATATATAAAATTCTCGTGTCATAGACCACAGTGTTTGTAACAAAACTCCTCCGAAACGGCTTGACCGATTTTACGATATTTGAAATTTTGTCTGTATATTCAATAGGTCTAAGAATAGGAGGTAAATTATTTTTCATACCCCTAAGTGATATGGGTGGTCCACCCCAAAAAAAAAAATTATGATTCGGCATTAAAAATACCATATCATAATAATCAAAACCAATCTAAATTTTCTCTAGGGACGAACCCGAGCGGAGTGAGGGTAATAAAATATATAAGAAAAAATCACCCCTAAGGATGAAAACCCTAAGGGAAGAATTTCTTCTTTGAAATTTATATGTGTCCACCTTTGAGATATACTAAGTGGTAACCTATTTAATATTCCAAAGTAATCATTTGAACTTTCATGTATAGAGATAGAAATGACGACGATCCACTGTTTCGTTTCTGTGTGAAAGAAGGACAGACACACACACCAAATTATACTCGCGTGTTCATAATATAAGTTCAGAATAAAACAAATATGTATACTTTCTTAATATGACAAAGAAAATATTACCTCAGGGCCTATATATGGAGTTCCTTTAACAATCTCTGGTGATGCATACAGAGGTGATCCACAAAACGTAGATAATAACGATGTTTCTTTGAATACATTTGAAAGACCAAAATCGGCTATCTGCAAGAAAATATTTGTTAATTAGTATAGTAGTCTATAAACTAGTCTATAAACATATACTATTAGTATAGTAGTCTATAAACTAGTCTATAAACATATACTATTAGTATAGTAGTCTATAAACGATGTTTCGCTCGCGTGAAGCCATGTTGGTAAAAAATATGTATGAACTAGGATAAAAGACATAAGCTATCTTAATTTTAAACTCGTTGAACCGTTACAACTTAAATCGGCAATCGTCATTCACTTATTCACAAACTTTCGCCATTATAATATAATCTGATGCACAAAATTAAAAATGGAATCGTTACTCACCTTAGCACTGCCAGTATCGTCAAGTAAAACATTTTCTAATTTTAAATCTCTATGGCAGATTTTGTGTATATGGCAATAATAAACAGCGGTAGCAATCTGCCGGAATAACCTGCAATGTTGACATATGTTAAACTAAAAACAAATTAAACGAAAATATATTCTTTGACGTTCTCTGACCTTCTAGCTTCGTCTTCTTCTAATACTTTCTTCTGGCTGAGGTAGTCGTACAGCTCGCCACCCGAACAGTACTCCATAACGAGAATCATTTTTTCGCTATTTTCAAATACTGAAACATAAAAAATAAAATAAAATATGACTTACAACTAATACCTATTTACAATATTAATATTACTAAAAGGCGGCCTTTTTAATCGCTAGACAATGGGCTTGGTCTAATATTTTGGATGGGTATGTCTGTAATTAGTACAATTTATACTGATATAATTGACTTCGTCCAACATATCTATACTTTATCAGCCAATAATGCAAATATGTAACAGCAGACATTGCCTTAATATTCAGAAAAACTCAAATAGAGAAACATTTTGTTGGAATTTATTTTATTTTTATTAGGAAAAACGATATCTCGATAAAAATCTTAATATAAAAGACGATATGTAACGTAGTTAGATAAACTGCCAGATCTGGTCGATCTCGCCCGTCTTTTCATGCAAATTTTAAATGAAACTTTCGATTTACAAACACAATATATTATATGAAACGATAGCCGATACACTGTATTCGTAAAAAAGATAAAGTTTCCTAAACAGAATTTTTGGCACCCAAACAAATTATAATCAAAACTAATATCTTCACCGTGTATGTAACTACTAGCTGTTTTTTATAATTTTATTGAGTTGTTGTTCAGCTGCTTTTCTGACATTTTGTTGTAAATTATGTAATCTTTATATTAACGACGTTGTAATTATGAATTATGGTGAAAATATCATATTATTAAGTATGTGACAATAATAGCATTTTGGTGCCAAAGTTAAAATTAGCCGCTCATGAGACACGTGACCTAATGTAGTCCAATTGCAGGACAAAGACCTAACAAGTATGAATTCGTATTCAATACTTAACCTACTAAGGCGTACCATTTACACACTATTAAGCGGGTAAATATATGAATTTTGTTTAAAATACCTTTCATTGCGCCGCTCGGTGGCTTAGTTGCTTGGTGAGCGTGAATTTAATATTAAATGTGTATAATGAAAAGTGTAAAAATCTTTCCGGTGATACTTTTCCAATATAGAAAATTACCTACTAGATAATAATAAAAATATATATACATAATTTTAACCTCAGCTTACCTTCATAGATATGTACAATGTTCGGATGCCTGACGGAAGACATAATTTGTACTTCTCGTCGAATACGAATGAGATCTGCTTCGGTTTCAATTTTACATTTCTTAATAGTTTTAATGGCAACCTCCTGACCAGTTTTCTTATTAATGCCGAGCTGTACTTTACCATATGTCCCTTGGCCTAGTTTTCTTACTATATCAAATCTGAAAAAAATAAATGAGTACTAATGATATACAAATATATCAAGATAAAATCAAAGATATCGATATTCAAGATATCTTGAATGATTTACACAGCTCAAGTCGCTAAAGCTATGAAACTGAAATTTTGGAGTGACTCCACGGCCGCGGACATGCCGGCGTTACAGTTAACAATAGATTTCTTAGAAATTTAATTAATTTCTTAGAAATTTACCTGGAGATGTTAATAGACAATATTTCGAAACCCTTAAAGAAATAAAATGGGTTGATATAGTTTGTAGAAAAAATCTTATTCAATAGAACGACTCTGTCGAGACTTGGCATGCATATTCTACAAAACTAATAAAAAAACACATGTTTCACAATTTTTGTGGATGTAATTAAATATTGTATGAAAAAGCTCATACTAAAATAATAATATATAGACGGAGTTTCATAGAACTAAACATGAAGTCAAACAAAAATGTCGTTGGTGCATGCTACATACAGGACATGTGTGAGTTACCCGGTATTGATATTCATGTAACCTACCAAAATAATATTTTTTAAATACTTTTATACATAATTTAAAATTAAATAGGTATTTTCTAAAACAAAAAAATGGGTTTGTAATTTTTCAAAATCATATGACCTTATTAGTTGTACTTATAAGCCTTCACAAGCCTCTTTACCTCATCCTTGATATAATTTTATGGTTATTTTCTATATCTAAGACCTTTTCGCACTTATCCAATTCCTTGTACATATTACAATCAATTGTAGGTTCTTCGTATCTTTTATCTTATAACTAAATAAGTTGTTAACGATATTGTTTTTCTCGTGTACATATAAATAAATGTGAGTAGGTATCTATGTTAGGTTAAATTTCTTAGATTTACGCATTAATGCATTTTGACATTTAAATAAAACTTACCTTTAGATATTTTATTTGGTTTTACTAGCATTGCTCGCGGCTACGTCCGCGTTTAGATGACCAAAAACCAAGTTCTTAATTTTTACATATTAGTATACCTACTCTTATATTGCAGTTTTTGTATTTTTTCTCAGAGATGAGATATTTTTCTGCAGTAAAAAGTATCCTATATGTTGACCCGGATAACCAGCTATCATCATACCAAATTTCATCAAAATCTGTCCAGCGGTTTTCTTGTGATGCGGTAACAGACAGACAAAAATTCTAAAAACCATAGATTTGGCCGCTGTATCGATAATAATGTCTATTTCAATAAGATTTTCCAAAAAAATATTTAATGTACAGATTCGGCTTAGTTAGAATTTTATTATATGTGTAGATTAAAAAAAATGTGAATTTTTGTTCCTAACGTTTCGAATGCTCTAAAGTGTAATGTAAACATGGCCACGGGAGAGACTAAGATTTTTGACATCTTATCAATTCATTTGGGTTCCAAATTAAATATTTAAAAAACGTATTCTTATTATTTCAGACTATTTAAAAATGTTAAAAATTAATAAAGTATTGTGACGTACTTCGGAGTTATTCATCTTTTTCTTCTTAATTATTGTATAATTTCACGGGTGACTTTTAAGAGTTAAAAGACTTAAGAGTTAGCAATAAAATTGAAATGAGACCAAACTCTTAGTCTCTCCCATAAAGCACAGATGACATAATACCTACTTTACTAGTTAAACATCCACAACCTTTTCAGTTACCAAGTTTGCTGTACAGAACCGGAACCAAATATCAAATATTAAAACCAAACCCAAAAGTTTTATTCAAAATAAAAAGGTTTATTTTTAAATAAAATATTTGGAAAATAAATAATTAAATAATTTGTTTGTTGTTTATGAAACATTTATTTATTAGCCTTTGCCTTAGCTGATAAAATACCTATTGTAAAATAAAAAGCGCCAGCGTTTTGGTATTTTCTCGTGCTTTGGGTAGACAGCGAGAGATGTCGGTGCCACCGTCTGGTGTCTAGTCATGAATTGGTTGTAATACTAAAAATTGCAAACCGAACAGGCAACTTTTACTAATTTTGATTTTCATTCATAAAAAAATATGAAAACTTCTCCAATGCAAAGAAAAATCAATAATATATAGAAATTTTTCGATATATTTACGTTACAACGAAATAGTTTATAAAAATGAAGTACTTCAATAAAAAAATATACAAACACGCCTATAATATTCAAATAAACATGAAACATCTATTGTGTAATGTTAATAGTCGACGTAAAGGTGTGAGTGAACTGAGCATATAAGATAATATTATTATGTACATGTTATGTTTACATATCTATAAAAGTAATAAAATTTCATTTATTGTATAAGTTTTATAACTTACTTCAGTAGGCAGGTTTTACTAATTGATTATATTCAATTAACATACATGTAATTTTTTCTCAAAATATTCACTAATCATTTTTAATTAATTTTCAAAATTGTATACATAAATGTGAAGGTATATATGTATTTTATGATAATAAAACATTAAAGTAAATGAAAGTAAAATTTGTACGGAAGTTCGTCATTTTTTTAAGTTAAGAAAGATGGAAAATCTGCATTGCTTGTTGATCAATTCCAAGTTCGAAGTTAAAATGTGATTATATACTATATAAATATTATGTACGCACGTATGCATACATTTAATATGTGAAATTTCAAATAGGTAATAGAGTTATATAGACAAACTAGCATTGCCCGCGGTTCGGCCCGAGTTCAGATTACCAAAAACCAAATTCTTAGGTTTTACAAATTAGTATACTCTTAAATTGCAGTTTTTGTATTTTTTTCTCAGAAATGAGATTTCCCCGCGGTAAAAAGTATCCTATATGCTGACCCGGATAACCAGCTATCACCATACCAAATTTCATCAAAATGCCTCCAGTAGTTTTTTGTGACAGACAGACAGACAGACAAAAATTCTAAAAAGTATAGATTCGGCCTCTGTATCGATAATAATGTTTATTTCAATAAGATTTTCCAAAATATATCTAATGTACAGATTCGGCTTAACTACAATTTATTATATGTATGTTATGTACTTAGATGTAAGAAGTAAGACAAATGTAAGACTTTAGAACAGAAAATTTTACCAAAACGTTGTCTATTGATTTGTTGTCTTAGCTAACATAGATGTTATTAATTTATAATTTCAAACTACAAAACAAAATTTCTGACTTAGTGTAGTTGGTTTTATAAAATATTTTATATTATAAAGTTGGTATCAGGCCCCGGCGAGATCCCGTAAAGTTTTCTTATTCTTTATTTTGTTAAGAAAAACTAGAGAAAAATATTCCAAATGAAAATGTTTTTTTTTTTGATCGAGCTCTATATTTTTTTAAACCAAATGATAGAAGTAAGCTACTGTTTACAACAAACTAGTATTACACGGAAATTAATTGAATAAAAAGTGGTCATTCCCTTTCCATTAAACTATATATATCTAAGTAGCGACTCGACCTCGCTTCATCAAAAATATGTATTTTTCAGTCAATATTGAATGATAACTTTTGGACAACTTTCATTGCAAATGATATCTCTAGTCGTATATAGAATGACGTCACCTACAACCTTTCCACCTACAGAATATCGGAGAAGCCAAGCGTAGGTGAATAAATCGAAACTAAAATGCGGTCACTGGTCCAGCAAGACAACGAACGGTTGTAAATAATTGACGAAATTGATAATTTTGACTACTCCAGCAGTTTCGATGCAAATGTATATATAGCGCTAATTCATGCTTTTATTTTTGTACGGCATATAAAAGTGACAAACAAGCATACCCTCAAACCTGATGGTAACAGTAAGTAACCGAGACCTATACTTGTATAATACCACCACCCAGTCCTATTATAACTTAAGCTCTAGAGTATCTTTATGAGATAAGAAGGAAATTTAAATATTGAAAATGCTTCTTAATACGTTTATGACAATATTTTGGATTTTTTTTTTTGATTGGATTTTCCCAAGAAGTTGACATGCATAATATTATTACCAGAAGCAAACAAACTTGCGTATGAGTCAGTTAAACAGAGTCAAGTGAATATTTTTATAGTCAATGTATACGCTTTTACAACAGAAACCCAGCATATGTCTAAAAGCTTCCATTATTTTATTTATTTAATTAAGTAATAATAATAAAAAAAATATAGATTCAAAAACGTTTGTGTATTAAGGATAATAACACCATGGCATTTGGGAATGATGTCATCGCCATCAGGCTATTTCAATGTTACAGATATTTCAATTATTGTAATTTATAATTTTAATTAAAAAAATATATAGAATTCGACCCGTTAAGTTTCTTTCGTCTGTTCTTCTCAGGACTGCGGCTCTTTTTGTTTCCGAACTGAAGGTAGAATAATGTTAAGTAAAAAAAAAAAACTTAATGCAGAACAAAAATTCTCGAATTGGAATTTTACTAGTGCGTTACCATTTGAGTAGGCGATTTTATCTCAGGAAGAGAAGAGATAAAGGGAATCAGATTTAAGAGCAGGAGCCAGGAGATGACCTCCGGTGTTCTCTCTCAACAGACGTAACTCGACTCGACTACTTTACGTTGATATGTTGTGAGAGAGTAGCAGTTCTCTTGTCGAGACAGCTAAATAGCTGTTGTATGTATATAGCATGAATATGCTATATTATAACTAGCTAGTCTCCACAACTCGGAAAATACTTACGATGTTAGTTGGTTACCTCTGTTTGAGACGAAGTCTGTGGTCGTGGAGGCGGACGTCCCCCGTGTTTTCTATACCGTCCATGATGTTGGCCGTGCGTTTATTCTCGCCCACCACCATTGTGACTGTAACAAAAATATATCGTATTATAACTCTGCCATTCTTAAAAAAGTTATAAATCGCTGCGCAGTGCATATTACTACTATAGCGATAGCAGATTGTATGTAGCGTCACTAGATTTGCAGGTGTTTGATAAGTTTAATTTCACAAGTTATAATACACTCACTACGTAAGTATAATTTAATAATTACAGTTTAAAAAATTAATAATTACACTTCGGACCATCTGTTACTTATGGTACTCGGCAATAGGTGTTATGAGCCCAAACTAGTTCGTTTCACTAGTAATAATTGAAGAGTTTCATTATCTACTTGGCATTTAGGTGCCATCAGCTCGACGGTAAATTCTGTATTTTCATTTGGATTTCACTCATTATAGCATTTAAAATCGATAAATCAATTAAAAGTTGGGATGCATCGATACACACTTGTGCCGAAACTATACCAATACAGACACTGCAGGCTTCAAGGGTTTATAAAGTAAAAAAACTGTGGGTTTAGGATGGAAAACACAGAAACAAACGGCATTACTTACATAATTAATAAATATTTATTTAGAATGTTAACTAGACGGAAATTATAGTTTAACAAAATATCAATTATAGTAGAGGTACCCAGTGTAAAACGACATTCACCTGCATAATATTCTATAGGCTCCATAATTTCGAATAGTATGAAAGTCTATTAACCAAACCAGTGAAATGTTCAAAAAAAATAATCTTTAAATTGTTAATTAATTATATTCTGGACTGAAATTTTTTACTCAACCCCATTACAATAGACATATTTAATTTGATATGAAATACTTTTCACCATTAACTAGCTGGGTGAAGGCTGTTTTATACTGGGATATTAGACGATTATGTTTATATGGCCAGAAGTAGGGTTATGTTTTTCGAGTGTATGTACTATGTATATATATGTAATTGTATATTTGTTTGGTACGCTCTGTAGCCGCTCGCGGCAAGGATGAAACGTGTGTCTCCGACTGCATAATACTAGGTATATTCCTTCGTGAAATTGTTTTCATCTTTTTAGTTAGCTTTTATGCAGTAGGGTAGATATTTTATTTTTGTAATATACTAGCACTGTCCGCGGCTCCGCCCGCATTCAGATGACCAAAAACCAAATTCTTAGGTTTTACATATTAGTATACTCTTACATTGCAATTTTTGTATTTTTTCTCAGAAATGAGAGATTTATTTATTTGAATTGTTAAATGGTTTTATATAATAAAATAAAGGGTTATGAAAATATACACAATTAATGTTTCAATTTAATTTAGAATGAGAAATGATAAAAAACAAAAAAAATATATTTAAAGACAAAAATAAAATACCCGACTGCGTAAAAAGCGAACTTAAAAGATGAAAAAAAAAAACCAGTTGACGAAGGAACATAGGTACATAAATAAAAACTACTTTATATACAAGGAATCGTGCAATAGTTTAGCCGTTCTATTATTCTATGTGCGTAAGTATTACAATAGTATTGCTAATGCAAGCTTTCCAATGAGTCAGAAAGAAAGCCTTTTAGTCAGTTGTCGATATAGCGGACTAAATATCTGATAAATTTAGATCTTACTATTTTAATTCGATGTTAAAAAAATATAAACAAAAATAATCATTTTATTCTTTTTACGTACATATGTATATGTAAAATTATAAATGCTGAGTGTGAGTTGACTTATTCATTCTAGACCATGCTCCTGAAATTAAAGATTTTTTTTTGAGTTTAGGTATCCTTAATGATATGGCTAAAAACCAATCAAAGATTTTGTAAATTCAAGCCCTTAGAAAAGGTGAACAATAGTGTAGGAAAAGTGAAAAAAATGGAGACTTCCCAAAGTCTATATGTAGTAACATATTATACATATATGTATGTATATACAATTTTTGCATAATATTGCATATAACTTACGCATATATACTTATATATATATATACATATACTTACGCAGCAAATCACAATTCATAAAATTACATCGTTAAATAATGTGACCTGGGGTCACTTTGTACCTAAATTTGGAGAAAGCCAACCGGTGCAATATTCGAGGAGACACATTCCACATACAATAACTCAAGTTAACCTACTTGAAAAAAGAGTGGTAATAAGATTAAATTGATTCATATAAATAATTAATATTTTTATATGTGTTCAATACTCTATATTTTCATGTTCATTATACTGTTATAATTGATTTGAAAAGCTAGGCAATAGTTTTAATGTACATGCACATATTACTATACGTTTATGAAGGCGTAGGCGGCTTGCAAGATATTTATATATACAAATATTTGTTTTGTAACGTCCTTTTCGCTAGTAGACAACGTGTGAAGTATTGGTGTGATGAAAGAAATATTTAATAGGGTCATTTGGTGGGTCTATACTTTATAGTGTAATCACTAATCATATATTTTCCGTATATTCCTTTTTATTCATCTGCTGCTTATGAATTACTTAAGTTAATATTAAAATTAAAAATTCGATTTTTTTTTAAATATCATAGAGAACATTATTGATATAAACGACGAAGTTCTATGCCTATTTACCTACTAAGTATGTGTGTTGTAGGGTATATATCCCACTATAAAAATAATTGTGAAAAAAGGATAAGTTCGTAACAAAATAACTTGCATGTACGTACTAGAATAACGCCAGAAATAACTATTAATTGTTGTTGTTATGTTTTACAGCATAACTAACAGCTAGAGTTGCGTGCTCACTTCGATTAGTAAAATGATTAGACCATACGGAACCGGAACGACCATCCACTTGCCCCGTTATGGCTTGTTAACAAGTCCGCGGGATTGTTTCTGGTATCTAGTTAATTATTACAGCATATACTAAATTGCTAGTTTTGTAATGTTATAAATTATATACAGCTCATACGAAATTTATAATCGTTTTTTAGTGTTTCTAAGAACTATGTTAGTTTTGTTGTTTTGTTATTAAGAAAAATTATAAAATTTTGTGTAAATATTTCTATTATTTCAAGCTGAAAAATTGATGTGATAAGAGACGTTTGACAACAGATGGAAAAGGCCCATCCGCTGTCCATCAGATAGTTTTATAACAAACAATTTAGTCGTACTCTATCTCTATTAAAGCTATCTCTATTAACCTGTATTAAGCTTATAAAAATGAAAATGAATGAATGAAAATCACTTAATTTATTATCTTGATACTGTAATTTGAATGACGTGCAGGAAGTAGGAAGCAGGGAGATCTTAACAAAGTGAATGCGATTCAAACAAATTACAAACTATCTGTAATAGGTACTATAAGATGGAGCTATTAAACGAAAGAGGGTTTATATAATTGACCCATAACACTAAGTAAGGTATGTAGGTACCATAACACTAAAAGTATGATAGTAAAATTAAATTATTCGAATGGCTGGTACCTACGTCTATTGAAAAGGATAAACGTTACAAAGTTGCTTGAATAAATATTCTTGATAATGGAATGAACTACGAACGTTTAGAATTTAGATGCTAATGTTTCAATGGTAATTATTATTAAATACTCGCACAGATCTAATGAAACTGCCAACTCAATAAACATCTTTTTAACATAGGTCACACGGACAGCGCCCTCTGCAGAGCGTGCCTCCAAGAAGATGAAACACCAGCACACATTCTAACCGAATGTAATGCACTGGAACAATTACGCGAAGAAAAACTCGGCCCCTATAGATCGATCCCAGAAATCTTCCAGGACACCGGCAGCTTGTTAGACTACTGGGACGCTCTGGGATGGAAAGAATAACACCCACAGCAGCACAAGCTCACGCACAACGGGCAAAGATGCCTAAGTGCGGAAAAAGCCGTGTCTGAAGAAGAAGAAGAGAAGATCTAATGAAAGTATTGATAATAATTAATATACAATAGATGTTTGTCACAAGGTCAAAACGCATTGTTTGAGGTGACGATGCTCTCTCTATGATGATGATGTTCTCCTAGCCGATTCCGGCTACGGCGGCCAATTTCATTGAGATGAGCCAACTGCGCAGGAGATATTATAGTGCTCAAGTGTACGCGCAGACACAAGTGCACTCTCTATTCCTATCACTCTCATACTCCGGTGGGACGACCACTCGACACGACCGGTGAGAGTTAAGGCGCAGGACCGACGGCTTTACGTGCTCTCCGAGGCACGGGGGTGAAACACCGCCAACTTCCCAACTCCGGGCTGTTACTGAGACTTACTATACAGAAAGACTCAATAACTAAACTGGGCCCGACCCGGGACTCGAACCCAGGACCTCCGGGTGTGCAGCCGTACATGCTAGCCACTACACCACCGAGGCAGTCTCTCTATAATGTCATTCTAAGGAAGTATGATACTTTTGCTGTCCATAAAGTTTTCCTAATCATGCCATTATATTCACATTTAAAGTGATATTTTATTCATTTTTCACCGTATTTAAAAAGAACAAAGTAAGTACATACTCCATACATCAGGTACCTACCTACAATTTATAATCGAACATAATTTCATCTTCTTTCTAACAATTTAAATGGTTTTCTATATCCTCAATAATAGCAATGATATAATATTTTGATCATATTCTTAAGGAACATCACTGAACTACATGATTGCTTGCTGCTTGCTTGATGAACTTTTTGAAGTTTTATTGAATATCTGTGGGCCATAGGTCCACTGTTGTTCACTACAGAGGACGCTCAGACTAGCTCGGAATGAAGGCGACATATTATGTAGGTATTAGCCTTATGCCTACATTGCGAAATCTATCGGACCTATAAAAAGAAATTTCCGTGTTATTTTTCATTTTTCAAAACCCGATTTTAGCATATGTTTTAATTTCCGAATTCAAATCTTTTTGAATTTTAACCTACTTGTTTGTTGTATTGATTTAAAACTTCGTAACTTGTACATAAATGATATCCGATAAAAATTTAGTTAGTAACTTGATAAAGTTGAGCTTGTTGTCGCCATGGTGTTTTTTCCTATGGCAACTCTCATGTTTTTAACATG